GCTAAACTAAAAAGATTAAAATCATCTAAAAAAGTGGATTCAATATTAAAAGAGATATCAACTGGTAATATTAAGATAGCCAAAAATATTACTAACATTGTAAATAGATCCCATATTATTCTAATTCTATCCTCTTAAGTAAATACTTTTATATAAGAACAACTTGGTTATTTTTCTTCTTATTCTTTTTTTTGAATCATAACACTCATTTTCCTAGATATTGAAGCTCTCTTTGCTTTATCCTTTATTTTTGCAGTCTATACAAAAGATAAATCATTGATTATTTTTAATTGTCTATCATCAAAAAGTAAATTGATGTCTTCTATTTATTCATCATTATCTATTTATTAAACAGTAAATTGATATTTCTTTTTAATTAAAGACTGTTTATTGTTTTCAGTTCTAATACTAAAAATTCTTTCATCCCCAATATCTGAGTTTTCAAAATTTTTACTTGTCCCTCTAGGAGAACTTGATTGCATTTTATAATTTATAAATTGATTATATTATTATATGTATTATTTAATACATTATTTTAATTTCTATTGATTTATCACTGTATCATTTTTAAACTGCAGTTCACTTTATAATATATTTTAAAAGATATTAAAATCATTATAACTTATATAAATATTATTTAGATTTGAAAGATATCATAAAGTTAACACTTTAAATATGGACTAAATATTAATTGATTATGAATTTTTGATATCAATAGTGATCCTCTAATAAATCATATTAGTAGACTTTTTTTTTAATTTAAACATAAATTATCAGAGCTTCAGCAATTTAAAGGCTTTTTTTCTTATAAATTTTCTAATAAAAAAATTTAAAGATAAATGTTCGACACATAACATTCAATTGATTAAGAAGAACTAGATACTTAACAAACATAATCTATCCCTTAACCATAACCATCACAAAATTTCTAATCCGCAATTGATAGCTTAAGAAATATTATGCAATTCAATTTTTTAGAAAGTTAATCTCAAAATGATGAATAAGATTCTTAAGAAGGAGTTTAGTAACAAGAAATTAGTTCATCTAGTGAATATGAAAAATAAACATAATAACCCAAAGATTTTGTGTTTACTACATATCATCCATCAGTATTATTTGGAGAAAAAAAATATAATACATATAAAAAATTATTTTCAGAATAATCAATAAGTATTGATTATTCTGAAGAAGTTGATGAAGAATAATAGAGAGAAATTGACGATATAAGAGATTAAATTCATTCAAACTTAGCTCTAATAAAATCTTAATTAAAAAATTTTGATAAGAAATAAAGAAATCCAGCTAGGAATAATATAAATCAAATATAGACAGTATTATTTGAGGAATCAAGTTAAAATGAAAGTAATTTATCTTTGTCTGATAATGATTCAATTATGGATAAAGAATTAAATGATGAATATAATCATGGTGTAGAAAAAAAGATTTAAAATTATAATTCAAATTTCAACATTTTGGAAAAATTCACAACTTAATATAAATCATAAAGTTAAATTGAAAATTTCTGATATTCAAAAAGATTGAAAATATTTATAATACTTTATGAGAAATAATTTATAAATTTTAACTAATATATATTTATTTTTTTGAACTATATTTTGCAATATTATCATTCTAGAATTTATTCATTCCATCACTTTGCAATTTTTAGTTCTATTTAAATAGTTTTAACAGAATAAAAAAAATTTGTTAGGACGTGATCGAAATAAATTGTGCTTAGTCGAAACAACTATTTTTTTAGAAGGCGAGAGGGATGAATTTCTAATCATAATATTAAATTTCTTACTTTCTCCTATCCATATTTCCAAGACTACAATCTGTCTTAGAAATACTAAATGCACTCACTTCAGTATCTGCTCTTAATTATTCTAATTTAGATTAAGTTTTTGAATGAGACTTCATTAATTAATAAGAGATTATTTATTTTCTATCTACTTGAGATGTATCTTTATCATTAAACATAGATCGTAAGATTATACTTTATTTTTATTACTTTTTTAATTTGTCTTCTTCATCATTTGGCATTAAATATGCTCTTTTATAAGTAATTTATTTCATTTATAAATGAGTATCTTAAACATTCATTAAACTTGATTATAATTATTATTATTATTTTATAAAACTATTTCTAGTTGGAATCATTCCTTTCTTTTTATAATCATCAATCTAAGAAACTAATTTTTTTAATAATCTATCAGATTAAAAATGTTTTGAATGTTATTATTAAAGTAAAGTCTTTTAAGTATTAAAACCTTCAAATTATTCAGTTTTTAGTTTTACACTCATTGTTCTCTTGATTTAATCTTTTAAAAGTTGAGTTTTTTAAAGAGTATGATTTTCGAATAATTCTTACAAACTCTAAGTTTCTTCTAACATTTTTTAAAATTAATAGTATTTAAGCAAAAATAATGTTACCTTTTCTGATACTACTATTACAGTATATTCACGTTTCCCTTAAGTTTTATATTCAATTGCTCCAAAAATGTTGCCAACTCCCATTCGAGAGATTTTTACACTTTGATTTTCATTTACTTTATAAGATTCAACTTCTCCCTTATATATAATATAAAAACAATCAGAAATTTCATTTTATTTATATATAATTCTTCCTTTTGTAAATTTAATCTTTTTAAAATCATAAGCATATTAAGTAGCTATTTATTGTTTTGTGTCTGAAGGCAAAAAATGTTCATATAAAAATTAAAGCCTTTTATTAATAGAAGAAACTTAAGCCTATTATAATATCAATTTATAAGAAGAAGCATCTACTTAAGCTAATTCCACAAAATCAGCTGCTAATACAGTTGCTGATCTTGGTTATTCTAAAATTAATCCAAGTTCTCCAAATGCTTCTCCTTATGATTATTTTGTAATCAAATTTTATGTGAAAACACCTTATTCAAAAAAATAATTAATATCATTAAATTAATCAGGATATAGATCTCCTGTCTCCTTAAGGTAATCTTTATATTGCTTTATTTATCTTAATTTTGAAATGTGAGAATTTATTTGATTGACAGACTTAAATGTTAAGATTTGATTTAATCTTTCAATTATTTCTCTTTAATGATTTTTCTTTGATTATTCATCAAGCATGTAGTACTATTCAACAGTTTATTCTATCTCAATTTAAAGAAACTTCTTCTTTTAATATATATGAACTGTTCCATTCAAAATTATGTAAAAATCATTTGCAGGTTGACCTGAATTGAATGTGTATATGAGTACCCTCCTTAAAAATGATTTGTCCAGGCTGAAAGGAAATGTATTTCATCACTCGACATGTTTGATAATGTAATTATTAAAGTTGATTTTTTCGATATAAATTTATCTCCTTAAAATATTTCAATGGTTTGGTCGCTCTAACTAAATGCCAAATTTCATCTTCAGTTCTTTCATCTTATCTTAATATGTGTTTGGCTTCCAAACATAAAATAAATTATTACTTCTAAAAATGGTTATTATTTCATTAAATATAAAATATATATTAATTACTAATATGTTATTGAAATGTGGAGTAAGACTAATTAATAAATCTTGATTTGTAGAATAATAGCAAATTTTAGAATAACTCAAAATAATGAAGAAATATTTTGGAACAAAAAGTGTCAATATTAGATTATCATTTTTTTGTTTAAATCAATATTATAATATATATTCATTATTTTTATTATTATATTCTTTATGTAACTGAGGTAAATAGATGTTTTTTTTTAAATTAATTTATGTTTATTCAATTTTGACTTGATGCGATATAAATTATAAATATTGAATTGGAAAATAATTAAAATTCAAATAAATTCATTGAAAGATAGATAAAAATTGAAATCAATTATGTCAAATTTATAATTAATATTCATGACCTTAAATCAAAAACAATTTAATTAAATCATAAGGATATCTCCTAATACTCTTAATTGCATAATTAATTGAATACAAATAAACTTACAATTGCATCTTAAATAATTAATCAAACATAATCAATCTAATAAAGATTAAGATCTTAAAAACTAAATCTATAATGTTAGGTTGAAATAGAAAGATATAAAGACGAAAGAATATTTTAATTAATGCAGATCTGAATCTTCTACATCTTCAGGCTTATATGAAACTAACATACTTAATAAATGGAGAACTGACTATCAAAAAGAACAACTTTCAAGTGAATAATAAAATTGTTTAATCTCAGACAGATTATATACTTTTTTTGAGAAAATAAAAACAATCCATTTAATTACTGTGGCCTAATTAAAACAATCATGCTATTATAAAGTTCAGAATGATATAACATAAAACAAATGAGACAATTTTCTAAAAATCAAAAGTAATCTTATATGTAAAGATTTACTTGATTAACTTTTATGATCATTCATTTCAAAAATTAAAAATTATCTGTGCCCTGCATGCATTCAGCAAGGCTCTTTGATTTTCATATTACTCTCCTAATACTAAGATGGATTTAATCATTTTTCTAGAAGTAAAAATTCTGAAATATGATCTTTAATCTTTATCATATAAATATAACTATTAATAAAAATTAATGAATTTTTAAATCCAAAATATTTTTTAGAACTTAGAGTAGTATAATTTCCTATATTAAGTGAGAAAAAAAAATGATTAAATTAAGAACTAAAGCCAACATATATATATTCTTTTGAGATTGAATATTCAAAGAAAAAAAAAAAATTAATATTCCTATTTATTTAAAACAAAGCTTAGATGCATGATATATGAACTTTTAATTATTAAAGTTATAATATTAAATGAAATACAAGAGTATTTCTTTGGTTATAGAAAGTAAAATTTGATTGGCAAAATTAATTAGATTTTTCTTTTATTTTTATATTTTAGAATCTTTTGAAACAAACTTAATTATTGAAGATCTACTAACTTGAAAACTTTATCAATTTTATAAAAGAACTTTTGTTCAGATATTGTAAATTTTGTACAATGATGATATAATCTACAAGACTGAAGATCTGGTTATAAGAATAATATTTTGTAAATATAAACTAAATATGCAATTATCATTTTGTAACTGATATAGAGTTTATATTAACTTGCTTTGACATTCTTAGATTATTCATCAATTCTAGTAAATTCAATCTTAAAGGTGTTTCTAAACATTCCATTTCTGTTTTTGCATGTAATCTTTCATCGTCAAAATTGGGCTTATTAAAGAAAGTTACCTGAACACCTTCTGGAACTTTGATAGATTTAACTTTAAAATTTTTCATATCATTTGGAATAACAGGATGTGCACCACATAATTTCAATTCATCTCCAGTATAGTGGCATTCTGAATATAAAATCACACAAGGTTCCTAAAATTTATATATGTTTATTACATCAACTTCGTTTTTATTAGTTTCATTTTCAGATTTCTAAGATTATTAGGCATCTTTATTTGCTGCTCCTTCTCTCTATCCCTCATTTTATCCATCAGCATCAGTCTTTTATCCATCAGCATCAGTATTTCCATCAGCATCAGTCTTTCCATCAGCATCAGTTTTTCCATCAGCATCAGTTTTTCCATCGGCATCTGTCTTTTATCCATCAGCATCAGTATTTCCATCAGCATCAGTTTTTCCATCGGCATCTGTCTTTTATCCATCAGCATCAGTATTTCCATCAGCATCAGTTTTTCCATCGGCATCTGTCTTTTATCCATCAGCATCAGTATTTCCATCAGCATCAGTTTTTCCATCGGCATCTGTCTTTTATCCATCAGCATCAGTATTTCCATCAGCATCAGTTTTTCCATCGGCATCTGTCTTTTATCCATCAGCATCAGTATTTCCATCGGCATCAGTTTTTCCATCAGCATCTGTCTTTTATCCATCAGCATCAGTATTTCCATCGGCATCAGTCTTTCCATCAGCATCTGTCTTTTATCCATCAGCATCAGTCTTTCCATCGGCATCAGTCTTTCCATCAGCATCTGTCTTTTATCCATCAGCATCAGTATTTCCATCGGCATCAGTCTTTCCATCAGCATCTGTCTTTTATCCATCAGCATCAGTCTTTCCATCGGCATCAGTCTTTCCATCAGCATCTGTCTTTTATCCATCAGCATCAGTATTTCCATCGGCATCAGTCTTTCCATCAGCATCTGTCTTTTATCCATCAGCATCAGTCTTTCCATCGGCATCAGTCTTTCCATCAGCATCTGTCTTTTATCCATCAGCATCAGTCTTTCCATCGGCATCAGTCTTTCCATCAGCATCTGTCTTTTATCCATCAGCATCAGTCTTTCCATCGGCATCAGTCTTTCCATCAGCATCTGTCTTTTATCCATCAGCATCAGTCTTTCCATCGGCATCAGTCTTTCCATCAGCATCTGTCTTTTATCCATCAGCATCAGTCTTTCCATCGGCATCAGTCTTTCCATCAGCATCTGTCTTTTATCCATCAGCATCAGTCTTTCCATCGGCATCAGTCTTTCCATCAGCATCTGTCTTTTATCCATCAGCATCAGTCTTTCCATCGGCATCAGTCTTTCCATCAGCATCTGTCTTTTATCCATCAGCATCAGTCTTTCCATCGGCATCAGTCTTTCCATCAGCATCTGTCTTTTATCCATCAGCATCAGTCTTTCCATCGGCATCAGTCTTTCCATCAGCATCTGTCTTTTATCCATCAGCATCAGTATTTCCATCAGCATCAGTCTTTCCATCAGCATCTGTCTTTTATCCATCAGCATCAGTCTTTCCATCGGCATCAGTCTTTCCATCAGCATCTGTCTTTTATCCATCAGCATCAGTATTTCCATCAGCGTCAGTCTTTCCTTCAGCATCACTCTTTTATCCATCTGCACTAGTATTTCCATCCCCTTCACCTTCTTCTTCATGTATTGTTTCTTAAATGCTCACTTCTTTTGCCTAAAATACTCTGTCTTATTTGGATTCTAAATTTTCATTTAAATCTCTCTTGTTTTTTACTGTATCTAATTCCTCTCCAGCACAATTTTGATATTCCTCAGAAGGAGGTTCCGGTTCGCTACTTTCATCTTCTTCTTGATTTTTTTTAGGAGGAAGGCTTGATTTTCCTCCAACTTTTAGAGCTTTTTCTGGGACTATGATTTCTTCCTCTTCTTCAGTTTCTTCAACTACTTCAACAGTTTCTTCTGAATCGACATTGTTTGTTTAGATTTTGACATTCTTAGGATCCTCTTGAGGTGGTAATTATGATGTTGGATCAACATCTACTTTATTTTTTACAGTATCATCTTCCTCACCTCCAGGACAATCTTCTTCTGGTACTTCTTAATTTTGTTCTTCTTCCCCTTATTCTTCACCTTTTTTATCATCTCCTTCACCTTTTTCTTCTCCTTCTCCTTCTCCTTCACCTTCTCCTTTATTTTTTTTCAACTTTTCAAGATCATTTGGATCAGATTCTTCTTCTCCATCATCCTAATCAACTGGCTATTCATCTACTTTAATGTCTGTTTCTTTTTCAATATCAATCACATTTTTGACAATGTAATTAAATAACTTTTCAATGTCGCTCACTTCTGAATTTTAACTATAAAGAATATAAAAAAGGGATTAGCCTTCAGATAAATTGGATAATAAAATTATGGACTTTCCATGTTCTTCATAGGATGAAATAATTTCATTCTTTTTTTCAACTATTAATAATCTATTCAAAGTTCCTTCATTATTTGAATTTATCAAACTGACGCCTTAATAATTCTCTTAATTGAACATATCAATTCTTTAAGCATCATCATTACCTTTCTTCATTTAGATTTTAATCCATTCCTTATCCTTTATTTGAGTTCCTAAAAAAACCAAATTTTGAGTTGTTTCTGTAAAATATTCAGATTCAGGACCGAATGCATTTGTTTTCTTAACTTGTCCATCAGTTAATTCTATATGTTATTTATGGTTTGTAGAAAATATCCAATTTTAATAACTAATCTTAAGATTGAGACTTACTTTTTGACTTAATCATTCCTTTAGATGCCCAATAACATATCGCTTGACATATCGGTCTCTTAAATATACTTCTCTAGAGATTGGATGTTCTTTTAGATCCAATCATGAATTTTTGTGACATCTTTTGCAAAAATGCCTAGGGTTGACAATATCAACAATAGAACTGCGAATTTCATAATAATTAAAATAAATTATTAAAAACGAATATAAAATAAAATCATTTTTAATAAAAGAGAATTAAATAAAGAATAAAATATATAAATTATTAAATCTGATTAAAAGATTGAAATGATATAATAATTATTAGGTATATACTTTTAAAGTGAGAAAATATAAATAAATAAATGAATTTTATATGTAATAATATTACATAAAAAATGCAAGATGAAAATATGCTTATTATTATTAGTTTGTTTTTATTATAATGTACTATTGATATTTTATGATCATCATTTTCCAACAAAACCCTTAAGATATGTTTCCTTTTAAGCTCTTATGACTTCTCTCTTGTCTGTTTTTCTTGACATATAAATCTTTGTTTTTTCTGATCCTCTTGTTTTTTTTAATTTAGATTTGACTTCTTTCCAACCCTTTCTGCTTCCATCTCTTTTTGGAATGATTCCTCTTCTTCTCAATCTGAATTTTGGCTCAAATTTAAGTAAATACCTGAATTATTAAATTATTGCATATACTATTAAGTGTCATAAATGAGAGCAAAACCTGTAGTTCTGTTACCTCCAAATGATGTTCTGAGACCATAAACAACAACATTTCTCTCATCAGCTTTATATTTACTAGCTAATTCTTTGACAACTGATTCTTATGATGGAGTTGGCTTATTTGGATGGAGTAATTCAACACTCTTTATAATTAAATAAATTAGCATACTAATTATCTTCTATTCAAGAGTTTATTTAATAGAACTTTTCTTGTTTTCACGATGAATGTCATATGAACTTTATTTTAATTCAAAATAAATTAAATCTTTTTCTTTATTTTATGAAATGAATATGTATATAATTTATACTTCAACACATCTAAAATAAATGAACTAATAAAAATATTAAGAATAATATTAGTTAACCATTTATTAAAGAATAGAGATGGAGTAGGTTAAAAATTCTTTAATTTGCTAATATATTTTTAAATAAAATTTATAAAACAGCAATATTAACTGCTTATAGAAGTTTGATTTCAATTAATTTTTTATTTACAATCTAATAATGAATATTTCATTCTTGATTGGTATCATTAGATATTGATAATTTTTCATTCTAAAAAAATTGTGCCATAAAATCTTTACTTAAATAAAAAATTGGTTTCATTTTATGAAATATTATAAATAACTAAAAATGGGAAGCTAACCAAATAAAAACATGAAAAATCAAAAACAAATTGACTTAAAGCATCATATAAATAATGTAACTCGACCTAGATCTACTCCAATTTGTCCATATAATCCAAATTGTATTATTTTATTGTTTTTATATAGCTTCTAATACACAATATAATGTTACAATAAATAATGTATTATTTTTAGTAATAAATCCTCCAGAAGACAATGATACCATAACAATGGCTGAAAATTTTGATGAAGTCTGAAAAAAATCAATATATTATATTTATATATATTATTTTTGACAGAAAATATCGTCCATTTTTTCCCCTTCTATTTAAATCTAAATAGAGTTACTTATTAATATCAATATAATCATAACTGAAAAATTTCAGATATATTCTTAATAATTTATATTTTAGTATATGAAGTAAATAAATAATACATAGATCAATTAAATAATTTTAGCAAAACTTATTTTAGCTAGTTTATATTTAAGGGCTTTGTCAAAACATCTCTCATTCCAACCTCTAAACATCTATTGATATCCTCTGCTGAATTAAATGCAGTCAATCCTATAATTGGTATATCTGGTATTATTTTATCTCTTATGAGATCCATAAGGATTTTTGTCGTTGTCCACCCATCCATAATAGGCATTTAACAATCCATTAAAATAAAATGAAACAATCTACAATATTCAGAGCATTTCTCAGTACTTTATATCAATTCAATAGCCTAATACCCATTATATGCCTATTTAATTAAAATTAAAATTACTATCAATAATCTAAAACCCATCTAACCAATAATTACTTATAAAGCTTTTTGATTAAAGAGATCATCATCTACTGATAATATTCTTGCACATTAACAAGGGAATTATAAATTTTCAAACTTCTCTTCCATTTCTATTTCTTATTCCTCTCTTTAAATTAATCTTGAGATTAATGTGTTAGGTCTTTTATTTGATTATATATCAATCTCTGAGATGCTAAACGAAGATTTTTTTCTTCTTTTTATTGATTTTTCTTTCAAATCTTTATTATTGATAAAGATAGAGAATGATTTGCCTGTTTTATTCAATTTAAGTAAATTGTCTTAAAGATTTCCTCTTTATGTATCCTCCTCTTGCATAATATCAGTTTCTTATTATACATATTAATTTAATAATCCAGTTGATTATTAGGGTCGAAAATAATTAGCTATTGATGAATGATGTCTAATTGGAATTTATTATAGTTGTTTATCAAACATTAAATCATCACATTTTGGATTATTAATAATTAATATCCCCTAAATTCCCATACATAAATCAGGTACTGTATATGCAGTTCTTAAGCTTTACCTTTTAATAATTGTACCACCTAATATTTGAGTATTTGAAGATTAAGTTGTTCTTATTTTAAATGTAATTTATGTTCCTTCACCTAATCCATTCGAATTTATTCTCAATTAAGTATTGCTTAATGGGGCTAATTTAAATAAATTCATTTAACTAACAAGTAATCCTAATCCTTACCATTCATCATGACATGAAAAGTCTCTGTTTAAATTAAAGGATTTTAAGAATTCTTAAATTTTCTATAATTGATCATTTTCTATCCCTACTCCTTAATCTTTAACACAAAAAGTTAGTGTAGTTTCATGACAAGAGATTTCTAAGATAATTAAACCTCTCTCTGAAAATTTAATTGAATTCGAGATTAAATTTACTAAAATTTACATAATTCTATCAAAATCTGAATATATTAATGGAGGGACTGAATTCTTTACATTAATATGTAATCCAAGACTTTTCATTTAAAGTATAGGTCTAAAAATATCATTTACTTCTTAGACAATATCTTCAAAATTGAATTCTTCAAATTTATACTTAATGATTTATGAATGAAATTAAGTAAAATCTATAATATCCCTAATTAAATATGCTTATAATTTCAAAGCATTTGAAGCAGGATAAATAAAATTATATTTATGATGATCATTGATACTAGGATCATTAATAAGACCATCAAGAAATAATTTTGCACTATTTAAAGGAGTTCTTAATTCATGAGAAAAAGAATCAATAATTCTAACTTAAAATTTTTCTCTTGTCTCTAATTTTTATAAATAACTTTGTAATGAAATATCATCCATTATAATCAAATATTCATGATCATTTTAACCACAAAATATTTTACATTAAATACTTCTAGTATAATCTTCTTCATGAAATGCAGGCTATTTAGATTTTGATAATTAAGCTAAAAGTTCTAAATTGTTTTCTTTTGAATAAAATTAATCTAGATTCCCATTTTATAATTCTAACAATATTTCATTTAAAGTATTTGGTAACTTTTATATACTAGGCATTTTATTACAACTAAAAAATTATGGAACACTATTATGTTATTAAGGGGATTATTTTGGTAATTTAATACTAGTCTCTTTAACCTATTTTCTTTTTCTTTTAATTTGTAGCTTGAATTGTAATTCATTCATTAAAAATTTGGTTATGTCTTTTATACCATCAAACATTTGGAGTAGAGATTAATTCTAAAACATGATTTATAGATTATCCTTTTTTACAATCATGATTCCTACTGGTATGTTTTATAATCTAATCAACCATGAATTACTAATAGAGTCTTATATTAAATTGATTATTTCAGAATTTCGCTGTGTGGGTTTTGTCATCTATGCTGGCAATTCGAATTCTTAATTTTATTACATAATTCCAGACTTTTTTAACTTATATAGTGAAATTGTGCAATACATAGTGACAATATAGAGAATTGCATTTTCTTTATGAATTATAAATAAGATAAAAAATAAAATGTTGTAAACTAAATGCAACAACAAGGATTTTGTTGCTGATTATTTTTTAACCATCTAAATTTCTTAAGCTTTTAATAAAATATAAGCAGTTCTAGTTAAATCCTTATCTAAAAAACAACAATATGATATATGGGCACTTAGTGTAATATTCATAAACCATTCAAAATATATTTTAGGAATTAATTTTCTTTTTTGAATAATCATTATACTGATTATCAAAATCATTCCATTCACAATAAATAGTACAAGAGAGGGTATTAAACTAACATCATATAAATATAAAAGCAGTCCAATAGTAACATTCAATATATTTTTTGAATAGAACTAAATTAATCTCCAATTTAATTGCATTATATTTATAATAGTTTTAATACATTATATTTATAATATTAATTAAATTACTAATCAAAGACTTGGAGTAGTTTTCAATAAAAACAAAAAAAAATCTATTTTAAATAGTATCCATTTAAAATTAAATCTAGCTTCTAAAATCCTTAAAATAATGTAAAAATTTAATTATAAACATAGATGCTCTATCATTTATGATTAATTATTACTTAAAAATAATTTGAGATAAAAAAATTTTGTTTTTTATGATAAAAATATTAAGATATAAAAAAAAAATGATTTTTTATGCTTTTATGAATTATTAATCCATGATATTATAATTAAAGCAAAGAGAATAATTTAGTTAATAATATTAAAATAATATTATGTTTTGCTCATGAGAGCTACATAAATATTTAAGCCCTCATTATTCTTACCTTTATTTTGAATTCATTCTCAATTCCTATCTTTAAAATGCATCCTTATCTTATCTGCCGCCTTGGCAGCTAATGGATGCTTATTAAATTGTAAATTCAGTCGATTCAGAGACAAATTTCGCTACATCTGAAGTTCTTCTTAACTTAGAACTTGCACAAGCTACCCAATAATCTAATCTGGAAGTAACATAATTTTATAAGCTTCCTAAATATTAATTTAAAGCTCATTATTATTATTATTTGGCATATATTTTTCAATAAAGTTTTAAGCTCTTTGTTAGGCTTGTTTTAATACATCACTTTCAACCATTAGATATGCTAATATAACTTTTTAATTCTAACAAATTTATTTATTCTATTAAGAAACTACTTATGGGTTGGAATTAAAATTTGAGGACGACGATTGTTATGATTGTTATTATTGTTAATCTTATGAAATATTATAATTATTTATATTTATTTGATTATTAAGATTCTGAATTTGTTTTTAATTGCTTTTTGCTTATTTTTTTCCTTTCTTATTTGATTTACCTATGGATCCTTGTCCAAGCACGTGAATGGCAATGCCCTTGCCAGTTTAAAAATTATTATTCTTTATACCTTTACAGGTATCTTCAAATCTTTTTTAGGCAACTTCTTCTCTAACAGGTGGTGCTTAAGATTATTGGGGCCAAATACTATTGAAATTAGTTATATTTTCTAAGCTTTAAGGTGGTAAAATGGACTAATTTTTTAAATAGCATGTGTATACATTTTCTGTACAAATAGAGGACATCTCCCAACTCTCTGATATGTCTTCTTTTTAAGATATGTCACTATATTCAAAATCTTAACTTCTCTCTTCTTCAAAGAATGATGCATTTGAATCAATTTCGGTTGAATTGTGTGTAAACTCAAATTCGTGGCTTAATTTTCTTTATTTTTAAATAGCTTTCTCGATTGTAGACATATTAGTTTTGTTGATTATTTTAATTATTTATTCATTAATCAAGACATCTATGTTATAATGCCATTCAAAGAATTTATATATATGAATTAAATTAAATGGATTAAAATAACCTCCATACATTGTTTTTTATTGATCATATTCTTAAAAATGAACAAGCACAAAAGATACAACAGCTTGCCAATGAATACAGTGCAGAAAATGCTCACATTAGGGATATGGCTAAAGAACAGGCTGACCTATTTTTATCATAACTTCCAATTTCAAGTTATGGGGAAGAGAAAGTAAAGAGGTTATATTTTGATGGTTGTTTTGATTTAATGCATTCTGGACACTTTAATGCACTTCGTTAAGCCAAAGAATTATGTGAAACTTTGGTTGTTGGAGTGATAAAATCTGATGCAATAGCCAAAGCAAAAGGACCTCCAATTATGACTGATGAAGAAAGATTGGCCTTAGCTAGTGCTTGTAAATGGGTTGATGAAGTAGTTGTCTAAGAAACTTATGATCCAACAATAGAATAGATAGATAGACATTCATGTTCCCATGTTGCTCATGGAGATGATTTAGTCTAAACTGCTGATGGAAAGGATGCTTATTAACCATTTAAAGATGCAAAAAGAATGAAGTAATTTTTGGTCATTCCATATTTTTTAGAATATTTAAAAGAACAGAAGGAATTAGTACAACAGATATAGTGGGAAGAATGTTATTGATGACTAAAGAAGTGATGTGGGAAGAAAAGGTAATTGTTTATTTATTGATATTATTAGAAAGTATTTTAAAAGTAAACCATAGTTGAAGCATCCAATATAAATTAGTTAGATATAGATTAGGCATCAATTGAATAAACTTTAAATAATAAGATTTTGAATACAACAAGAAGAATCATGCAATTTAGTAACAATAAGAAACCTAAATCTGGTGACAAAATTGTCTATATTGATGGATCATTTGACATATTACATTAAGGTCATGTAGATGTTTTAAGAAAAGCAAAGGAAATGGGAGATTTTTTATATGTTGGAGTTTATGATAATGAAGTAATTATAAAAATTCCTAAATTCCTAGACTATAAATAAAATTAAAGGAAAAAATTATCCAATTTTAAATTTATAAGAAAGAGTCTTAAATTTGTTGGCAATTAAATATGTTGATGAAGTTATCATGGGAGTTCCTTATAAAGTGAATGAACAATTAATCAAAAATTTCAAAATTGATTTAGTCGTTGAAGGCAGTTGCTCTTAAAAAACTAGCGAAGATCCTTATGAATTACCTATTAAATTAGGAATCTATAAATAAATCAAAGCTGTAAACAAACAGACTGCAGATTAGCTTATTGAAAGAATTGTTAGCAATAGATTAAGATTTTTAGAAAAGTACAATTCAAGAAAAAAGAAAGAAATCAATTTTTTTGAAAATCATGATTACAAAGTGGAAGAAATATGATATAAGTATTTTATAGGCCACAATAAAATATATATATATGTTTAATCAATAATATTCACTGTCAAACATCCAAAAGTTTTTCTAAATGATTCCATCTAAGAATTATCTGATACATTAAGTTAAATATAATATCCCATACTTTAATCTCAACAATCTATCATTAACTTTTGATTTGATTCTGAATTCTTAAGAATTTTAATAAGGTTTACAAATTTATATAATATCTTTATTTTAATTAATAAAACAATGAAATTTTATAATAATTATAATTTCTATATTTAATTAATAAAAATGCATTTAAAATTGAAAATATAAATATGAATATTGATTCCAATAATTGATAAACAATAAGAAATGATTAATACATTCGATCATTCACACTTAAGGTTAAGAAACCTAATATTATTTATGTTATTGTTTGCTTTAGCTTCATTTCTAATAATCATATTCAATTTCATTAAATTTAAATCTCTAATGAATTATTTTAAATATATATTTTCAAGAACTTTTATTTTGATATTATCAGGGATTCATACGCTCTCTTCTATAAGAATATATTTCATATCTTTTAATTAAGAAATTTAATATATATATATTCATTATTAAAGTGATATACCATACTCACTTGATTCTTCACATTATCTCGATTTGAATTATACTACAACCCATCTGTCTTTTTAATCAATCTATTACAATAAGTATTATTCATAAAGTTCTATATATTATTGATTAAATATTTGCTTAATCATTTAAATTGAATATTAGTAATCATGAGGAAAGTGTAGATAGATCCTAAGATTCTCATTTATGCAATCTTCACTAATTATTTACCTGTAATCAAATTTTCTTTATGTTTTGTTAAAATTAATTATACCTTAATATCCTAATTAGACTTGAAGTTATTGCCAAATAATGTTTATTTTTGAAACTCTAACCCCAGCTTTATCAATCTGAATACTATTATCATCTATTTCTAATTCAAAGTCAGAAAACTCTTGGTTGCTGTATGATAATTAGAAATATGACATTTATAGTTTTTCAGGTAACTAAATTAATGTATTTGTCAATTTTTTCCCTTAAAAGATTGTTATTATTTTATCTAAATTAATGATTTACTTTTCTTAACTGCTAAAACAAATTTTATTATTAGTTCCAAAACTAGTATAGAGTTGTTGGGGATTAATTAATTCTTTAATCAATTTAAATACTGTGTGAAATTCTTTTTTGTACCCTTATGCTAAGCCAATTAAATACCAAGTGTCATCGTTTAAATGATAAGATTTTTGAGTCTAAAATATACTCAATAATTACATTACATTAAATACAGGTATAAGTCTTAGATCTGCTGTCTAAATGAGAACAATCTTCATCAGATATTTATAATAAGGTTTTAGCTTTCTTATTTTTATTTAAAAGAGGTTCCTCATTTTTGCCAAGAGCTTTATTTTCATCACTTTTTTCTGCATTGTTTCTTGCTTAATGTTTGAGATCAGGTTCATCAATTTCATTAGCTTTTGACATTTCCTTTTAAGTAGTACTTTTATTTTAAGGTTTGATAAGTGAATCACTATTATTTACATTATTTTATTTATTTGCAGCTAATGCTTATACTTTATATTAAGATTATTTATTCTACTATTATTCTTATTATTATTATTATTATTATTATTATTATTACTCTTATTATTATTCATCATTTTGTTGTTAATTTGATTTTTTTGATTAATCATCATCTTCTTCATTTTATTTTTTCTTTTTTTAATTCTTATTTTTCTTTTATTTCTTAGAATTCTTTAATCCCATTTATTTTAATTTTTCATCTTGTATTTTTTTATTTCTCTTCTATCTTCCTTATTCTTTTAAGGATTTAGCAAATGCAATACCAGAACTGTCCATTTAATCCTTATCTTCTGGTGTACTTCTTCTAGGATAATCATCAACATCTCTTGTTGTATCTCTAATCTATGGTACTCCATTAATATTTCCTGGTTTATATTTTGGATCTTGCATAGCTTTTTCTTCTCTATTTCGTTTATCATTAATATTCCTCGTTTAAGTATATTAATCCAGATCATGATAAATATGAAATTCTTCAATTCTAGGTTATGAATCATCACCTTTTTTTTAGTACCTTCCTTTTCTACCTATATCCCTTTTTGATCTGTTTAATTCTCTTGCAATTTTGTCTTCTTCTAAATCTTCCTTATCTCCCAATTCATACCTTCTATTATAGGGATTTCTAGGACGTCTTGAATCATATTCATCATCTGATCTTCTTCGAGGTTGATATCTTCTTCTTCTATCATAAGGATCATCACCTCTGAAATCTTCATATTCATCAAAATCATTATATCCCCTACCATCACGATCTCCATACCTTCTTCTATCATAATGACTTTATCTTCTCTTATCGTATTCATCAGCATATGGTTATCTTCTTTAATAATAAGGAGGATAATAATCTTCTTCTTGATAGACATCTGGGATTCCATCACCATCTCTATCTTCGTAATAATCATCATACTCATCATATTCATCATAGTAATAATCATCATCATGCCAATCTCCTCTTGGATGACGCTAAATTGGTTTTCCATCTCTACCAGTTCTATATGATCTATCATCATTAAAATCTGGAGGACGATGAAATTCATCTGGGTTCATCTATTAATAGTCTCCTCTTTCCTCCTATTACATTTTGTTTCCCTAAATTACTTTAAGAATAGGATTCTCTTCAACATGTTCATTGTTGCCAAAATAATTTGATTTATCTGGATTAAAGTTAGGAATTGATCTTGGATCATTGGGATCTAATCCTTACATTTGAAATGGTTTTTTCCTACCAAATTTACCTATATCTCTAGGTGTAATAAAATCCTCATCAGCAAACTCAAAAGGCTAAGCATCAGAACTTTTTCTTTATTGAGGTAATTCTCCTGGTTGAAATTCTTGTTAATCAATTGGTGCTTGATCTAAAGTTGAGGACTCTTAAAAAGGACGATATACGGAAGATTATTATGATTATTGATTTCTTGATTATTTTGATTAATAATCAACATCTGGAATGTTATAACGTTAAGTTCTCTTTTTCCATTCACTAACCAATGAATGAAGATCATCAGGAGTAATTTGATCTAACAAATCTTCTGGTGTATTACAAGACTTTAATTTAGCATATGGACCCTAACCTGGTAAATAAAATAAGGGGTTTTTAATTTATAAATATACTTACGATCTTTAAAAATGAGTTGAAGTAAAAATAATATTTCTGGGATCTTATGGGTTATAATCTGGATGATGAGGATCATAAAATCGAGGATCAATCAATCTGCTAATTAAATATTCAATTTCTTCATCAGGTACTTCTTCCCAATTAATCCAAGGTTCTATTTCTTATTACAATTGATCTTCCTAAGTTACCTAATCAATTATTTCAGCATTATCTATTTAAATTTCATCTCCAACTTACTCTTATTCTTATTATTAATCTTCTATAGGTTCAACTTCTTTTATTTCTTCTCCACTTCCTTCTTAAGGGGCATCTTCTGGAATAATCTCTTACTATGTAGTTTCCTCTTATTGAACTTTAGTTTCTTCAATATTTCCTTCTTCAGGATTTGTACCATCCTCTCCCTTAACTTCAACATTTTCTTCAGCCTTTGCTTCACCAATTGGCTCTTCAGGTATAGCTTCTCCAGCAACTTCTTCTGGAACAGCTTCGCCTCCTCCTCCTTCTTCTGGTGGTGCATCTACAGCACCTTCCTCAGGTGATATTTCTACAGCTCCTTCTTCTGGAGGACTTTCTAGATTTGCTTCTTCAGGAGGCGCTATTTCTTCATTTAGTATTTCTTAAATGATTTCTTCATATATAACTTCTTGGGTTGGTTCTTCTAAAGGAGGCTCATAAACTTAATATGGATGCTATGGTACTTCCCCTGTGTAATAGCCTTGATAATAGTATGGAGATCTTGTATGATCTTGAACAGTATGAATATTTGGATACAGAGGATCATTAGGGTAATGAAAACTATCACGATTGATGAAGTGTTTTTAGTTTCTATATTTATGATAGAGTTATTATTATTTGTATTATTCAGCCTATGTTTCATCAAAATTAATATTTATTGATTACATTTATACTGGATCAAGAACAATATTAATGGATTACATTTCAGCATCTCCTTACACAATATTTATTGATTATGCTACATCAGGTTTTCTTTCAGTTGAATTCTATTGGGTTCCTTAATTATAATGAAAATATGGTTCTTTTTATATTTTTTTATTGCCAAAAGTATTATACTTATCATCTTCATTGATTGGATTAAACATTTCGTGTGGAATGATAGGTTTGCTTTAATAAACCATTTCTTCTGGAGTGAGAGGAATAAATTAATGATCGTTTACATAAATATCATCTCTGTGTTGAGGATTTAAAAATTCATGAGGGATAAATCCACCATTTTGAATGATTTCCTCTATTGGATCAAAAGGGATCTATGGATTTCTAAACAATTCTCTAGGTCCTGGTTCAATTTAAATTTCTTATTCTGTACCCATCTGCTCATCGTTCTGTTAATTATCTTCTAATTATTCNTGAGTTGAAGTAAAAATAATATTTCTGGGATCTTATGGGTTATAATCTGGATGATGAGGATCATAAAATCGAGGATCAATCAATCTGCTAATTAAATATTCAATTTCTTCATCAGGTACTTCTTCCCAATTAATCCAAGGTTCTATTTCTTATTACAATTGATCTTCCTAAGTTACCTAATCAATTATTTCAGCATTATCTATTTAAATTTCATCTCCAACTTACTCTTATTCTTATTATTAATCTTCTATAGGTTCAACTTCTTTTATTTCTTCTCCACTTCCTTCTTAAGGGGCATCTTCTGGAATAATCTCTTACTATGTAGTTTCCTCTTATTGAACTTTAGTTTCTTCAATATTTCCTTCTTCAGGATTTGTACCATCCTCTCCCTTAACTTCAACATTTTCTTCAGCCTTTGCTTCACCAATTGGCTCTTCAGGTATAGCTTCTCCAGCAACTTCTTCTGGAACAGCTTCGCCTCCTCCTCCTTCTTCTGGTGGTGCATCTACAGCACCTTCCTCAGGTGATATTTCTACAGCTCCTTCTTCTGGAGGACTTTCTAGATTTGCTTCTTCAGGAGGCGCTATTTCTTCATTTAGTATTTCTTAAATGATTTCTTCATATATAACTTCTTGGGTTGGTTCTTCTAAAGGAGGCTCATAAACTTAATATGGATGCTATGGTACTTCCCCTGTGTAATAGCCTTGATAATAGTATGGAGATCTTGTATGATCTTGAACAGTATGAATATTTGGATACAGAGGATCATTAGGGTAATGAAAACTATCACGATTGATGAAGTGTTTTTAGTTTCTATATTTATGATAGAGTTATTATTATTTGTATTATTCAGCCTATGTTTCATCAAAATTAATATTTATTGATTACATTTATACTGGATCAAGAACAATATTAATGGATTACATTTCAGCATCTCCTTACACAATATTTATTGATTATGCTACATCAGGTTTTCTTTCAGTTGAATTCTATTGGGTTCCTTAATTATAATGAAAATATGGTTCTTTTTATATTTTTTTATTGCCAAAAGTATTATACTTATCATCTTCATTGATTGGATTAAACATTTCGTGTGGAATGATAGGTTTGCTTTAATAAACCATTTCTTCTGGAGTGAGAGGAATAAATTAATGATCGTTTACATAAATATCATCTCTGTGTTGAGGATTTAAAAATTCATGAGGGATAAATCCACCATTTTGAATGATTTCCTCTATTGGATCAAAAGGGATCTATGGATTTCTAAACAATTCTCTAGGTCCTGGTTCAATTTAAATTTCTTATTCTGTACCCATCTGCTCATCGTTCTGTTAATTATCTTCTAATTATTCTTAATTATCTTCTAATTATTCTTAATTATCTTCTAATTATTCTTAATTATCTTCTAATTATTCCTAATTATCTCCTAATTATTCTTAATTATCTCCTAATTATTCTTAATTATCTCCTAATTATTCCTAATTATCTTCTAATTATTCTGAATTATCCTCTTATTATTCCTAATTATCTTCTAATTATTCTTATTATTATTCTTCTGGTTATTCTATATTTTCTTCACCTTGATTAGAAATGAAAAAATCATCTAATCTCATTGTATACTATTTAATTTTTTGTTTATTATGATCTTCAACATCTTAGTCATTAAGGATATGTACTTTATTAACTGATATAGTATCTATTGAATTTAATTTATTCTCATTCTTAAATTTAGGTTCTTTTCTCAAAACAATTTGATACTCAATTGGTACAGATATTTATTCTTGATGTTGAATATGTTCATCCTCTAATGATTCAAGTTCTTATAATTCTTCAACTAATTACTCAGCTTCCCCAATTTCTCCATTTCTTATAGGATCAAGTGAAATATTAAGTTCTTCTAAAAACACTTCTTCAACTTCCATCTCCATATTTGCTCTAATGCAAACTTCATAGAGTTTTTCAAGTGGAATAAGAATGGTTTCATCCATGATCATAGCTAATATATCCTTCAATCTTTAGACTACTCGAGTTCTGTTAGAACGCATTTCGTTTTTTAAGATTTGTAATAGAAAGTCTGATTATTCCTCAGGATCCAATTCAATAAGATGCTCAATAATTTTATTGTACAAATTATCATCATCCTACCAACCAACTTTAAATACTGATTCTTCAGCAACTGCTTATTTCATTTGTTATATTTTTTCTTCTAATTTTGATGCAGGATTAGATGATGGTGGATCTCTACTAGGATCCATTTTTAATTTAGTTGGATACTCACCTAAATGTGGAATAGGTTCTAAATCAGCAGCCACTCTGACTTCATGCTCTAATTTATCATTAAATGAGCTTGCCGTTTTAGCTGCTGCTAATAAATCATTATCTGCTGTTTGTGAATCCATAAACCTTTGCATCCAAGGTGGATTGTAAGTAGATATTCTATCAGTTTGTATTAGTGATTAGATAACAAACTATGCATGTATACAATACAACAGAGTTATAATTAAATACATTTAATATGAAATACATTATTTTGCTTGCTCTGTTATTCAATTTGAATCATTGTATTAGCTTCTATGCCAAAGAAGGAGTTGAAAAGTGCTTCTCAGATGAAGTACCTAGTCAAACTGTAAATCTAGATTATTCATTTTTAGATAGTAGTGATATATCATGAATTGATGTCAGAAGGTGTGGCTAAAAATGAAAAAAGAGGTATTCATTCATTTAACACATAGACATTCCAAAAATGATTAAAGATGGAATCACTCTTAATGTCTATGGTCCTGATGGCAATATAGTGAAAACTGCTAAAACTGCGGAAGGAAAGAACAAATTGTCATTCACAGCCAAAACAAGTAATTATGTAAATATTACTTTTAGTGGGTAGATATAAGTTCTGTGTAATAAAATCCAAGTAATTTTGGAGTGTTAATGAGTATAAATACTCTATTAAAATATAATAAGGAGTTGATCACAATCTCTAAGATGCAGCTAACAAAACTCATGTTGAATCAATCAAAGGTATCACATATCTTTTACAATTTATTATATAGATAGAATCTCAGCCTTAAAAAACAGAACTGATGATTTCATTTCTCTTTAATAATTGAACAGAGAATAAGAAGATAAATTAACAACTCAATCAATCGACATCAGCAGAAGAGTCACTCAGACTACCATTTTATAAATTGTTGTTCTTCTAGCATCTGGAGTTTATTAGATTTGGAGTCTCAAGAAATTCTTTAAGTAGAGATTCTTGATGTGATGTTTATTTTATTAAAAAAATCAATGCTTCTAAATAAGGGACTTTATAAACATTAATACTGTCTATCACTTCATTCAAATCCTGATCCCATATAAATTACATTTAATTTTGAAGAATCATAACCTATTTGTCCACTAATAAAAATGCCATCCTAAAAAATAGAATGGTTATAAACAAAATTGCCATCAATTAAAACAAGAACTTAAAAACCTGAAGTTTAAACAGAAAGACCTAAATAACAGAAGAGGAAATGTCATACTAGAATAGCATCTCAAGTTAAATCTATTCCCACGTCTCCATTTACTATAATAATGAGAACTAATAATTAATCACCAATTGAATATGATAATAATACTAAAACTGTTCGTTATGAATAGTTTCAGTAACAATAATATTTAGTAAATAAATATTTAGCTCCAAGAAAATTGGGATTACATAGAGGAATCAATTTATTCAATTTTGGATTAGAAAAATGAATAATTTCATAACTTATAATTTTACTATCTAATTCAGCACATATAATCATAACTATATAAATTTAACTGTTGCTTTATATAAATATAATTAAATAATCTATTTTTATTTTTATTTCATTTCTGTTCTTCTTAAAAAAAATAAATAAATTTTGTAAATGAAAATTTTAATTTCACTATATTAACCTATTGTTTTTTTAATTTAAAATTTTCATAACACTTCTAAGAGTCATTAATAATTTTAAATATATACATTAATTTCTATCACTTCTTTGAAATTATATTTGGAACTATAATCTAAGTTTAATTTACAAGCTTTGATTTTTAAAATTATTATATTTATATCAGATTTTATCTATATGTGGCTCAACTTTTTGATCATGATTTTAGAGGCTTGTGATGTTAGAATCAATGAATTAAACATCTATCCAACTTAAGGAGAGAATTACATACTTCCTATGGATACTATATTTAGTGGAAAGAACTTGTCCTATTTTTGTTAGAACTGCCCCAACAATCTTATAGTCTATAATACTTTCGAAACTATTGTTTCTAAAGACAATTATGGTATCTATGGAAATTTAATGAAGGCTTCACATCTAAGTCAATCTCATCAAATAAAACACATTTTGCTGTTTTAACTAAAGAATAAACTCTAAATATATATAATTATGATCTAGATTTGGTATCAAAATTAAAATTAGTAGAAGATTGGACATATTTCAATGCAATATTTACAATCAATAATAAAATTTTGCTTGATAGCTATGATCAGAATGTATTATAATTTCTTTTTTAAAAATAAAATTAGTTAATTTTTATATAGAAGTTGACATCATCTATTCCTACTAAAACCAAAATGAGATCTTTTGTTACTTAATAGAAAGAGGCATTATTGTATGCATAATTCTATACATAGTATACAACTCTAACTCTATTTATATGGGATAATAATCAATATAAAAATACTAGTAAATGGTAGCATCAATTAGTAGATTTTGAAATATCAGATAAAGGATTTATCTATATATTAGTACCTAATATGGGAATTTATCAAGTTGTAATAGATGTGGATCTTAAATTTGATATATTAACAATGCATTATTCAGTTTAAAACTTACTCACAATATCAATTGGAACTAGTGTTAGTTTGAATTCATAATGGGATACATTAATAATTACAAATAATGCTTATTATTCTTCTGTTTAAAAATTTGTAGCATGGGAAAATTCTATTAATTTTTTTGGAGATTTTATTTTAACATATTTTGACTTTAATCTAACCTCAATTTTACAAGTTTAAATTAGTTAATATTTTTTAATTATTTAATAAGATAACTATTTTACTGTGAATTCAGCTGAAATCATATATTAATCATCGGATAGTAATTCAATGCTAAAATTTTCAAGACATAAAAATAATATTTCATAAATTTATTCATATTTAGATCCAATAACTAACCGTTTATATGAATTTAGTAATAAATTAACAATTTCAACACTTCAAAATCCATAACTAAGAGGAATATTTGATCCTAATATTTTAAATGGTACATTTTCAATATCAGCATTTGAAAAATAATTACCATTTATAAATCGATTTTGCAAATCTCAAATTACATATAATATTTTGCCAAAGAATGATACAAATATTTATATGGTGTATAATGAGAAACTACCTAAAGTAATTATGTAAAATTCTATTGTATAATATTCATTTGACAGTTTTTCAGGACCTTTATAAAAAATTAATGCAAATATATCTGATCCTAAATTAGGAGAATTTACAGATTAAACCTTTGAATTATTAAATATTAAAATTGATAAAGTATTTGATTTGGTCAAATTATATTATATAAATTAGCTTTCTTTAGAAGGATTGCTTTTAATAGGAGTATAAGAGCTGACTTTATATTTTTATGTTTGTTAAAGTAATTATACTTGCATGTAAATTTATAATAATACCTTTAATGAAAAGATTCATAATATAGAAATTTCCTTTTATTATCTATAAAATTTTACTGTAGCTATTGATTAAGGAAGTTTTTAAATAATAATAATCTAAGCTAATTATAATGAATAGTTATTTTAATAAAATATTGTTTATTCAGAATCAATAGTTTGTTGTTAGCCATATGAATAATTTTTATTAACTTATAAAAATTTAGTACTATTGACTCCAGATAAGAGAATAATAATATCATCATTTAATTAAGATTTTATGTTTAATTTAGATCAAGAAATAGTGAATCAACTTTTCTTTGATCTAATTGAAAAAAAATTAAATTTTCATCCAAAATCAATTACTTCAAATTAATAAAATTAAGCATCTACTATTTTTATTAATAATAGAGATTGTTTTCTCACAATAGATATTTCATATAATAATAGTATTATTCCTATAAGTATTACATTTGTTGATTATGAAATTTATTCATTAAATATTGTAAATGAATAAATAGTGATTTCAAATTTGGCAGATGATGATATACTTGAATTTGAAGTATATAAAATTTACAACATTTACAAACCTGAATTTTAGAAATAGTTACCATATTTATAAATTAAAAAAGGTACTCAAATTTATTCTGATGATGCTCATCTATATGTTCTCTCTAAAGATAATTATATGGTAGTTTATAGTCCTGCTTAACCTTATCACAGTACTTTATATTATAAATTCGAATTTTCTGGGAATTATTTTAGTTGCGTTGATTTAAATTTTACTTCATTTGTTACATTTTCTAATTAATATTATTTATTGCATGTTGTAATCACTGAATAATTTATTAGCAACAATGTTATAAATGCAACTTACATTTCTGAATTAAATTAGATATTTGCTGTAACATCAGCATTAAATTATTAATAATAATATTTGTTTGAGGATACAATATATGTTATTAATCCTCTAATTGATATTCAAGTTGATTAAAAGAATTTAACTTATGAATTTCAAAAGGCATAAAATTTTAGAATTGATTTAGATTTACTATTTAATTTTTAAATTCTTTCATATTAATTGTCAATCAATACAGAAGATTAAAAAAAATCAAGTATGATATGTTAATAAAACTAATATTTTTAAGGATAATAGAATTATAGTTTTCCAAACTACACAATAATATTAAATGTTAATGATTAATTCTATATATAAAACAATATCTCAATTATAGGATTATCATCAGGAATAGAAGTATAATATCTTTTTTAATTCGAAAAATGTTTAGCATCTGCATCTTATAAAAATTTTATATATACACTTTGTCTTAGTTCGTAAATAACATTTTTAATTAAATTTGAGATTTAAGGAAATAATATTACATAACTTATTGGGTATAATGCATTACCATTATCTTGCCAAATAATAAGGAAAATGATTTAATATTAAAATTTTACTTTTGTACTTGGTTAGAATATAATTTCTAGTGAATATGAGTATATTTATATATACAATCTCTAAGATTTAAACAATATAACATTCTAGAATGTATCTTGTAAAAAAGGTATTGAGGATTTTTCCATTCAATATCTTTATAACTCTACTCAAAGTTCATAAATTATTGCTATATTTTTCATTTGTGATAATTAATTATATTATAAGCTTGGATATTTAAATTAGATTGATTATACGCTTAATTTAGATAGAGATTATTAGAATGTAATATTCAAAGATAAGAAACTATTATTAATGAAATAAACAGCTATGCTACAAATAATTCCTTTAGCTGTAAAATATAATGAAATCTTACTAGCTCTCACAACAACAAATGCTACAACTTTTATTTTCACAATGACTTTCAGCAAAGAATTATATGTAAAAAATTAATTACAAATATAAACTATTGTCTAAACTATTCCTCCATATGGAAATTATACTTAATAATACTTTGGTTTAGCAACTAAAGGTATATTATTGTTACTATTTGCTTCTGAAAATGAACGTGTTTTTGCTGTCTATAATTATACTATGATTTAAAGCAATATTAGATAACCTTTAATGATGATAGGAGGATTAAATTAATCATTACCTAATCCTAATGGAGTTGCAATCTCTATAATATCTAACCAATTAGGAGGCTAAATAATGGATTTGACAAATGGACAATTAAATATATATAATTTTAGCACTTCTAACTATTTATCTTGCTAATCTTCTTAAGCAGCTCATAGTGATTAATATTATTAATTGAGGATATCTAATTCTTTTAGTTCAGATACTATTGAATTAATTTTCCAATATAAAAAAGAAGGTCCAACTTATTGGATATATATCCTTATGGCTTTGGTAATACTAAGTGTATTAAGCTTTTTCTATGTATATAGATAAAAAATGAAAAATCATAAGTATTTTGAGGAGGAAGGAGAATTAACTGATGAGTTTGAGCTTTGAATTAACTTGTATTTATAATCTATTTTTAAATTATAATAATAAATTTTAAGAGATATGTATCTTTTATATTAAAAAATAGAATTAAATATAAAAGTTCTCTTTTTTTGACTACAAATAATAGAACTTATTAATAGTAGTAATGTGAATCTTAAAAAAGATAGATAAATAGATTAATATTTAGATGAATTTATGAACTATTTTGTATTAAAAAAAGAGAACAGTTAAGATTTCCTTTTTCTATGATAGAAATACAATAAGCTCAAAAAATAAATATTTTTATTTAGATGATATTAACAATAAGTAAAATTTAAAAAAAAAACCTATTATTCTAAATTAATTTAAATCAGTTACTCTTACTTTCTTTTAAGCAATTTTAGAGAAATGAGAAGATCCATCTATAAATAGTAGTAGATTAAATAGTTATATAATTAAAACTGATTTTTGGTTTGATAAATTTTATATCTATATAAATTATATTAAGATTATATTTTTATGGGGTCTTGTAAAAGTTGCTAAACTCCTTAAGATGATAAGATTTTACATGCTTTACCTAGTGATTCGAAAAGACCTAAGAGTTCTGAGATAATTGCTCCGATGACTGGAGAAACAGAAGTAACTAGAGATAAAAGAGGAACATTTACTTATGAAAATGGTGCAAAATATACTGGAGAATGGTAATATATTATTTTATATTTTGTTTTGGATTGGTATATGTCGTGATGGTTTTGGTACTCAAGTTTGGCCAGATGGAGCCTCATATGAAGGATAATGGAAAGATGATAAAGCTCAAGGAAAAGGTATCTTTAAACATGCAGATGGTGATATATGTAATTGATTTTATTGATAATTTAGATGATGGAGAATGGGAAAATGACAAAACAAATGGTTTTGGTATTTATATTCATGCTGATGGTTCCAAATATGAAGGACTTTGGAAGGATGATAAATAACATGGTTATGGAACTGAAACTTGGACAGATGGAAGTAGATATGAGGGAACCTATAAGTATGGAATGAAAGATGGTACTGGAACCTATTATTGGCCAGATGGAAAGGTTTATTAGGGTTAATGGTTGTAAAATAAAATGACAGGATATGGAGTATGTCATTGGAAAGATGGAAGATGTTATATTGGTGAATGGTTGGATAATAATATGCATGGTCATGGTAAATACACAACATAAGATGGTAAATACTATGAAGGAGATTATTACTTTGATAAAAAACATGGATTTGGAACATTCACTTGGCCAGATGGTAAAAAGTATACATTAAAATTCATATTGTAGATATTCTGGAAATTGGAAGAAGGGTAAATAACATGGAAAAGGTAAAATAGTATTTGATAAAATTGAAAAACATGGAATGTGGGAAGATGGTAAACGTATTAGATGGATTGAAGATGAAGATTGATTCTTTATATTTTTGTAATTAATGTTTTGTTTTTGGATTTATTTTTATAAGTTAATAATAGTTATTTATAATATTTTAAAATAAAATCAATCTATCTCAAGATATTTTAGTATTTATATCAAAAATTAAAATACTCAATTTAGATGGAAAAGATTATGAAAATAATTGAAATATTGAAATTCTAATATTATTAATTTAATTTACTAATCATATAGATTATTATAATATTGATGATTTTACTAAAGATTTATATAAAATCAACCTATTATATATATTTGTAAACATTTTAATAAACATCTATATTATTTTATTAAAAAAATATTGTAGTTATTTTCATTTGTTATTTGTATATCAAATATCAAAAAATATAGTAATTGAAAGTGTGATCATTTTTTGTTAAATTTTCACATAATTGATTTTAATGACTTATATAAAATGAAAAAATTATTTATAATTATAAATATATATATAAAATGTCTAACCACCGCAATTTGAAGGATTTATTTCCCTCAAAATTCAATTATATTAGACCAAAAGTTGTAATTTATTATATTAATATTATTAGGAACAAAGTGAAACAACAAAATAAACTCACAAATCACCCTTAGGTCTTAGTTAATTTACAAGTTTTTTTTAATTAGCTCAATTATCATCTAAAAATAAAAACAAATAATCTTAATAGAGAAGTGTAACACCTTAAAAAATAAAAATTGTTCAATTAAATATACAAAAATAAGATTAATCATAAATCTAAATTCAATCTAAACATCTAAGAAATTAAAGTGCATCTAATATTAATAGTAGTAGAAGTAGTTCATTTTTTAAAGATAAACAAGATTACTTATTTTAAAATACAAGTTCTCGCAGTCCTATTCAATCATTCTTGAAATAAGAATTAAAATAATCAAAATTATTAATCAATTCCTAAATGCATCAATAATAATAATAATAATCTAATTTAGACTTATAAAATAAATCTAAAGATTAATCACCTATTAAACCAGCATTTTATGATAATCTTGATATAATTAATAGAAATACTGGAAGAAATAATTCTCAATCACCAAATACATCAATTTAAAAAATATCTCCTTTTATTAATCTTAAATAATCTAGTTCAAATAACATAAAATATCCAGAGAATTAAATTAAATAATAAAATAATAATTTGGTAAAAGAGAATAAACCAGCAGATAAACCATATTAATTAATTAATAATGAAATTCCATAGATATAAATAAAAAAATAGGAATTCTAGGTGCCAAATTAATTTAAATAAAATAAAGGACTAGATAATTTATTTAATTCTATGTTAAGTATTTAACATATATCTCATATTTCAAGAAATGAAAATTCAAAGAGTATTTTAAGATAGCAAGAAAAACATTAATCAAGTGATGATGATGAAGAAACTTTAATTGTTGATTGCAATATACAAATTAATAAGTATAGTTTTTAATTTCATTATGTAATTGGCAAAGGTGGTTTTGGAAAAGTATGGAAGGTTGAAATGAAAAAAAGTAAATAATATTATGCAATGAAAGAGATGTCTAAAGCTAAAATAATTGCTAAAAGAAGTGTTAATTCTGTTATGAATGAACGTAATCTTTTAGCTTAATTCAAACATCCATTTTTAATTAATATGAATTATTGTTTTTAAGATAGAGAAAATTTATATCTTGTAATGGATTTATTGACTGGAGGAGATCTTAGATATCATATAGGAAAAATGAGAAGATTCAAAGAGCATTAAACTAAATTTTTTATTGCTTGTGTGTTTCTTTCATTAGAATTTTTACATAATAATAATATTATTCATAGAGATTTAAAACCAGAAAATATAGTTTTAGATAAATAAGGATATGCAAGATTAACTGATTTAGGAATAGCAAGAGTATGGAAATCAGAAAATTCTTAAGATACAAGTGGTACACCAGGATATATGGGTAATATTTAATTATTAATTAATTAGCACCTGAAGTAATGTGTAGATAGAATCATACAATAGCAGTTGATTACTTTGCATTAGGAATTATGGGTTATGAATTTATGTTAGGAAGAAGACCTTATAATGGAAGATCAAGATAAGAAATTCGTGATTAAATTCTAACTAGATAAGTGTAAATTAAAAGATCTGAAATTCCTGATGATTGGTCAGTGGAGGCAGCAGATTTTATAAATAAATTAATATAAAGAAAGCCTGCTAATAGATTAGGATTTAAGGGACCTGATGAAGTTAAAAATCATCCTTGGCTTCGTAATTTCCCATGGTAAAAATTGTTGAACAAAGAAATTGAGTCACCTTATATTCCAAAGGTATAATTTTATTATTAAGAAGTAAATTGATGATAATGTGGAATATCTAAATTAAATAAGTGAAGATAATGATAGTTAAGATGAATTAATAAAAGAAAATAAGCTTTTACTAAAAAAGAATTCAGTTTAAAATTTATTTAGTGGATATAGTTATGAATGTAATTCAAAATACACTAAGAGTACATCTAGTACACTTTTTTTGGGATGACTTTATTATTTTATATTTAATATATAGTAAACTAAACATATGTTTAGACGAATTTCGAATATCGATAAGCTAAAATAATAAATGAAATTGAACCAATAAGTTAAAGAACTGTTGCAAAGGGGAGAGATTGATATGGAAAACCCATTTCATTTTGAAGTAATACTGCATGAAAATAGATTATCATTGCTATATTATCTAAAGATGAAAAATCAAGGAATTAAAATGATTTAAATGTGCTTGCTTCAGCACTCTCAACTATAAAATACTTTCATGAAATGATGAAGACAACAAGTTTTGATGAGATGCTTAATTTATACAGAGAGTTGCAATATATTAATTTACCTGCCCGTAGAACACTTTTTAGATGTGGTGACATTGGTAAAAACTTTTATATAATCTTGAGAGGCAGTGTATGGGTAATAATTAAAATTTATTTAAAGGTATTGGTTGGTAAAAGTGGACTAGGAGATGAGAGATTAGAAAAGTAGGAAAAGAAAGCAGATAAAAAATATGATAGAAAGTAAGAAAAGAAACATGAAATAGGAAAAGAATTTGATGAAGGAGAAGAATCAGTATAATATATATATAAAATAGGATGAAGATCAATATTAAGATTTGGAGGATGAGAAAATGCTAGAATTTAAATATCCAAATATGATGAAAGTAGGTAAAATAGAGTAAGGAGGAAGTTTTGGAGAAATAGCTTTAACTAATTCGGTGCCTAGATAAGCTACAATAGTTTGTGCAGAAAATAGTTAATTTATTAAATTATCAAGAGAAGCTTTTAATAAATTTTTATGTAATTTATTTAAATACAGTTATAGCTGAGTATTATACAAGAATTTAGAATAAAAATTTCATGTTTCTTAAATCAATTAATATTTTTTCTGATTGGTCAGATGCAGATGTAGGATTAATATAATATCATCTACAAAATATTGAATATTCTATGAATACAGTTATTTATAAAGAAGGAGAATAAATTAAAGGTGTCTATTTCATTATTTCAGGAGTTGTTGAAATACAATAAAAAAGTAAATCAAATCAAAAAATTAAATAAAATTAATTAACTCATAAACAATAGATAGTATTAAATAGATATTCTGCAGGATAAATATTTGGATTTCTTGAAATTATATAAAATAAATAATTTAGAGAAACAAAGGCAGTTTGTTTAGCTGAAAAAGTTAAAATACTCTTTTTAGATGAAGATGTAATCATTATTTAATTTTAAGAGATTTAAATTATATTGTTGTTAAGGTTAATCATTAAAAGTCTTAGAAAAAATGACTAAATAAATAGAAAAAACATTTGAAAAAGCAAATTTCATATATTAAGAAGCATTAAAATAATCAAATTAATCTCTATCTTTAAATCTTGCTGAAAGTGATAGTTATTTATAGAGATTAAAAACAGAAAATTAACCTATTTGCAAAACTAATAGAAGCAAAATTGTTAAAAGATCATTAGATATATTAGGTAATATATCACATTAATCATCAAAAATTTTAAATTATTGTGAATGTGTATCTGCATTTAACAAAGATAATTAAGTTAAATTAAATTTAAATAATCCATTAATACAAATTGAACCTAGCAAAAGAGTAAAAATGTAATAATTACAATTTTAATAACTTTATTCACCAGGTCCTCCTCCTACCTCAAGAATTCCTTAATTTTCTAGTAGGGATTCAAGATAAACCATACTTAGATAATTGAAATTACCAAGTTTATTCAAATTATAATAATCAGAATAAGATGATAGAATATCTATTAGATAATTAGATCCTGTTATTTGAATTGAATATTAATAAAAAATTGTTAAAATACTTAAATTTTTTTTCCTATAAAATTCAAACACTTATATTAATCTTCATTCCCAATAGTCTTAATTCTCTCGTTCATTTATGTCATTATTAATTTGATACCAATATCGTATATTATCAAGCCTAGATTAAGCTTCAAAAAATTCTTGATCATCAATTCCCTCTTAAATATATGTATGTAAATAAGATTTTTTTTAATACATTATCTTAAACTTTTCACCTAAATTATCCAATTATTTATTTACGCTATTTGAATGAATAATAGAACTACCAAAAAATTCATAATTTTAAAATTTTCTCTTACATATACTTGTAAAAAACATATTTACTCCCTTTATCCTTTTCTTAGCCCGAGATTAATAATCTTCTAAAAAATAATTGAATTTCGAACATTATTTATATATTTCTTTATTTGATATTTCTCCTCTTATACTAAATGCAGCTGCCCAATATCTTCCTTAAAAATTATCAATAAAAGTTGAGTTATGATCAGTTGACATTAATTCTTTAAAAATTTAGTATTCATCCATTTTTTAATATTCATTATAGTAATCGCTTTATTGATTATTTGTCATACTGCATGTGAATAATTTGTAATCTGGAAAAGGAATCAAATTAGTTGAAAGCTTTCTCAAAGATGAATTAATATCCCCAGGATTTCTAAATGGTGAAGAATTACAACATATTGTTTAAGCAATATGAAGATTTGCATCTTAATAATCAAATTATATTCCTATTCTACTTAAATTCTATTTTATTCCTTCATTATCAAAAAAAATTAATTATTCAGCTGAATCCACCAAATGTTTAAAGGCTAAGCCAGAATTATAAGGCGATACTACACATACATCATTTTAATTTATAGAAGGAACTAATAAGTTACACTAAATTATAGTATCATAGTATTCATCTTTTAAAGTTTGAGACAAAACTGCTGATAAACCAGATCCAGTACCACCAATTATAGATGCAAAAATTTAGAATCCTTGAAATGAATCACATTATTCGATTTCTTATCTAATACTATCCAATATTATGTCAACAATTTCATTGCAGCAGTTATTTTTAACATATCCAAAATTATTGCCAGAAGAGTAATTAAATGAGAACTGATTACATGGATTTAATTCTATATTTGTTTATGGTAAATCCTATCCTAGATCAACCTAAATACTTCTAGGAAGTGGTATCTTCTGTTATAAATTATAATAAACAACATTAGAAGTATTAAGTTAAAGAATGTTACTTTATTCATGTAAATTATTATCGATTTCAAATTTGCTATCTTTAAACATTTCCTCCCAAAATTTCACTCCCATTTTATTACCAAAACCACCTAATTATAATACCAAAATTTCCCTCATCAATTTAAAACAATTTTTATTATTGCTTGACTTAAAAAAAATTTAAATGATCAATTATTTTTTAATACCATTATTTAAATTAATGAGTAAATTAATAACTTATAATTTATAATACATAAATAAATGCCTTAAATCAAACATCAAATTTATTAATTAATGTGTAAATGTCGTATTTTTAAAAGGTATTTTGCCACTAAAAATTAAAAAATACATATTTTTGCTAATGTTAACATACAATTTTGTATCATAGACTTTTAAATAAAAATAAATAAATTAAGGGTTTAGTATGTTGATCAAATTATAAAGAATATAGGATCTCATTATCATTTGCAATATTTAGGAATAAGAATTTAATTAAAAAAATAAATTTTGATTTAACATTTACTGTTAGAAAATCTTATGATCAAATGTTATTGATTCAAGGTCTTCCTCTAAAGTGTTCATTTAATTTTTTATGGACTCTACTCTACTTTCTATTTTCATCTCCATTGTCTCCATTGTCTCCATTGTCACCATTGTCACCATTGTCTCCATTGTCTCCATTGTCACCATTGTCTCCATTGTCACCATTGTCTCCATTTTCACTATTATCTCCATTATCTCCTTCACCTTAATCTTCTCCTTGTCCTTCCCCTTCACCTTGATCTTCTCCCTCACCTTGGTCTTCATCTTCTCCTTAATCTTCACCTTCTCCTTCACCTTCTCCTTCATCTTCACCTTCTCCTTAACCCTCTTCACTATTTTCTCCTTCTCCACCATTTTCTTCCTCCTCACTTGTCCATTAATGTTCACCATCATCCTCACCTGTAGGCCAGTCATCAGCTGGCTAACTGTTTTCTTCTTCACTTTATTAATCTTCTCCATTTTAGGACTATGATTATTCTTCTTCACTATTTTATCCTGGTAGATTTTCTTCATCTTGTTTATGGAATCTCCTTCCAGAGATACATAATAACAGAAGAGCAATTAATAAAATTTTATTCATTTTAAATATAATTTATTAATTATACTTATATACTGTTATAAATAGTCAGCTTTACATAACATCCTATTCTTATAATTTAATTAATTGAATTGATTTTGTATAATATATTTTGATAAATTTCTTCTTTTAATAAAAGTGCTCTATTTTCATCACATAAGTAATCAATCAATTATTAAGATTNAACATATCCAAAATTATTGCCAGAAGAGTAATTAAATGAGAACTGATTACATGGATTTAATTCTATATTTGTTTATGGTAAATCCTATCCTAGATCAACCTAAATACTTCTAGGAAGTGGTATCTTCTGTTATAAATTATAATAAACAACATTAGAAGTATTAAGTTAAAGAATGTTACTTTATTCATGTAAATTATTATCGATTTCAAATTTGCTATCTTTAAACATTTCCTCCCAAAATTTCACTCCCATTTTATTACCAAAACCACCTAATTATAATACCAAAATTTCCCTCATCAATTTAAAACAATTTTTATTATTGCTTGACTTAAAAAAAATTTAAATGATCAATTATTTTTTAATACCATTATTTAAATTAATGAGTAAATTAATAACTTATAATTTATAATACATAAATAAATGCCTTAAATCAAACATCAAATTTATTAATTAATGTGTAAATGTCGTATTTTTAAAAGGTATTTTGCCACTAAAAATTAAAAAATACATATTTTTGCTAATGTTAACATACAATTTTGTATCATAGACTTTTAAATAAAAATAAATAAATTAAGGGTTTAGTATGTTGATCAAATTATAAAGAATATAGGATCTCATTATCATTTGCAATATTTAGGAATAAGAATTTAATTAAAAAAATAAATTTTGATTTAACATTTACTGTTAGAAAATCTTATGATCAAATGTTATTGATTCAAGGTCTTCCTCTAAAGTGTTCATTTAATTTTTTATGGACTCTACTCTACTTTCTATTTTCATCTCCATTGTCTCCATTGTCTCCATTGTCACCATTGTCACCATTGTCTCCATTGTCTCCATTGTCACCATTGTCTCCATTGTCACCATTGTCTCCATTTTCACTATTATCTCCATTATCTCCTTCACCTTAATCTTCTCCTTGTCCTTCCCCTTCACCTTGATCTTCTCCCTCACCTTGGTCTTCATCTTCTCCTTAATCTTCACCTTCTCCTTCACCTTCTCCTTCATCTTCACCTTCTCCTTAACCCTCTTCACTATTTTCTCCTTCTCCACCATTTTCTTCCTCCTCACTTGTCCATTAATGTTCACCATCATCCTCACCTGTAGGCCAGTCATCAGCTGGCTAACTGTTTTCTTCTTCACTTTATTAATCTTCTCCATTTTAGGACTATGATTATTCTTCTTCACTATTTTATCCTGGTAGATTTTCTTCATCTTGTTTATGGAATCTCCTTCCAGAGATACATAATAACAGAAGAGCAATTAATAAAATTTTATTCATTTTAAATATAATTTATTAATTATACTTATATACTGTTATAAATAGTCAGCTTTACATAACATCCTATTCTTATAATTTAATTAATTGAATTGATTTTGTATAATATATTTTGATAAATTTCTTCTTTTAATAAAAGTGCTCTATTTTCATCACATAAGTAATCAATCAATTATTAAGATTGTACTAAAATGAGTTTAATATTTATATTTAAGTACATCATTTTTATAATTTTAGGAATCTTTTGAGTAATATTTTGAGAAACAATTATGTTAAGTATACATACAAAGGTGATCATTAAAGCATGAATCAGCATAATCTTAGCAAAACATTCGTTAACATTTTTCGTAAGAATTTATAGGATCCTCTTCATATCTGTTGTAATATATTCTTTTCTAAAAGCTGAGTATAATGCATAATATAAAAATTAACTTAAACATTTATTAATATAAATTATTATATACTGATTTTATTCATTTACTTATAAACTTAATATTTTATTTCATATAAATTACTATCATTTTATAATTACTTATTTGATTCTCATCTGATAAATAAATTTCTAAAAATAAATATAAAATAACAGTAAAATAACTAACATTAATATTATTAATAATTATTATGTTCAATTCAGCCCAAAAAAGAGCTCCACCTTAACTCTATGTAACTCCAAGATATAGAACTACACAATCTGAATACAATAATCCACATTCTGAAAGATTATTTGAAAAAAGTAAAGAAAATTCTTTCAATTAACTGAAAATTCTTCAATAGATTGGTTATGGGAAATTTAGTAAAGTTATGTTAGCAATGTAATAAATTAAAAATATATATAGGTTAAATGGAGAAAAATTTGCATTAAAGATAATAAATAAAAGTTGCACTATTAAGACTTAAACTTAATAGCATTTATAAAGAGAGATTCAAATAATGAAATAGCTTAATCATCCTAATATTGTTAAATTATTTAAAGATTTTTCTGATGAGAAGAATGTTTACTTGCTTTTAGAATATTGCAATTAAGGTTCACTTTTTAATTAAAAATTTGATTAAACGCAAATAAAATAAATTATTAAGGAAGTTTTGCTCGCTTTAAAGTATCTTCATAATCAAGGCATTATGCATAGAGATATTAAGCCAGAAAATATCTATTTACATAATAATCATGTAAAATTAGGAGATTTTGGAATTGCCTAGTATATAAAAAAACAAAGTAAATCTTTTTGTGGAACCTTAGATTATATGGCACCTGAAGTTATTAATTAAAATTGTAAACTATATTATTAAACATAGTTTATGATAATCGGATAGATATATGGTCTGTTGGAATATTGGCATATGAATTAAGTAATCTTGAACCTCCAATTAAAGATAGAGATTAAAAATTATAAATGAGACGAATAATTTCAGAGGAAGTGTAATATCCTAGACATTTTGATCTAAAACTTAAAAATTTTATATCAAAATGTTTGAAAAAAAAGTGTGATGAGAGAGCTACAATAGATGAATTACTAAATGATGAATTTATTCATTCTTGAATTATTACTATATTTTAAAAAATTATAAATAAATTCAATCAAATGATAGAATAATATAATATAATTCTTTTTATATAAAGAATTTATAGAAAATAATAATTATATTCTTTTTAATTTAATATGTTAAATAGTATGAGTTCCATAGAAGAAAATGAAGATGAGTTTCACAACTCTTTTAAATCTAGTAAATCTAGTAATTCTCCTCTTTCAGAAAAAAATAGTTCAATTTTTGTTTATGAAAATTTTAGCTTTTAAGAAAAGTAAGTTTATTTATTATTTTTAGTTAACATCACAAATTACAAGATTCTTACGAAATTTTAAAAAATATGCATGGTTGTAATGAGGATTATAATATTAAAATTAAGAAACAAAAACCATAATAACAATTATAATATCAATAATAATAAAAATAAAATCGATTCCTATAATTCGAACAATAAGAGGATGATGCAGAAGAAACTATAAATTTTCAATTTTTGAAAAATTAGTAGCAAAAAAAATACAATAAGAAAAGTAAATCAAATAAACAAAATAATTTCCAATAAATGTTACATTTAAATGATAATGAATAGGAACCTGATGAAGAATTATAATAAATCCTTGATAATTTTTTCGAAGACAAAGATTGTTAGTATAGTTAGAGCCTTTATTAATGATCACTTTGAAGAATGTGTAATGTATATAGAGGATAAGTTTTCAAAATTAGAAGGAGTTCTAGACTGCAGTATATGCATGAATGAAATAAATGACAATAAATTAATACTTAAATGTTAACATTATTTTCACTCAGATTGTATTAAAGATTGGCTTAAAAAAAAAAATGAATGTCCAGTTTGCAGAGAGTAGATCAAAAACTAAATTCATTGAATAATAATTTATTTTCATAAAATAATCTATTATCCAAACTTTGATAATTTTCAAGAATGATTAAAATTAAGCATTAAATTCTTAATATTAATTTAATTTAGATCTTAAAAGTTATTTTATCATCATAAGTTTTTGCTAATAATACTACTGTTTATAATAGAATTATGGAACTTAAAATAGAAAAAAATATATTTAGATGTAATAATTCAATATGATGAATCAGTTAATATAAATACTAAAATTCCTATTTTTAATAAATCCTATGAAATACTGTTTTAAAAGCATTAAAAAGAGTGATAGTTAATGTCAAATAAGAGTTATTATTATAGCATATTTTAAAGAGAGTTTATATAATAAATTAATTAAAGAGTTGTACATATATTTAGATATTAAAAATAAATTTAATGAATAGTGAAAATTATAAGACAGAAATACATAATATGATTGCAAATGGTAAGGATCCAAAAGACATGGTTATTTAAATGTGTAGACCATAATGCAAATGGTATGATGATAAATACGACAGATGTGTAAAAGCCTTCCTTTCCCTGAAAAATGCTGATCCTGAAAAGAATTGTGTATTATTTTTATTTATAGTAAGATGTATCCTTATAGAGACTTGGTGACTTGTGTTGAAGCTTGCGTTTAGCCAAAAATCCAGCATGCTTTAAGAGGAAATGAACATGGTTCAATATTTGCATGAATTATATATAATGTTAAATATAATTATCATTAAAATAAGAATAGAAAAATAAAGTAGATATTAACATATAAATTATTTAAAATTTACCTATTTCTCATTTCTTTAATAAAAGGTGCTTCTTATAAGATTTACTTTCTTGATGAAGTAGAAGAATGTTAACTTGCATTTATTAAATATTATCAATAACAAATTATTTTTGATATATTTATTGATATAAAATTTGAGATTGTATGTATCATTCTGAGGACTCTTTAATTTATAAATGATTTAGAGATTTGAAGTAATGAGTACTAACTCATCCTATCATTTTAAATAATTTATTAGCCTATAAATATTTGAATAAACTTTAACTATTAATTGATGTAACAAAAGAGAGTCACTTGTCTTCTGTAAGGTTCATCAAGATAATCTATTTTTCAATAATTGAAAATTCTAAATGAGAATATAGTGTTAAGTCTGTTTAGAATTTGATTTAGGATTTTTTGTTATAAGTTTGAATGAGATATTAGAAATCTTATTAAAAGAAGAATTAATATCTTATATTATCATGTTCATTAGGTAGAGTTAAATGTGTTAATTTTTTTCTATTAAAAATTTGAATAAGCTAATACATGATGTGATTGTCATATTTTTTGGAGAAAGATTAAAATGTGTGAATTAAAATAATAGAGACTTATTTTTATAAATGATTTTATAAACAGATATCAATAAAGTTATACATTTTGTTGCTAGTAGGAATATGAGATTTAGATTGAGTAGTCTGATGAGTTTATTACAATAAATGAATAATTGATTATTGAATATTTTTATGTAAATTGATATTAATTCTAATTTTGAAATTTATTAAAGTTCATTTCTTTTGTTTCTTTCGTAAATTCATACGGCTCTATTTTTTTTTTTATTTACTCTTTTTGTCTTTAATTTCAGTGTTTTATATTGATTCTCTCTCCTAGTGTTTAACTATGATACTTTGCACTTCTCCGTTTTCATCGACTACCTATTCTAATTTAACAAATTCTTCTTCTCCTAAATCATGGACTTAAAAGTTGTTTGGATTATTAATCTCAACATTCTATTCTGGTTCATCAGTATCATAATATTCATATACACTAATCACTTCCTCAAAACAATCTTCTGGGATATCATAATTATCAATCATTCTTCCTAAATCCATCTAATGGCCTAAACTTAACTCATCAGGATATGCATCATATTCATAAATGAAATCCTCATATTCTTAAGATATTTCTAATTTTTTGATATTTCTTAAATACCTTCAAACCATCTATCTTCACCATCTATAACCTTTTTGATGATTTTGGACTCAACACTTAATATAAGATATATGTACTTTGATTAGTTGAGCAGTTCACAAAAATAACACAAAAAAGATAAACAACTAAAACGAATTTCATATTGTAATTATTGTTATAATATAAATAAAATAATTGTTATAAATAATGTAAGAAAACTTAATTCAAATTGACTTTTCATAAATAGAAAGTTTAGATCCCTGCATATAAGGTGGATATAAAATAATTTTTAATCAAGAGATCCCTTTTATGATTAAATTTCCAGACTAAGAAGATCAAAGTATTGTTGAAACCATCAAGGTCAGAATAATGATTTTAGTATGAAAATTTTAAATTATCAAAATAGGGAAATGGAAAAGATTTATAACAATTAACTTTAGAATTATCTAGCGAAAATGATTTATTTTTCTATTATTTTCACACAGTCGATAAAGACAATTTTCAAGTTGTAAAAACTAATTAAAAACTCAACACAGATTTCTTTGGATATCCAGATGTATGTGTAAAAACATTTAAAAGATGTTAATTGGAACAATAACAGTAAATAAATTAATTATATATGGTAGTTTTGCACCTGTATTATACATTTAATAGAATGCAAGAGCATAAGTGAATATTGTTTAAACATTGGAGTATAAAGAATTGACTTTAATCACTTTCGAAATGATTGCAGGGGATGAAGAAATTATTAAATAGCATGTCTACTATAAACATGGAGCAGTAAAATCTAAGTTTTAAATATTAAATGCAAAAATAAAAGATGTAAATATATATTTTGATTCTCAGATACATGAATTAGTCAAAGTAAAGAATCCTTAATTATTGCTTCATTTATAAAAATACCTTCCTAATTGATGATTAAATATTATTTACAAATTTTTAATTCATATTTCTAATTATTCGTCTTTGTCAATATATTTATGATATTAGTGTCAATCTAAAAAGAATATATTCTTGATATTAAAAAATAAATATATCTCTTATATATATAATGATTTTATTGGTTAAAGTCAATAGACAGTATTATCTACTAAAGGAGAATTTATCAAAAGAATTGCTTACTCTAAATTATTTATTAAATATATATCATTCTTTTGGATTAGAAGGATTTGCTTAATCTAAAAATATCAGGAAAAGATAAATAAAATGATTTATATAATATTATTATTTATAAATGAAAGTACAACAAATCATTTTGGTAAATAATCAGGGAATAAGTCTTAGACCAAATTTAAAGGATCTTAATAATTTGTATAAGAGTTCATCTTCAATAATTATGAATTCAGTTCTCTAACATCAGTAACCATTCTAAATTTCATTAAATAATTTTATAAATATAATAATTCCTAATTTTGAACAAATTGATTACTTAATCTTATTTATTATCATAGAATGCTATAATTGGTACTCCATTATCTATTTATTACCCAAATGAGTAACTAGCATTATCAATCAAAAGAATATTAGATAATTTTCTATTGCCTAACACTCTAAAGTATTTAATTAAAATACCTTAAATCTTTAACATAAGCTCCTTCTTCAGTCTATAAACAATGATCCCGAAATAAACGATGGCTGATCCATTGTTTTTTTGGGTCTAAGTAATCTAATACTATATTAGCATAGCATGAATGAGAAGCTGTAAATACAATGATTTCAAAATGTCGAGATAATGTTTAAAGAATTTATTAAGCAAATGGTCTGATATTGATAGATGCTTAGATAGTTTCTCCTGTGGGGAAAGTGATAGGTAATACAACATCTCCAGGAACAGATACACTTTCATTACAATGAATAAGAGTTTCATCTAAATCAAAAACTAAAGTTTTGAAATGAGTAGATTTTGGTAGATTCATAACTTTGTCCTCTTAAAATTATAATTGTAAATTTCTAGCATATTCTAAACCCTAATTTATAAATACAAAAACTTACTTAGATAGTTTGTACAATGTGATCTCTGATGACTTCATCATTTTTGTTACTTTATTCTTAAACTAATGCTCTCATTACACTTGAAATATAATAAAGAAACTAATTTTAGAATAAATAAATACATTTTCATCTTTTTTTGGTTTTTATGATGAATATGATTTTTCATTAATAATTGTTTTTGTGATTGGAATGGCTGTTTAACTAATTTCTAGAGATTGATGTCTACTAATTTATGATTATTATTATTATAATGGTTAAATAGGTTTTTTAATTTGCTTAACTTATGTAACAAACTGATCAAGATTAATACTTGATTATTTCTCTTTAGCAATTTAACTTTACTTTAAAGCTTTATTAAGTTATAGATTAAGTGCAGTTGCACATTTTGTTAATTCTTTTGGAGTGCTTGCTTCTTTTGGTTCATTATTTTCTTAGTCTTTTTTTTAAAAAAATTTAGCTGCCAAACCAATTGGCTTTTGTCTTGCTCTCTCTGATTATTTCTATAATTATGAATTGCTTATTTCAATATTTGACTTAATTTTATTGATCTTATTTTCTAAAAATAACAATTTTTCGTGTAATTTTTTATATTCTGATTAATCAATTTATTTGTTTGCCAACTGTTAATTAGATTATGATTTAATAAGACTATTATCTGGAACCTATTTTAATGAATAATATCTTGATTAAGGTGTAGCTTATTATGGTTGAATGTATGTTGAGTTCTTTAATTCCTTAAATGAACATCTAGATGGTTGTTTCTGATTAGAAAATGCTCTTTTATCATTAGATGCTGAGGATGGTCTTGGTACAGCCTATACTGAAGGTTGTCTAGGTTGGGAAGAATTAGGACGCATTTCTGGTTTTTGGAGGGTCTAAGTGGATTGATATTGAGGATAAGCTTGTATAGGTTTTCGTTTTTGCAATTATGCATAAGAGTTCTCTTTATCAGGTGTCTATTTGAAGGACTAACGGAAAGAGTCTTAAACTACAGGTCTTTAGACATATTGTGGTACTCGTTGCATTCAGTTTAAATTTTGTTAAATTAAAAAAAGTCTGTTTAATTTAATATAATCTCTCAACATTTTGTTTGTGTAGTAACTCGTCATTATAAATATCTAAGTAGTAATACAATATGAAGAATAGAGTTACTAAATTATTTATTAAGTACACGTATTAAAAATTATAAGTTTACTTAGAGAAGATTACATAAGTTCTTTAAATGACATTTATATTATTTATTAATAATTAAAATGAATTAGCTGCTGGAAAGTAAGTAATTAGTGTTATTATAGGTTTGATTTTGTAATTCATAAGAGATGGAGATGAAAAGCAGAGTGAACAAATAAGTCGTTAAGTAATGTAAAAGCATCCTGTTATATACTTGTGTAAATGTTCTGAGATTTTGGATGAAGTACTTATTAAATGTATTTTAGATGGCTGAAATTAATAGCGAATATATTAGAATACTTCGATTAACTCTTTAAGTTGCTGGGTTATTAATTCGAACAGAAGAAGCCAAATTAGCAGTCATATAATGTACTTAAGTGTTAAAACGAATTATAAATCGAATTCTGAGTCAACCTTAAATTTCAGAGGAGTTGAATTAATTGCTCACTGATATCCATATTAAATTAATGGATGTTTTTGATGAATTGATTATCAATCATATTTCTGATTTTTTTGAATCAGGACGTGTTCCTGAAATAGTTATTTTGAAGATCATTTAGTAGATTTTCGAATCATAAAGTAAAGTTTTAAATAAATTTGTTTAGGTAAAGAATACTTTAGATAATTTTCATACGAAATATTATAAAAGATTTTGTCATCTCTCTCTCTTGTGAAGACTGATCAATGTAGATTAGATTATTGTTAATTATTATAATCCATTTATAAAACACTTAATCATTTTGAAGAGAATTAAGTCTAAATTAATCAAGAATAGGTTTAAAATGTGAGTTGGCTTATTTTTGACTAAATCATCAAAGATTGGATGTAAACAACCACTTAAGTTTAAGTGTTGTCTTTGGTTGGATTTATGAGTTAATTTATATCTAGAGAGAGATTAGAGCGAAGTTTAGAAAGATTGACTTCAGTTTATTTGAGTGTTTTGAAACAAAAAAGCAATTAATTAAGACCATTATTTGAAGGTTTTAATAAATTTTTGGAAAGATTATATCATTTAGATAGAATTGGATATGAGGGAATTATAAAATCAATTATGGTGTCATTATATGAATTTTATAAGAATCCAATCTTCTCTCCTAATTATCCATTTGATCCAAATGCCTTAAAGTATAAAAATGATTTATTAACTCTTTTACAGACAGTATCAAAGTTCAATATAGATAATTGTTTAGATTTATTTATTGGTAGAATTAATGTAATTAAATATATGTATTTTTTAGAGTAAGGATTCCATAGAGAGAGTATCATGTCTATGGATTTGCAATTTCATTTTGTCCAGAAATTTCAAGTAGATTTCTGAACCATACAAAAGATAATTAGTTTTATAATTATTAAATTTATAATTTGAATAAGATTGTGAAGTAAGATATGCTATTTGTGAAATTATTTTACAAATATACTACAAACTTAAAGATGAAGAATTACCAATTAATTAAACTTATTTGGATGTTAAAGCCTTACTCTTTTATTTATTTAATTAAGTATCAATACATGATAAAGAATTGGAAGAATATGGAAAATAAAGGGCAGCTCCATTTGAAACTACTTTAGAAGTAAGATTCAAATTTATATTTTGAAAGCTATTGAAGAGTAGAGCATAAAAGATATTGACAACACTTTCCTAAGATAATTATTTTTATGATTTATTATGGCCAATGGGATTGGAAATTATTAATAATTAAAAGTTTTCACCAGGATTATCTCATATATTTAAATGTTATACATAGATCTTATAAAAATTAAATATTATAACAAATAATTCACCTGTTGGTTAACATGTTATAGTTGTGAGAATGTTACTACTAATTTAGATTCCATATTTCTTTCCTAATTTAGGATTTGAAGCTGTTAGCTTTTTACCACATTTAATAAAGACATTTGATTTAAAGGTTCCAAGTAGTTTCCATTAAAATGTAGAAACTTTAAAATAATATTTGATAAATAAAAAACATTTAGATGAATTTTATGAAGAGAAGGTATAATAAATTTGGAAAGTTTGTTTATCATTATTTATATAAAATAAAGAACTCTCTTAAATAGAAGAAGATTTCTAGGTTTAATTAAGCATGTATTTAAATTCACAAGCTTTAAGATTACCAATAATGAAAATGTAAGCTACTTTAATGAGTTTTCTCACTAATTAAGAAACAATTAAATATAATTTAGATAAATTATTTAGTATTTGTCATTAAGAATATACAAATCAAGCTTTAAATCTTAATGTTCCAATTTAAGAGCCAGATTTTAATCTTCGATTGTGTGTAGCTGAATGTTTTGGTTATATAGGAGAAAGACACACTTAATTAGTTTTAGATAAAGTTAAGTCAATTTTAAATTGTGAAGTAATTCAAAAGAAGAATACAGGTTCTTTTAAAGAAAGTGTTTTATCAATATTTTAAAAAAGTGGCAGTGATGAATATTTGGCTTCATTCAGAGCTACATTACTTATAGCTTATGGTTGTTTAGCAAAGTAGGTTTCTTTAGAAATATTGGAAAAGAATATCTTACCAAATGTTATGCCATTTATTGGACATGAATAATTGTTTAACTCTCTTTAGATATCTTTAGAATCTATAAGTAAAGCTATTGAGAGATCAATTGAAAACACTGATGAAGCAGCTGCATCATCATTTTTATTAAGTTATTAGAAATATAGAGATTAAGTATTGAATCATTGTTAAAAAAATATCAATCGAGGAAATATATTCAGAAATCTTAATACAATTAATTTATAATATCGTTTGGCACCTATAGAGTATAATAAGGTTAAATAATTATTGAGTTAACATTTGGATTAGAAATATGATTTATCAATTGAATAAGTAAATATTACTTTTTAAAATTGTTTTTTGTTATTTTTGGGAACAATTAAATTAGAAGAAGATTCTTAAACTATTTCAGTTTGGCAATCTTTATTATATTTAATAAAATCAATAAAGGATAATGATTAATTAATAGAAATATTATAGAAAAGTATATAAAGAGTAAAATTAAAAATGGAATAAAATCATAAAAATTATTTTAAGGTTATTTTAACTTTACTTTCTATATTATATCGTAATACAAATGCAAAAAGATCAGTTGTTTTAATATTAGAAAAAGTAATGTTATCTTTGGGAGTATATTTAGATATATATTAAAAAACTGATGAAGAATTTAACTCTTAATTAATAAAATCATTAAGAGAGAAATTACATCATAATGAATTAACAATCTTAATGTAAGAATTATAGAATCTAATTAATGAACCAATAGTTGAATCATTACATGGATTTGTATCTCTTATTCAATGCATTTATCAAAGTGATTATGCAGATTTAAATAAAGTTTTATTTCTATTATAATCTATTAGTTAATAAGGAACAGGATCATCCTCTGAAGAACTTATGTAATATTATATAAATAAATATATATAGAAATTCTAATCTCATTAAAGCTATGGAATTATTGGCTCAAAATAATTTGAGTGATTCTTTAAAAATTCTTTTAGATAATTAATCAGAATTTCCAATGGGAATGTTTCCAAAACTATTTCTTAATTGTGTAAGTTAGAAAAAAACATTTATGGTATAAAGCTTTAAGTTTTTAACAGATGTCTTAAATAATCCAGAAGGAAGTAATCTATTTTTTATAATTATTTTTAGTTATTACTGGAGATATTGGAAATTATTTAGTTAATGCATCATTATTTATTGGATAATTATTCATTGACGAAAATAAAATTTTATCAGAAATGCTACCAAAATCAATGGCTAGCATTTTAGGAACTTTTTTGCTTAGATTTATGACTTGTCATGATCCTAAGTTATCAGGATCATCTTAATCTGTATAAACTGCTATTTGGGCATTTCAAAATTTATTGACTATTTGTAATATTGAAGGAATATCATAACATGTTTTTAAGAAGTTGTTAATAGAAGAGGAAGTAGAGGATGGAGTTCAAGAGATTGTTATGATTTATTGTAAAGGGGCTTCATTTCAAGATTAATAGAAACTCTTTAACTTTATTGAAGGATTTACTAAAAAGGAATAAGCATCATATAGATTAGGAGCAATAGTTGTTATTAATTAATTTATTAGAAGTTATAAGAAAGAATATGCTTAATAGAATGTTTATGAGAATCTATTGAAAACACTTTTAGAATCAGCTGAGGATGATAGTGATAATGTAAGAGCTTAAGTAGCATTTGGATTGGGAGGATTATCATATTATTTAAAAGCTGATGAGACAATTGAAAAAGATTTATTATAAGAGATTATTGAATGTCTTATAAATTTATTAGATGATTAATAAGAAATTTGTGTTAGAAGTGCTATGATAAGTTTATAGAATTTAATTGATTCTACAACTGATTTTGTAGTATATATTCCTTAATTGATATTTACAACAACATCAAATTTTGAGAAAACTATGACTAAAATTAGAATTTCAGCATTTTCCCTATTCTCAAAATTATGTAATACTTGTTTTGTAGAGGAAATAATGAATGAATAAATAATGTCTTATTTAAGATAGGCATTAGTATCTGTGATGCTTCATTTATTAGATGAGAGTGTTTAAGTTAGATAAGTGTGCAAGTTAGCTTTGGAACCAATAGGAAATTTACTTAAAACACCAATATTAAAGTATAAAATTATATATATTAAAGATAATTGTCCAATAATGAAATGGAGAGTGATCTTGAAATGAGTCATTTGGAAGAAAATGAAAAAATAATTATGATAATGAGTATAAATTTAGAATAAGAACATTTGAATGTATTATTAATAAATTATTTTAATTATTAGATCTACATTAAAACATTGATTGAGTTTTGCAAAAGTCCAGAACATAATATCAAAGGAGCTGCCTTATTTAGTTTGATTATATTATTGGCCTTTAGAGAAGTAGGAGATTATAGACCATAAATTGAATAATTATGCAAAGATAACAGTAAAGCAAAGTTAATCACAAAATAATTAGTGATGAAGGCAGCGTACTATTTATGATATACCTAAAAATATATAAGAAATGTGTATATACATTTATATTTTATTATTGTAAAATTCATTACTAAATAAATTTAATTTTATAATTATAAATTCTATTATTCATTATTTCATTTTATCCATCATCTCTATAAACTCATTATAATCAATTTCTCCATCTCCATTTTTATCAGCATCTGCAATCAAGTATTTGAAAGTGTTATCATCAAATCCAGTACCATTCTCTAAAATATTAATCAATAATATTACTCCCTAAAACTTATTTCAATTCCTCCCTTGAGATCTTTCCACTTTCATCCAAATCAAACATTTTAAATGCTTAAAACAGTCTTTCTTATTTCATATATATACTTTTCTCTATAGTGGCTGCCAAGAATTCTTATTATTAAATTTAAATTTATACCAGTGTAATTAATAGTTCCTGAACCATCAGTATCAATACTTTTTATCACATTCATTATTTCATTTTATGACTCTTTCTTCAAACCTGTCAATCCATGAGTTAATTCATCCATAGTCAAAACACCATCTCCATTCTTATCTAATTACTTAAACAATTTTCCTAATTCTGATATTTCTTATTCAGATAATTAAGATGCTATATAAGTTAATGTAACCTATATATAATTTAATTATATAAACTTTTTTTAATTTATTAAAATTTGTAAAATTCTTTAAAGATTGATAATTAACGCTTAAAGATGAACTTCCAGCTTATTATTACTTCATCCAAGGATGTTAAAGAACCTCATGAGATTTCAATCTTTTCTAAGGTTTACATATCATTTTTTATATCAAATCCTTTGCACCTTCTGAAACCTTCTTGAATTCAGGTACTAAAGAATATTCTGATAAAATACTGTTGAATGTGAAAATGCCTTTTTTAACGGCATCCAGAATTTCAGGATCTGTATTTCCATAAAATGGAGGTACACCTGATAAAAGTATATAGAGTATCACTCCTGCTGACCAAATATCACAAGATTCATCATATTTACCATCTAAAATCTCAGGGGAAATATAATAAGGTGTTCCTGCTCTAGTTGTCATACTAACTTTTCCTTATGTCAACTTTTCAACATGATTATCATGGAATATAACAGACAATCCAAAATCTATGACTTTTAATGGTGAATCATCAGCTTTTGTCAATAATAAAAAGTTTTCAGGTTTTAAATCGCGATGACAAATTCCATTTTAATGACAATAATTGACAGCTTACATAATTTACAAAATAGTGATTCTTGCTTCATTTTCAGAAAAATGACCTTTGTCAATAATTCTATCAAATAATTCACCTCCTTCACAAAGTCTTAGATAATTATAATTCTTACTCCATCACTAAATAAACATTTCTCACATCTTCAAAAGTCTCAAATAATTTAATAATATTTGGGTGATCCTAATTATTTACTGTGTAGTCATACTAAATTTCTCATTATTTCTATTTCTCTTCTAAATCGATCAGGATTTCTAACTTTGCTTTTTGGAATTATTTTGATAGCTCTATAATATTTCTATCCCTTTAGTTTAGCTTTAACTACTTAACCATAAGTCCCTTAACCAAGCAGCTTTTTCAATGAATTTATACTAATACCTTCTTGTGATCAAATTCATAGGCATCTTCAATTTTAGTTGTGGAGGATTTTATGAACCATTATTTTTTAATTAGAATATTGTTATCCATATTATATTAATTAATTAATTTTGTAATTATATATAATTAAAAAACATTTTATATCGTATTATTCCTTTTAAATTCATAGATATTATTGATCAATACTCTCATTCTAGAAGCATAATAATTAATAATTTTTTTACCAATATATTTTTACTTCATAAATCAAATCCGTTTTTTATTACATCCTTTTTAAATGAAAAACTTTTTATTAAATAAAAATAGATAACATAAATTATTTTCTTTATATTTAAGAATAAATTTCATGAACAAATCATGTAAACAATAAAGGATAAATGATTTTATTATTTATTTAACAACTCTTAAAACTCAAATGAGCTACTGGATATAATCTTGAAATTAGTTTAAATTTTTAAAACTAATTCGATCTATTGATTAATTTAAAACTGTCTCAGTATATTTATAAATTATCTAATGAATTTTAGACATTTTTATAATTAAAAATTATTAGTCATTTATGATTAATATATTATAAAAATGAACTACCAAAGTATCAGTTGAAGAAACGAATAAAAATGAAACAAATTATATGTTTAGTATATCGATCATTATTCCTACTAGATGAAAATGTATGTTTTTGAAATTTAACAAATATTCAATTTTTTATTGAGATACATTTAGAAATAATTTAAATGTTTCATTATAGTTATCTATCACTATTATATACTATGAGTAAAAGAAGAATCTATTAATTAGAAACCTTTTTGTCATCAAAATGATAGTAATCAAAGATAAAAATTTATGTTATATAAATTCATAAAATACACTTTGTCTAAATCATATCATTATAAGCCTTTGAATCTTTTAGATTTTTGTCAATAATTTTTCTAAAAAGATTATTAGGGCTGATAGGGAATTCAGGTTCAAGTTTATCTTTGTAAGCTTCTTTAAACTCTTTATCAAATTTTTGTAATGTTGATTTACTTGATAGGATTCTTTTTATTAATGATCTCAATCTAACATACTTACTTCTTAGATATGCAACTTGTATTTCTATAATATCATTAACTAATTATGTATTCTATAAAATTCTTCCTGGTGTAGTTTTCAATAATTAAGGATTTGAATTAACTTCTAATACATAGATTTATAAATCATCAGTTATCATGAAATCTACTCCAAAGAATTCTGATAATTTGCTATCATTATCAAAATAGTGTTATGTACTCATTATTAGATGTTAGATAGTATTGTGTATTTTTGGATAGAGGTAATCATTTAACCATTTTTTGTTCTTTATTGCTTTTTTTTGTAATAGCAATTCTTAAAGATAATCTAATTTCCATTCAATAAAAAATGCTTAATCTTCTTATAAATCTTAGCCCTCTAATTTCTGTTTGACAATAGCAGTGTTACAAACATGTGAGGATTTTTCTAAGGAAAACTTATCAAAGGGCATAGCACATCTTCTAATTAATGAACTATCATAAGCATAAACAATCAAGGGATAGGTAGAAGCAATTATGAAATATATTCTAAATTCAATTTTATGACCTTTAAATAAAAAAGGATTGTTGATATATTTTTATGCGATTACGTATTTAGAAATTTGACCACATTTCTAACCATTTTAATATTCTTTAATTAGTTATTTAGTTTCTTTTTCAAATAACATCGTAATCCCTGCTCCTCTATGTACTTCCAATCCTAATTTACTAATAAATTAAGGTCCATGTTTTTGGAATTTCTATTGGTATTCTGGAGTGTTAATAAGTTCAAAGAATGCTATACATTCATCTTTCAACCATAATCTGTAAGATTTAGGTATGTAGGTAACATTTTATGAACAGATTTCTGGCATTGTTTTCAATTTATCCACATATTAATAATAGTTGTTCAGTAATTCATTTTTATATGCTAATTATTATCGACCTCTCATGTGGTTATGCTTTTAAAATAGACACATAGCAGCTATATAAATTAGATATGTAATTACATAATCCTGTATTTGATCTAGTAAGATAAGAATCATAATAATTAAAAGGAATTGTTAATGCTTCTGGTAAAGCTGTCTTATTTTATTGTTTATCTTTAGTTTAATTAGGTATTTTTATAAAACTGATTGATTTGACTATTTCTTATGTTAAATCATCTGTTTCTCTGGTTGTGTAGATATCTTTTAATACAATATCAGGATGATAAAATTTGAAAGTATCTGATTAGTTACAGTAAGTTTCATTCAATTGTATTTATGATTTAGATAAGTCGAATCTAAATGATCTTTTATTTGAAAAATATTTCCTATTGTTGTAAAAGTTAGAGGTGGTTAAATTATTCATTTATTTAAGTATATCTTTGACTTGATCGTATTATTTGTAGACTAATGTATTCTCAATGAGCCATTTCTACAAAAACAAGATAAAAAGAGATGCCAATAATATTTATTAAGTCATTAAATTAAAATAATTATAGGGCCATTAGTATAGCGGTAGTATGGATGTTTCGGGTACATCAGATATGGGTTCGACTCCCGTATGGCCCCATTTTTTAATAAATCATGTGATTAAATATATAAATAATGCTAATTCTTTATTTTTTGCTTAACATTTTAGTCCATATATATACATATATATATTATAGAGAATTATAACATTTAAAGTATTCATTTTAATCTTGAACCAATTTTCATTATATTATAATTACTAGGCACTTTCATTGGATCTAAACGTGACATGATTTATTTATCATCAATAGGTTATCTTAAAATCATTTTATCATGATATCCATATAAATATTTATTTCTTGATTAAATTTATTTATCAATAGCATCTCTTCTTTTATTATATTCATTATATTTTATTAATTATTCTTTTTTCTTAATTACAGAGATAGATTTTAATTTATTTTATTATTTTTAATCAGTAGGTTTCAGTAAATATTTAGAATTATCATTTTTTACGTCAATATCAAAAGCTCTTTTATCAATACATCTTTATTCATCATAATATGGTAATATATAAACATCAGTGGGTCTTCTTAAATGTTCAGCAGATGGTCTTCTTTTTTTTTATCTGATAACAGGATTATATTATAAAACTTATTCATTATCATCTTAATCTTATTCATTATAAATATCACCATCTTATCCTTAACAAAAAATCTAACTGAATTTCTATATTTCAACATTAACATCACTTTCTGTATATTCAATAGTATTTCTTATTTATTCTGCTGCCTTGAAAAAATGTTCTGAAAAAGCTTTCCATGCTTTTATTGCCATATATAAATATAAATACTCTTATAGAATATTAAAATTGCTTTATAAATCTACAATTTAACTACATACTTCTCTTCTATAATGAGAGTTTCTTTAATTATAAAGTCGATATTTAATTTTTTTATCATTGTTTTTCATTATTTATTTTCCAGCTTTAGTACTTATTTTGAAAATACTTTTCTTAAATGTTGCTTTAAATACTTCATAAAGTAGATTCCTAAATGTAAGACATCCATCAAAATCTTTTTTCAATTCAAATTCTGAAGCATGTTTTGCAGCATCCCAAATATTATCTCCTTTTTATGCTCCTAATGGTTCTCCTAATTCAAGTAGAAAATGAGCTAAATATTTAGTTTAAATTTTAGTTCCTTAAAATTCTTCAGAATATTTACACCATAAATTTCTAAATTTATCTATAGTTTCAACATAAGTTTCTACACAACTACTACTAGTATCATAAAACTTTTCAAATTCTTAAACAAGTTCACAAACTATTAAATTAAGTAAAACTCTTGCTCCCACAAATATTAAACTATAATAATAAATTTAAGCTATAATCCAAGGTTCATGATGTTCTTTCATATGTTATAATGTATCTTAATATATAAATCTCCATCCATTTTCTATAGTACATTTAAATGTAACTATTAATCCAAAGAAAAAATTTGTGAAATTTTATTAATCATTCATCATAAATCCTGTCTCTATATTTTAAAATAATTCACAACCAATATAAGAATAACATGATAATACTGTTACAAATAAACCTAAAATTCTTAATAAGGCCATCTTATTAAAATATATTACATTCAATAATTTTCTTATTCTTGTAAATTGTTGTATATTCAAAGTCATTCGTAAACATCTATGAAGTATAAATAATCTAAGCCATACAAAATATGGATCATCTCTACTTGCTCTTACATATCTAATAAATAAACCAATTTCAATATCCAACCAAAAATCTATAATTGCACAAATCACAAATATTAGTTACATTTATCTCCAAATATCATCAAAATATCTTTTTATGTGATATGAAAACAATTTTACTATACAATCTATTATTAAGATAAAACTAAAAAAGTGATGGAATCCATTCAGTATATTCAAATAATGATTACTTGCAGATTCATATAATAACATAAGAATTACTAAAAATATATTAATTTTAAATTACATAAATTTAATAACAAACTGTATTTAGTGATAAATATATAGTATCTATTATCTAATAATTTCTTTGCTCTCAATCTTAAACCTTTTTTAGGAGGTTTTGAATAATTTGGTGTATCTTACATTATTATATCAGATAATTTCATAAATAATTCTTAATCTAAAGTTAAATCTGGATTAAGTAATTATGATTTATTTTATTAAAAATTTACAAATATTACTCCAGCAAAAAATTAAAGGAAAAATAATGTACCTACAAAAGTAAATGAAAAAAAAAATAAATAAGATATCCATTCATTATTGAATCTTATTGGTCCAGTAGTTTCAGGGGCACTATTTATACAAATAAATAAAGTTTAAGCCCATAGATCAAATGTTGATAATACATATAATGATTACATAGCCTCCAATATATTATCGAAATTATATTAATAAACAATCCATTCCTCCTTTTCCTCTTCACATTCTTCTTTACTAATTCCATAATTTGTAGCCTCACCACAATAACCCATTTTCCCCCTATATATTGTCATACCAAATATTGCAAATATAAACCAAAATAATAATACAACATAAAATATAGAAATTATATCTCCCAATGATTTCATTATAGCTCCTCTTTCATTTATAAAAAAACCATATGTTGATGTGACTTTTAATGGTCTTAAATAACCTAAAAAGAGGATCCATTCTAATGCTTCATGATAAGTTGTTAAATGTATAAAATAACATATAACATAAACAAAATCAATAAATACCCATATACTTTTAAAATAACCATCATCTGATAATAAACCATATGTTATAATTTACAATATTCCATCAATTAGTATAATTAAATTACAAATCAATTTAATTATTTCACAAATATTCCATTCTTCATGTCTATATTAATCAGTATAAGTAATTACTATTAAATTTATTAAACTACCCCATAATATTATAATCATCAATAATTAAAATACTTAATTTTCAGTAATTGTAAAACATAATTTTCTAAATCTATTTTTTTTGGATATAAGATATAATGAATATGAATTTTTTATATTTTTGAATTTTTCATTCTCTTCTGGTTATATTAATGAAGACAAAATGTTATTTAGAGTAAAATCTTTTTTAATTTTAATTGAATTATTAGTTTAATTATTATCTTATTAATCTATTTTTTCTTCTTCAATTTCCTCAACATTTTCTAAATAACTAGCAAATCCATCTAAAATTATTACAAAAGCTAAACCAAATCCAAAATAATTGACTATAAATACTAAAGAAATACAAAATAGAAATGCTATATATGAAGCACTATATGTTGTACTCAAAATAACTACTCCATACCAATCATCACTTGTTGATATATCATATACAGCAATCCAAGATTAATAAATATTTCCAAAATAATGAAATAATGCCAATTCACCACTATTTGGAAAATTGAAAATCTACAATGAAAATACAGCATAATTTAATATTAAAAAGAATAATAATAATGTCATAACAGCATAATTAGGGAATGTTTAATATGAAATCATCATCATATTTTAAGCAAATGTATTATATTTAATAACTCTAAAAAAGAATAATGATTTTAAAATTCTAATATAAGTGAAACTTTCAATTAAAACTTCTTCATCTTAATAGATTGTAAGAGTCAAAATTCTTTCAATAGCTGAAATTGTAATTACTAAACATCCTAAAATATTACTAATTTTATATAAATATCCCTTTATACATATTGATTTAATTAGCATCTCTAAAACCAATAAAATATTTACTGATAAATCAAAGAAATCTGAAATGGATGAATCATAATAATCTGAAAATGCTATTAGTAATGTATCAATACATACAAAACTATCAATTATTACTATAACAATTTACTGAGTAATAAATATTCCTAACCAAAATTTAATATATTCAAAATAAAACATTAATCCTTTTGCAAAATAATAATTCCATCCTCTATTTATAAAATTTATAACAGAATCAGCTTTATAATTTTTAATTAGATCATTTCCTGACCATTTTTATATATAAACATCTTCACTTATTTAGGATATTTTAATTTAATATTTTTCTTCATAATTTTTAATTTCTTAAATTTCTATTTTCATTTCTGCATTTATAATCTTTTCTATATATTAATATGGCAATTATATTCCATCAATAAAAATGAATTTTGATAATTAAGGTATAGATTTACTAACTTAGGTACTCTATTGAAATCTTTAGGTATAAAACTATTATAAATTCTTTTAATTTTTATTTTATGGAATATCTTATTGATATTATTTCTCAAATCTAGAATGATCAAAATTAGAATTCATTTCATCATCACTTAAATCTCTTACTGATATATTATTCTCTTCATTAATTTATACAATTTATCCATAATTTTTTTAGAAATTTGATTTTCTAATTGGAAATATATGTTTCTCTTTTTTTGAATTATCTTTTGTTTACTATTTTTTTGTATCCATTACATAATTTTAATGTATATGTATTTTAGAAGATCTTTTAATTTTATTATGAGTAGGTAATTTTGATTAGACAATAGATATTTACAAATCTTGAATAGAATTAAATTAATTAGGGGATCCTTTTATTATTTACTTATTCAGACTGAGATAATCAATACTTAAGAAAGTATAATAGAGTTGAGGTTCATTAAAGTAAAATTCATTTGCCTAAATTAGATTTTTCATTTGATTTTAAAGTTTATGATCTGGAAATAGGATGAAAATTATCCAACTAGAAAATGTATATTATTTTTAAATTAATTGTCTTTCATTTATCATTTCATTTTTTTATCTAGCTGATAACAATTTTGTTTATTCTTAATTAACAATTTCTGGAAATATATATTTTTATCCTTTTGTATTAGGTTCACCTTAAGAATTATTTGAGAAGGATTTACTATTTAATCTACCACATTTCCCTTTTAAATAATTTTTATAGGATGTTTAGTAATACTACCACATCCCTATAGTCTTTAATTTGTATAGATTTACACTAATTTAATCTTCATAAAACTCAGGTTTGATTGGATTTTTAACATAATATTCTTAAGTTTTGTGATAACTGACTTTTAATACAGCAATCAATAATTGAAAATAAAACTTATTAATTGCAAAAATGATAAAGATATATAAGATACATACTAGAGGATTAAACTATTTCATTAATACATACATAGATATAGTCCAATCATTTACAACACTAGTTCTGATAGTTTAAAAATAAGAGAAAATAATATCATCAAAATGGGTTGGTGTATCTAAATTACTTAATTGTCGAGCACAAACATAACCATATTCACATTCAACATAACCACATACATCTTCTTCAAACTTCTCTAAAGAAAAAATACCTAATTCTTCATTCATACAACGATATCTAATAACTCCATTAAATGCATATAACATTATCAAGGCAATGAGAATTGTAAATAATATAAGTATTAAGATATTTTCAACTATCTACTTTACAGCTTCTTAAATTGACATAAGCATAATGTTTAAAGTATTACTAATCTTACTTACATAAAATGGAATACGAATCAATCGAAAAGTTGATACATCAAATGGTATATATTCATTTTCTATAAGGAATAGAAAATATAATATTAAAATTAAAAAGTCATAGATATTCCAAAATGAGGAAATATATTTCTTAAATCCTTAACCAGCTAAATGAATTAATGAATCAATAAAATAAAGTGCACATAATACATATTAATATTATTATATTTATTTATTAGATTATCTATTAAGGTACAAAATAATATTTGTTAATGTCAGAAACATTTCATATAGATCAAAAGCTGTCCATTATAATAAATGATAACAACAAATCTCAAAACCAACAATAAGCAAAAACAATATTTTTCTAATATAAAGTAATTTGTTATTATCTTAGTAGTATTTTATTTCCATAAATAACCATTTAAAATTATGATTTACTTTCAATTCTATATTATAATTTTAACTTTCTTCATGAGCTAGATTTTCATATAGCATTTCAATATCCTCTTCATCTTCTTCTTAATTATCACTTTCTTCTGTAATAATTATTTGATTATTTTTTTTATGTTCATTTTAAATTTCTTATTCTTCTCTTTATTATTATTATTATTTATTATTATGTTAACCCTCATCAACAAAATCTCCAAAATTAGATGCATCTAATCTATATGACTCATTTTCTTTTAATAATTGCTCAAATGCTTTTTTTGATGCTTATCTTGTTAATGCTTCATTTAAAATAATCATTGAATGCTCTTATTCTACATTATATGTATTATATTGTTCTGATACTGATTCTTCATCTTTAGCTGGTTTCTCATTAATTTGATTTTCCTATAGTAAAATTAGAGTCTAATTATTTTGAGATGTTCTATTTTATGTAAATCTCTTTTTATCACTTCTCAGAGTTTGTGATTTTTGGGATGACTTTAAACTTTCCTTCATTATTTAAGTTCCTTTAGAGAATTATGATTCAGGTTTATTTTTATCCAACACAATAGAAGCTTACTATTATTTTGATTTGTTTTAATCTAATTGCTCTTGTTTAATATCACCTTATGTATCCTATTTATTCTTTTTTTAGGTTTGTTTACCTTTTTAAGGTTATTAAAACACAGATACTTATTTTTGCTACTTTACAGCGTTAACTTATTACATTAAATAAATATTAGATTAATAAAAATTTCACAATAACACAAAGAGTTGAGGGTTAATTTTGGATATTTTTATAAAGATCAAAGAAAGCCGTAAAAATAAAATTCAATAATATGAAGAAGTTTATAAAAATAAAATATATTTTTATAGGTACACATATTAATATTAATAGTAATCAATTAATATATATATACAAACATTTTACACTTATCTTAAGTGTTCTATATAGATTATCAAATAAAGAATATTGAGTATGATAAAATAATTTCTTGTATTGAATAATTTTAAGTGGAATTTGGTTAAAAAAGAGGTATGAATTGATGAATTAAAGACAGATAAATAGTAGATAAGAGAAAAATGCTGTTTTGATCAAAAGAATATAATATTAAAATAATATTAATATATATATATTTACTTCTTAATATATATATATTAATTGAATTTAGTAATAAAAAATAAAGAGTTAAGTGAATAAATATTTTGAGTTTTATTTCTTTTAAAACTTAGAAGATTAACATATTCAATTAATATTACTTTCAATATATATGTCATATTAATATTGAAAATGACAATAAAAAAAAATATATATGAAATATTATAAATATATTTATTGATTTAGGAGATTTTATTTTAGTTTATAAAATTTATCATTATCATTATAAAAAGTCAAGTATTGGATATAAAATAGGATTTTAAATATTTTTAACTTAAGAGATTTCAGTCAACTGAAAGCCAATAAATATAATTATTTATTTTTATTCATTATCAATATCATATATTTCTTATTTATAATTAAACCCTGCAACCTTAGATCAATTAGTTTTTGTTAAGAACAATTATTAAAAGTTTTTAATGGTTATTACAAAGATATTGATTTTTAGAGATATAAAATAATGCTTTTCTCTTATATTTTTATCCTTAAGTGCATCTCAAGTTTTTATTGAATGACTCAATTTGTGAATATTATTTTAATTATGTAATCTCCTATTGCCAGAAAGAAGCATCCTTCTAAAACCTTTGTTATCAAGAAGAACACTCTATTGTTTTAATCTGCAGATCAAGGAAACAAGAGATAAAGATCATAAAGAATGAGTAAATCGATGAGAAGAAGAGGAAATTTCTTAGATAAATAGGAAGCTTTTTAAATCAATAAATTTGCAGCAAAGCTCAAACATAGTTCTGATTCAGAATCTGATAGCGATGTTTCTATTGGAAAGTCAGGAAAATCTGAAAGTTCTGAATCCAGCATACAATCAGCCAAAACAATCAAATCACGTTCTTCTAAAAGAATAAGAGGAAATCTTAATCAATATACATAAGACATATTCTCGACTATAATTAGAAAAACAGAAAGCCAAAAGGACTAACAAAAGTATTAATATATCCTATGATTTTAGAGAGGAAATTTAGTAAAAATTGTTTGAAAGAATGGCTGATAAGGCAACAGCAGAGAACTATTTACTACATTAAAATTTAGAACAATTTGACTAGCCCTTTAAGAGAAGCAATCAATTTTAAAAAGATGATTAAGATTCTGAACATTTATTTGAAATATTTTCTAACCTTTCAAATGAAGATAAATAATCAGATAATTCAGATGCAAGTATTTAGATCTAAGAGGATTTTGATATATAGAGAATATAATAACAGAAAGAAAATTCATGTCATAGTCCAAAGATGTCCATTTAAACTCCTATAGCTGAAATGAGTGTAAAACCAATAAATTTAATAAGTCTACCTTTTTCAAACCCAGAGTGTCTAATTTACGTATATCACTAGCTGGTTTTAGTCCATTATAAGTTACAGATTCATCCTTATCTTCTGAAGATGTAAAAAAAATAATTATCCATTAGGGGGATTATGATTAACTATAAAACTTGTCAAATTAATTCGACAAGATTTATTAAAAATTAACTTATGTTAATGGTGCATAATTTATCAAATATAGAAAACTTGAAAGTTTCCATAAATATCATTTGATTTATGTAATAATCAAAAATAATTGAGAGCTCTTATATAGATAATTACAAAATGTTAAAATTTAGAAAATATGTGCTCTATTTATATTTAATAATAAAGAGAATCTCTAAAATTATTGTTAGGTCTAGATTATATTAATATATATTGACTTTAGTAACCTTAGGAAATATTATTATTTTTATATCTGAGCATCTAGAATAATAAGATAACAAATATTAAGAAATTAATATGAGTAATTATTATAATTTAAAACATAGCTTTTTTATGTTGTTACTTAGTAGATATAGTATTATAATTGTTTGCTTTTGGAGTGTTTCGTACAAAATTCATCTTTCTTTCAAGAATAATTGATGCTTCTTTAATAATTTTATATTATTACCATTTAAGATATTCTTAGACTGTAATAGATATTACACCATTAAGAATGACAAGATTGTTAAAACATCTTGGAGCTATATTTACAGGTAAATAAAAATACATAATATAAAAGGATTATAAAAAATGATTGAAGCATTAATAGAATCCTTAAAATTTATTTTAGAATCAACAGCTATAGTAATTTTATTTGCTTTATTTTTTGCATCTTTAGGAACTTCATTATTTATGGGTTTGCTAAATGAAAGATGTTTACCATCAGAAGAATCAGAGTGGGTATAATGTAGGGAAGGATAATGTTCAGATGGTATGACTTGTTAGATGACAAATAAATCTTATAATATTCCAACTAACTTTAATAATATAATCTATTCATTTGGTCTTATTTTAAAAACTGTTACTATGGATGATTGGAGTTGGGTGATGTATTATACAATTAGAGCATTTCATCCAATTGTTTGGATATATTATGTTTTGATAATATTTGTTGGAGGTTTTTTTGGTTTTAATCTTCCGATTGCAGTATTTAAGACTCATTTTAGTGAAATGTAATTTAGAGAGATATAACATATTGATGAAAGAGAAAATGTAATCAGCAAATCTAATTTGAATAGAATTGGATTTTATCATTACATAATTTAAATGAATTAATTTTTGTTTTCAAATTCTTAAGATATCTTAATAATTGAACCTAGGACAAATAGAGTACAATAATCTATGGATATTGAACCAAGATTATTATTGGGAAGTATGATAAATGAAAATAGAATAAATGTAAGCAATTTTACATAACTTAAAAATTAAATAAAGAACTTTTCATTAAAATTCTTACTTCTTCCAAAATTATCAATTCTATAAAAATACTATATTAATTTAGATATTAAGAAATTTACTTAAGATCCAAAAATTTAAGATATAATAAAATAATTTAGTAGATCATCATTTTTACTAGAGAAATATGTAGATTATAAATATCAATATATATAAACAAGTCAATTAGATATTTTAAGAAATTCACTTTTTTAGGTTCTAAAAACAACAGATAATAAAAATTCTTAAACTTATAAAAAGAAAGTATTTTATTATTAACCAATTTAAAAAAAGAAATCAATAATATAAAGTAAAAATATAAAGTCAGGTAAATTTGAATCAATGGGAGCCTTATTAACAAATAATTAGAGATCTTTTGTTTTATTACCAATAAAAATATCAAAAAGAATTAAAAAAAATAGTTAAAATCCTTCTGAAATACATGGAGCAAAATCTAGTTCAATGTCATATTCTCCAGATGCAGGATTAATTTATAATAAAGAAATTGAAAAGTAGAGAAGAAAACACCCCTATTTTATGAATGGAGAATAATCTATTCCAAAATAAACTATAAATAAACCTTTTACAATTTATCATTGTGGTGAATTAAAATTGCTTTTAAATGGAGTTTATTTAGATTATGAAGATATTTCAAAAAGAATAAATGCAAAAATTAAGTTTAAACAAGAGGATGAAGTAAAATATTAAGAAGAAGAATATATAAAAATAAAAAGAAAAGAATTTTAAAAAAGATCCATTAAATCAAGAAATTGGTCAGGAAACAATATATTAATTAATAATTTGTCTTTAATATAAAAATTTAATGATATTTTTAGATAACTGAATATAAGGGATATTGAAATTTGGTAAACATCATTAAGTGGTATTTTGATAACTTTAAGAAAATATGCATTTAGAATAATACATTTTAAATTAACAAAATTAATTTTTGATTTAACAATACTTATAAATACATTATTTTTAGCTTCATAAGGTATAATATAAAGAAGTATAATTGATGAAGTAGAAGATATTGCTACAATATTATTATCAACAGAAATTATTCTTTAATTAATTGTTAATAAACCAAGTAATTTATTATAAAGATATTAGGAAGAATAGCAAAGAATAAACATCTTGTAATAGAATTACTTATTGTAATTTTAAGTTTGATTGAATTTGGATTTAGTGATTACTTAAATGTTAGTGAATAATATTTAAGATTAATGAGATCTACAAAATGTCTTCTATTCTATAGATGCATATCTTATATTTATATGGCTAGAATAATTGGAGCAATTGCATAAATTACATACAAATCTTATGTATATTTAGCCTTTCTTATGTTTTTTATGATCTTAACTTTTGGATTGATTGGAATGGAGTTGTATGCTCATAAATTCGATGAATATCATAAGAATGGATATATGCATTCATTTGATGATCCAGGATAAGCATTTATGACAGTATTTAATATAATGACTAATGATGATTGGTTTGGAGTGTATAGAATTGGAACAGAAGTGTAAACAGAACTATCAATAACTTATTCTATTGGTTTAGTGTTTACACTTAATTATTTTATTTATGGAATTATGATGGCAATATTATTAGATGGATTTAGTTAATATTTAGAAAGAGAATCTACAAATGAACATAATGAATTCTTGAAAGACAAGATTAAATAAATAAATAAACTTAATAAATAATTAGATTCTTAACCTTCTGAAAATGATTCTGATTCTGAATCTGAATCTAATTCTAGTTCATCCTCTATTCAATAATATTAAGATTAAGTTAACAATTTTTAAGTTTATACTAATAGATTTCTTAATCGTAAGGAGAGTATATCACCTGATAATATTTAATCATCTTCTAATAATTTAAGAGAGTAATTAAAGAGGGATAGTAATTTCACAGAGAAAATATTTCATTCTCTATAATTCCCTGTAGCTAGAACTAGAAAAATAGACTAATAAGAAGAGGAGAAAAAAAAAATCAAAGATGATTTTAGAAGATTAAAAAGCAAAACAAATATGCGAAAAATAAAGAGTTCAGAACCAAAAACTATAAAATACTTATAAGAAAATCTAGAATAGATTTATAGAAAAATGTTTAAATAAAATACTAAATTATATGCTGGAATTGATTGCATGTAATCCTATTATTGTTTTAGTAAATCAAATTCTTTAAGAAAATTCTTCTTTAGAATTAGTTCTAGTAATTATATTAAATATTTTATTGATTTAATATTACTTCTATCTATTATTTATTTAGCTCTACCAAAGAATATTTAATAAACACCTTTATTGGTTACTGTATTATTTATATTGAATTCAACTATTTTTATTGAATTCATAATTAAATCTATTGCTTAAGGGGCATTTCTAGATAAGGGATCATATTTAAATGTATTTTTATATATAATTCATAGTATACATGGAAGATTGTTGATTTAGTATATATAATAGTTTATTATATGGAATTCTTTGAAATTATTAATTTACCAATTTTTATTGTGATCAAGACATTTATATATTTTAGACCTTTAAAATTACTTTATAGAATAAAATGGGTTGTTAGAGTAAGAGCAGCATTAACATAATCATTATTTGATATAATCAATGTTTTTGTTGTATTGCTTTTAGTATGGCTTATGTTTGCTGTATTTTCAATGATGTTATATGCAGGTAAAATGGGATTTTGTGAAGAATATATAAATTATGATGTAGGATAAGAGGAATGTAACAAATAAGGCAAAGAATGGAAAGTTTATAAACATAATTTTGATAATATTACTACAGCAATGCCAGTATTATTCATTATTTCTACATTTGATGGATGGGGTTCAATCTTATGGGTATCATAAAATAGTAGAGAAGCTTTTAATGGTCCACATCCTTATTTTAGTTAAATTCCAACATATCTATTTTATGTTGCATTTTGTACTGTTGGATCAATGTTTTTCCTACAATTATTCACAGGTGTTTTATTCATAAATTTAAAAGCCAATTCAAAATTAATGGAAAATCAATAATTCACATAAGCATAATTAGAATTTATAAAGATTTCAGAAATTATTCTACATGATCATCCCATAAGAGCTTCATTACCTAAGTCTTAATTTAGAAGGATCTTAAATATTTTAATAATGAATAAATATATGGATTTATGCATATTTTCTATTTTATTAGTAAATTGTATTGTAATAATGATGATTCATCATTCAGCTGATGATCATTATAATGGAAAAATCAATTAAATTCATCATATATGTACTTTAATATTTGCGACTTGGTTAATGCTTCAATTTATAATATTAGGAATCAATAGATTTAAAGATAATTTCTGGAGACTCTATACATCTTTAGTTATTATATTAGGAGTTGTTGATTTGATTCTTGATTTCAAATTCAATTGGTTTAAATTATATTGCAATTCAACTTAATTAACTTAACATTATTAATTATTAAGAATATTATATACACTAAGAAATTTAAGAATAATAATTATCTTTTAAGGTTTGTAAAATCTTTAAAGATTAGTAAGAGTTATGTCATTTGCATTTCCATTTTTACTTAAAATTCTTTTTATACTTCTAATTATAATGGTTGTGTTTGCATTTTATGGAGTTATGCTATATGGAACTATAGATAAAGGTGAAGTAATTAATGATTTAATAAATTTTTCTAATTTTTGGTTGGCTATGTTGACACTTTTTAAATGTGTAAGTGGTGATGATTTTCGTTCCATTATGAATGATTGTATGCATCACAATCCTTATTGTTCAGAAGATCCTAAATATTGTGGTTCACCTTATGCTTAAATTTATTTTATCTCTTTTATGCTTATATCTAATTATGTCTTATTGAATTTATTTGTTTTAGCTATGATTGAATAATTTGAATTTTTCTTTAATAATTAAGATTCCATTCTTTAAACATATGTTGAAAATATTGACTCATTTAGAAAGACATGGTTCAAATTCTCAACTTAGAATGGGTAGGTATTGAATATTAGATGCTTACCTCATTTATTAATTGAAATCAAAGAACCTTTAGGATGTAAACCTTATGATAATTTATGGGATGCTGCCAAACTGAGTTTACAATTTAATCTATTTTGTGATATTGGAGATAACATTTCCTATAATTAATTATTATATCAGATTTTCTATCATAGATATTAAAAACAAATCTTTGAATAATGTTCAGAAATGGCAGCATAAAAAATGTCTTAATTCCATAAAACTATGATTTTTAGATTAGCATATTATAGAAGAAAAGGATTAAAATAGAGAAGAACAAACATAGGACCTCAACTTAAATTGGATGGTAATGGAAATATATTACATATTCTATTAATGTCATTAATAGCATTCAAAGTATGGAAAACCTATACTCATCAGATAATTACTAACATTATTACTGATTAGTAATATTTCTCGGAAAGAACTGTAAGGGATACTGAACCAATTAGACATTCTATTACATTAAAAAGTATTGAGAGTTAAGAATCTAGAATAAAGTTAAATGATAATCCTGTTTATCAAAAAAGAAGGATGGGAAGAATGAAAAGAGTATCATTATAAGGTTAAATTAATGATTATTTACCAGGAGATTATATAAATGTATTTTATTTTATACTATTTTCAAGCCTAAACCTGTATTAAAAAGAAAGAGTAGTTTAGGAATTGAAGAAGGTAATGTTTAAAAAATTTATCATTCCCGTAAAATATAAAAGATATAAAAGTTATATAGAATGAATTGATATTATTATTATTATTATTATTTTTTTTTATCAAGTTTTAATACATCTTATTAAGATCTAATTATTATTTGAAAACCTTTTTATATTTCTATTTTTTGATGGTTTTATTGTTTCAAATACACTGCGATTAGACTTACTTCTTTTAAACATTCTTTTTTCTACTCCTTTTACAAAAGAATAATAATTATCAATTTTCTAAAGAATTTCATCTATTTTAAATTTAGGAAAATCCATCAGAGCAGATTTACAGCAATCAATCTGAAGATTTCATTTGTATGAACAATATCTAATATCTTTTTTATATTGAATCATTTTCTGTATTTTCACAAGATTCATCTAAAATTTCAATCTAGATAACCCATGTCATATGATTTGCTTAAATTTATTTTTTAGAATCTCCAATACTTAATCATTTTTAATTTCTAATCTAATANTCCATTCTTTAAACATATGTTGAAAATATTGACTCATTTAGAAAGACATGGTTCAAATTCTCAACTTAGAATGGGTAGGTATTGAATATTAGATGCTTACCTCATTTATTAATTGAAATCAAAGAACCTTTAGGATGTAAACCTTATGATAATTTATGGGATGCTGCCAAACTGAGTTTACAATTTAATCTATTTTGTGATATTGGAGATAACATTTCCTATAATTAATTATTATATCAGATTTTCTATCATAGATATTAAAAACAAATCTTTGAATAATGTTCAGAAATGGCAGCATAAAAAATGTCTTAATTCCATAAAACTATGATTTTTAGATTAGCATATTATAGAAGAAAAGGATTAAAATAGAGAAGAACAAACATAGGACCTCAACTTAAATTGGATGGTAATGGAAATATATTACATATTCTATTAATGTCATTAATAGCATTCAAAGTATGGAAAACCTATACTCATCAGATAATTACTAACATTATTACTGATTAGTAATATTTCTCGGAAAGAACTGTAAGGGATACTGAACCAATTAGACATTCTATTACATTAAAAAGTATTGAGAGTTAAGAATCTAGAATAAAGTTAAATGATAATCCTGTTTATCAAAAAAGAAGGATGGGAAGAATGAAAAGAGTATCATTATAAGGTTAAATTAATGATTATTTACCAGGAGATTATATAAATGTATTTTATTTTATACTATTTTCAAGCCTAAACCTGTATTAAAAAGAAAGAGTAGTTTAGGAATTGAAGAAGGTAATGTTTAAAAAATTTATCATTCCCGTAAAATATAAAAGATATAAAAGTTATATAGAATGAATTGATATTATTATTATTATTATTATTTTTTTTTATCAAGTTTTAATACATCTTATTAAGATCTAATTATTATTTGAAAACCTTTTTATATTTCTATTTTTTGATGGTTTTATTGTTTCAAATACACTGCGATTAGACTTACTTCTTTTAAACATTCTTTTTTCTACTCCTTTTACAAAAGAATAATAATTATCAATTTTCTAAAGAATTTCATCTATTTTAAATTTAGGAAAATCCATCAGAGCAGATTTACAGCAATCAATCTGAAGATTTCATTTGTATGAACAATATCTAATATCTTTTTTATATTGAATCATTTTCTGTATTTTCACAAGATTCATCTAAAATTTCAATCTAGATAACCCATGTCATATGATTTGCTTAAATTTATTTTTTAGAATCTCCAATACTTAATCATTTTTAATTTCTAATCTAATATAATCATTAATTATTATTTTTATAATACACTTTGGCTTAAATTTGGTTATTAATTTTAATAATATTTACGTTAAGATTATTATTCTAGTTATAAAGTTGTTTTTCTTTTCTTTTTTCTTTTATCCCCTCCAATCTATATTTTTTTACCTTTATTCTCAATTATTATTAATGATTCTTACATTTCACTATTCTCACTGTTTTAACTTAATTATTTTATAAACCATTTATTTTATTCTTAATCTAATTAATGAGTTAGATTTCCAAATTTTTATGATACTAATAGATTACTGAATTCATCAACATTAGATGATCTTCGTGGTATATTTAAATTTACTTTTGATATAATTTATTATTTTGAATTTAACTATTGCGAATAGCAAATTATTATTATTATTCTAATACTTCAAGTTCTTTTTCTTAAATATATTTTTTTAATACTTATAATGCTTTTGATTTTTCTATTCCAAATTAATTTTTTTTAGAAATTAATAATACTTCTTTTCAATCTTAATATCTATTACATCTTTCAAATCTGTTGTCACACCTTTTGCTGCTGATGTTTTTGTACTTTTCTTTTAAAATACCTTTTAAATTTCGCTAGTTGTTGGAGATTGAGAATCTTTTATAGTTTTAGATGTTTCATCTGGAATTTATTAATCTAATACTATTTTTATCTCAATTAAAATTCTAAAGATATTGTTAAAAATTAGTTAATGTTAATCAATAAGTTAATATAATTTTAAGTTTCTATAATTCTATATATTCATCAGTATATTCTCTATAATAAAATAATTGATTTACTATTCGGTTAAATTTCCAACTAATATTTTTAGTGCTTCTTCTTATACACCATTTAGAGTTTCTCTTGTTCTTGATTGTATTTCGATATAGAAATTTAATCTTATTATTTAACCTAACTGTTGTGAAACTATTGGATTTTATTTATTTTTGGTTACAAGAATACAAATGGACATCTTATAATATTAATATATAATTACTATATAAAATTATCTATAAATTAAGCTTCAAATAATTATCTATCTCTCTTCATACAAACTAATAATCATCCTCAAAACTTTCTTCTCAATGACCATCATTCAATGTTCCAAAATTTTTTCTCTTATGTTTTAATACTTCCTCTAGTAAATTGACAATTATTCCTCAAATCTAGGAGATGATATATTCTAACTATAGGCAGGATTATCTATGCCAAGGAACGGACTCTCCTTTTTTTTCATTATTAAATGTTATATACATAATTGCTATATAATCAAATCTTTACGTATGAGTTTTACTTTAATATCATACTAAAGATAACCATTAATTCTCAACAATATCACAAATTCTACTAAACCAAGATAAAACTCTAATATTTACTATTCTCACCTCTGTTTCATCAAAAGTTTTATAAATAATTTTAAATATCATTACAAATTCAGAATTAAATTCAAGATTAGAAAGTTAATTATATTTTTTAACAATTATATAATTTGAAATCATTATCATATCAATTTTCTAATTAATTTAAATTAATCACTATTAAAATTTAGATACATATAATAAAATTATAAAGTATAATATACTCTCTTTTCAATATTTACTCAATACAACTATATTACCATAATTTTATTGTATTCAAAAATATAATCCATAAGTTTCTTTAAATTTAATTCTTCATGGAATTTTATACAATAATTCATTTGAAATTTATGATCTAAAAACAGTTTTCTCCTTCTTACAGTATTTACTTCAATAGTTACTCATTCCTAGAGTTTTTGTTTAAAAATTATATTAAATACAGAAATATAACGAAACTATTTTTAGAATTTGATTTTGATAATAATAAAAATATTTAATTTATGTAAATTATAGGGAAAATCATTAAAACTTAACTTAGAGAAATGCAATAATTGCTGAAAGAATCAAAGTCATCCACTTAGATAAATTTAAAAATTTTATCATTATTTTATGTAGGAATCAGATTGAGTATTTTATTACCTACTTCTTAATTTGCTAATGAAAATTACAAAGTATGCATTTTGTTTTGATTATTTACAAGGATGAAAAATTTATCTTAATAAAAACATTAATAAATTGGTTTACGGTGCTTAGCCCTATAAATTCTATGAATAACCATAACATTATAATAATCTCTGTAATATTAATAAGCATATTTCATTGGATTTCAACATTAATTATTATTTTTGGAAATTTTGAATCTAAAATTTTACATCATTATAGCCAGAAGTACTTCACTTATTTAAACTCTCTTTTATTATATCCTACATTTATTCACATTCAAAATTTGAAATATATTGGAGATTTTGATGAAATTGTTATTGTTTCAATAATTCCTGTAATTTTCAATTCAACTATTTAAAATTACATTCAACGAAACTATTCCCTTCCTACGAGAAACCCTTTTGTGAAAAGACATCGAAATTCAAATTATATGATCTCATTGATTGAAATGATTGGATTGGTTTCAATAGTGTACTTATAAGAATAATATTAATGTGTCATATTGATTTTAATATTTTTTGTGCAGCTTTTAGATGCTTTATTTGTAAATCCTTATCAATATTATGTAAATCTATAATATTGCTTTTGGAGCAGTCTTTTATTTTTTGCATCTCTGTTTAAAATGATAGTCTTTTTTTGGAATGCTTATTAATTTTTTTATTTAGGAATTTATCTTATACCTTTATTGAGTTTTGTAGTATAAGAATATTTTTAATTATAACAAGATGATAATTTAATTTAGAATTGTCTCTAAAAGGAATTACTATTGCAAATTGTAGATATGTATTATTCTGGTAATGAAATTATAAAGAATAAAATACTATATATAATACGTACCAAATATAAAATAATAATAAAAGAGAAATTTGATATTGACTTATAATTATAATAATGTATAATGCAATTATTCACTAAAATAATAGAGTAATTAAATATGACAGAGAGATATTAGGATGAGGATTTTTATATTTATAAGATCCTATTTTTTTTGTAAACATGTGAAAAACAGAATTTGGGATATATAAAAATGAAAAAATTTTAATCATCTACTAGTTCTTAATCATTATACTTTTAGATTTTAGCAGATAATATTTATAATTCAGTTGTAAAGAATAGGAAAAGAAGAAAAATAAATCAATTAAATGAGGATTCTTAAAATTCTTTAAGTTTATCTGAAATAAGAGCAAGTTAATTATTACATGAAAAAAGCATGAGTTTTATTGCTTAAATATTATAAATGAAACTGAAATATTGGGAAAGATTACAATAAGGATATTAAAAAATTGAAGAATTAGCAAAACAATCAGAAAATTTAAGTAATTTACTAATTAAATTAAAGAATTTAGTATTTTGTGAACTTTAAATTAATGTTTTTTCAATCCAAAAAGATTTGTTTAAACTTAATATTTTAGATTTAAGATTATTGTCTCTAATATTCTCAGGAGTTTTGAATGATTTTCATATAACATTAGAAATTGAATAACGAATAGAAGAGCTACTAAGTTTTGAAAGAAATTTACAAAGTAGAAATATATTGAATACTAACCTATTAAATGATGAGATGATTTTAGTATCTGTGAGTATGCTAAAGAATTAAGGATAGATAATGGTCAGCAATAGAACAAGAATGTAGAAGTTTTTTTAGTATCCTACAGAAGATTCATTCATGTAAATTTAACATATAAATTAATTATTACCAAAATATTTACAAGAAAAACATGATGAATTTATGAATAATTTTCTTAAAATTGGAGAATCTGATTTATTTGATTAAAGTAGAGATGTATTTCCTATATATTAAACAGGTTTTTCTTTCAATTCTACTTTGTAATTAGTGCATTCATATGATAATTTAGATGATTATATAGTTACTGCTGCAATAAAACAAGTAAATGAAAATACTGATTTTATCATATTTGATGATACAGGAAAGATTTTAGGGATTTCTAAATCAGTTTAAAATATTTTATTGTCAAATAATAGGTAAGAATTTGATGATCAAATTTTAAAATCTTATATATTTTTTTGGTTTCATAATTTATTTGATTAAGTTTAATAATTTTAATAGGAATAGTAAAATGATTAAATAAATACATTTAAAATTAATTCCCAGAAAACTTTTGTAACTCCAATTTAAGATATTGATATTATAATTAGGGAACATGAAACCTATAAAAAATCACATTTGATAACTTAAACAAGTGCATTGAAAACTGAATAATAAGAAAATACTTATTATTAAATTTAATCATTACCTAAATATACATGCTTTAAGAAAAATTATGTATAATAGACTCAAGAATTTGTTTCAAGTTGTTCTTTGAAAGAGAATTCTATACATCCATATTATTAAATAGTATACAATCTAATTTTAAATGTAATGAAAAATAAATACCCATATTTTTTGATGTAAATTACTGAATATAGATATAAAGATGTAAAAAAATAAGGTCTTGAATTTTCTAATAGTGCTATTAGTTCATTTTATCATTCCAAAAATTTGAAAACATCTGATTAAATAGAGGATGAATATTAATTAGATGATAATGAAGGTCCTTTAAACTTTGTTATTAACTAACCTGTTGTCAATAAGTTATTAATAAATGATCAGGATGATGATATTTATTAAGAAGCTTAATTGAATTAAAATTAACCTTAATAAAAATCTATTGACCCTAGAGAAAGCAATTTAGTTTCTCCAAGAGGAAATAGAGATATCTTAATTCAAAAAGAATATGATTATGATGAAGAAGAAGAGGATGGGAGAGATTAAAATTCAAAAGTAGGTAAAAGTAGTTCTTAGAAAAATTAATAGGCAGATATTTTATAAGTTGTATTGAGAGAATAAAATTTAGAGTAAAATGATTTACATAAATAAAATAAAAAATCTGTTACTAGTGCTACTTCTGATAAAACACAGAATTCTGTTTATAATTTGATTAGAAAATTAACTTATTCTGAATAGTTTCAAACTTCAATTATCAAAAGTATAATAATTAGTATTGTTTTGACATTAATGATGATAATACTAATAATTTCAGAAATTTAGATTGCACGGTCTAATACAGATTAATTAAAATATGATATACCTTTAGTAAGAATACCTTAGAGATTCAATAGACTTTATTGTACTTTTGTAACATTAGGTCAATTGGATTTATAATTAAATTTATTAAATCAATCTTATGGTGATTTTTATGAATATCGTATTAAAAATGAAAGTGTTATTAGAAGAATAGAAATGTTGAATATGATGTTGGATTTAAAAAATGAGTTTGCAAAATTGGAGTAAGAAAATAGATTACCTATTGTAGCAGTTAGAATAATTAATGAATATTCATATTAGGAATTAAATGTAACTATGATTTAGTTTGATTCTATGGTAAATGAATATACAGAGAGAATCAATTAATATTTATAAGGTTCTGATGAAATTAGATATGTAGAGAAGATTTAAGTTTTGGTTTAGTTTTTGAAGGGTAATTTAATAAATCAATTAAATCTCACTATTAAATTAGTAGAAGAAATTGAAAATGAATTTTTTAATTTAATTGACTATTTTGAGACAGAATATTTTATATTTCTATTAGTGTTACTATGGATTATATTCTTTATGTTGATGTTATAATTTAGACAATGGCATCAACCATATATATATATGTAGACTGTTTTATTACTAATAAGTAGAATAACAGAGAAAGATATTGAATATTCTTGTTAAAAAATATCATTTATTTCAAATATGTTAGACAAAGATTAATAACTATGGAAACATATTAATTATTTTAGAGAGTATTTCTGGTTCTCTAGAACTATTACTCATACTTCAATTAAATATACTTCAAGTTCTGTATCTTAATTAAAATAAACATCAAAATCAAATACTTCTAGAGTCAAATCAGTGTCCAGAATTTAAGAAACAAACTTTTCAATTCTTAATATATACTTAATGTTATTTTTCCTATGGGTTTTATTGTCTGGATACATTCTATCAACATTCTTAATTATGAAATAGAATATGGAGGATTCTCAACCTGAATTAAGATTGGCTATGGAATATGTTAGATTCAAATAAGATTTAGATGGTGTTATGATAATTAGTTAATTACTAAAAAATCAATAAATATTAATTGATGAAACAATGGCAAGTGGAGTATTTCATCTAAATCCAGAATTGAGCACTAAAGATAAATATTTTAGTAGATTATATGCTGAATTACTAAATTAATTTGTTATTCTACAAAAAGATTCTACTTCAGTTTTCGAACATATATATAATGATATAGTAGCCTCCAAAAAAATAAGTTCTGCAAATAAAGATTTACTCTTAAAAATGTATGAAACAGATTTGTGTCTCATTATACCATCTTAATTACCTTTTTGTGAATATGAGAATGGTCAATTTAAACATTTCCCTACATATCCATCAGCTCAAGATATTGACAATAATCGTATGCTTTATAAATATGGAATTAATGGAATTTTTTAAAAGTAATAATCATTATTAAGATTAGTATATAATAAATTTTTACTACTCATTATTCTCTTGAACTTAATGGTATAAAAGATACAAATTTAATTCTTGTCAATTAATTCCTTCAATCCCCAGAATTTATATAAGTCATTCTATCTTATACATTTGATATTAGTTTTGCTCTATTAGAATTCTATTATACAATTATCCAAGCTTCTTTAGATATCTTAGAAGATGATTATCAAATGATTGTTACATATGTGGCTTCTTTTGGTTTTGGGGCTTTAATTACTTTTTATTTAGTTATTCTAATACGAGCAACTACACTATAGTAGAAAGTATAATCTATTAGATAAGCATTAATAATAATTCCTCATGAATCCCTTTAAGATTAATCAATATTAAATGCAATAAGAAAGATTGACAGAACTCTTTGAATTTCTATTTATAAATTTCCATAATATTATACTAATGTATATAATTCAGATATTATATATATATATTCATTGAAATTTCATTGATTCTCTTTATGTTTTCTTGATCTTTTGTACATCTTAGCATAAATAGCAGCTGCTATTGTAATACCTCCACTACATAATAACCAAATTTTTGCAGCCTTATTTATTTTTAATAGTTCCTCTTCTAAACTATCAATAAAAGATTCTTTAGATGATCCTAAAATTATTAAAGGAGTAAGTACACCATCTTATTATAATTTACCACAAATACCGTACTAAATTTATTTTTATTTTTACTTATTAATTAGGTATCAAAGCGAATTCTGTATATGTAGTTTGTAAAAAGTGTTGATTAGCTATTTTAATTTATGACAATTCACTTTTCATAATATTTTCTCTCAATTTTGGAAGATTATATAAAGTAAGTGATCGATTTGGTAAATATTTTACTTCTAATTAATGTGTATCATTTCCAAGTATAAATTATATTGAATGATCTCTTTTAAAGGTTATTACCTACCCCAAATTAATCATGAGTCCTTCTCCAATATCTTTTTATTTTTCTTTAATTGTAGGTACAATTGTGGATAGAATAGCCTTGACTGATTTATCTGAAAAAGTAGGTCTAATAATAGAATAACTTTATATACTATAAATTATTTGATGTGATCTTTCCAGTCAACACAAGATATTGATTGATAGGTAAATCTGTTTTACTATTGATATAATCAAGATTGTATAGTGGCATTTTATCAACATCTGTAAACATCTTTGATAAAATTTTCTCTTTTCTAAATAATACAACTGCCCTTAATGCAGCACATGATGCAGACACAAGACAGAAATTAGTAATTAACATTTTTTTATATAATATCAAAAAAATATTTTAATTTCATTCGGATCAAGCAATGCAGTAAATATTGAGTAATTGTCATTCTTTGTAATGTTGATAGAGGAATCATAATAATTTTCAAATGTCTCAAAATTAAATATCTTATTTATTATTCCTGCTTATAGTGAAGAATAAGCCTTTATTAAAGAATTAACTTTACTTTTATAGCCTTCACTACTTTTTTTTGATTATTATTGCATTTCTCAAGAATTTAGTTAATAACATCTCCTTTTACATCTTTAAAATGTTTTTATATGAAAATTTCTATTTTTTTTGGTTATGATTATTTTAATGGTTGCATTTTAACTTCATTATTGTTTTTATTTTATTTTGATTCTTGAACTTTTGAATGGTTGGTACCTTTAATGATTTCTTTTTAGATAGTATTTTTATTATACTTTCATAAGTTGGTAAGAGATGTTTATGACTTTCTTTATTTAATGCTTATTCAATAGCAATTTTTAAACTATTATTCTTTTTGGCTTAACCACAATATTATTCAAAATGCTCTTCAAAAGGTTTAAGATCTGAATATTTAAGTTCACCTCTAAAATGATAATTAAATTTAACTGTTCATTTTCACCAAAGAAAAATACTCTACATTTTTATTTATCTGGTTTATCATATGCTATTGTACATGGCCAATAAGGATAGCCTTAGATTTTGCCCCAAAACACATCGTTCTTAGAAAATTACATTAATTTTAATAATTTAAAAAAAAAAATGGCTTCCTCATCTTAATTAATATTCATTGGACTTATCCATTTTGATATAAGAGAATAGGATATAAAAATAATAAAAAAATAAAGCTTAGCTTAAATAGAGGATAATGATATAAAGGAGTTTTTAAGAAATGAATAAGTATATGAAAGAAATAGAAATAAAGATCAATCTCCTTTTTTCAAAAGAATGGAGAAAAATTAAAGTTATTTATTGGTTTTGTAACCATAATTAATGAATCAAGTGAATTAAACATTAAAGGGAATAGAGGATCATATATCAGAACATTTACCAACTGAATTACCTGAAGATGAATGGAAATAGAGAGCAATAAAAATATTATTGACTTGGAATCTATCAGAAAAGAATGAATTAGCTAAGTTTGCAACAGGAAGTGAATAAGTAGAGAAACACTTTCTATAATTTGGACTTTTATTTTTAGTATTGTCAGTTATAGGATATGTTATGATATATGTGATTAAACATATGATTTGAGGAAGATTAGATATTTATAATTTCAAACAATATTGAATTCAACAGCATCCTCCATCCTTTTTCTTTTTTTTACTTTGATCATCAGCAGTAACTCTGACACTAGGATTTTATGGTTTCTCTTATTTCTTACCTTCAACTAATTTATTTTATTCATCATATAAGATTTATTCAGCAATAGATACAAACAATTCTTAGATACCTTTATTCTCTTTACAACTAGTAAGCTTAAGTGAAGCACCAATTTGCTAGAATATTACATTTATTATTACTTGAGCATAGTTATTTGCTTCGTCATAAGAAACTTTTTCATCTTCAATCAGATCATTCTTATTCCCTACAAGAACTTAAACTAAAAATGAAATACTAACTTACTTATCTTTTTTGGACCATGAGCTTTCAATTCATTTACCCACGATTTAAGTACATCAAATGAATCTTTATGTGTAATATCATAAACTATTAATGCAACTTAAGCCTCTAAAAATAAATGAGCACAAAACCTCTATAATACAAAGGAGTGAGTGATTTATATTTCTCTTATCCGGCTGTGTCCCAAATCTGAAATTTAAAATTGATTCCATTAACTTCTATAGTTCTAGCCATAAATGCAGCTCCCAAAGTAGATTCATGAGTGACTTTAAATATATCTGAACAGAATCTCAGCACAATAGAACTTTTGCCTACTCCTGAATCTCCTAATAATACGACCTTAACTTCACGATTCATTATTAAATTAATTGATTTATGTTATAGAATATAAATATTAAGAGTCCTCATAAAATAATGTGGAATAACCATAAAAAAACTAGCATTATCTCATATGAATGAATCGTATTTAAACAAGTATCTGGACAAAAATACTATCCAGTATCATAATCACTACATTTTAAACAATATCCATTGACACTTTTATAAAATATGGAAATGCTTGATTCCTTATAATTAGGAATCTCACTTCCTTCATCAATAAATTAATCTAATCTAGTATCATAATCTATTATGGTTTCACATAAATAGCAAAATCCATCATCATTGGTTTCAAGACAATGAACAGGATAAGGTACACAAGATTTCATATACAAAAAGTAATTATCCATACATTATTAACATAATTGTTAATTAAAATTACATTGCTTACATCCAAATTAACATAATTTACATTGTCCATCTATTGCTCCATAACCATCCTCACAATTAGTACAAACATTTTATATTTAACAACTCTTACAATTTTCCACCCCACAACTATCACAAACTCCATTTAATTAAATATAACCATCCTTGCAAATATCACATTGCTTCATTTTATCATTACATTTTATACAATTATCTCCACATGAAGAACAAGTTTTCCCATCCAATTCTAGAAAGTAACCCTCTGCACATTAAATACATTAAAATACATTCTTTGGTGTAATATAACAATCTAAGCAATTTTAAGCTTTTTCTTTACAAGTTATACATTTTTGTGTTAAATCTTCTATTAATAATATATAGCCTATTAAACAAGATTTACAATATCCATTCTAATCATTTATTGTTGCACAATTATAATTATTTTTAATACAAGTATATTTTAAAAGATATGGTATTTCTAATTTAAAATCTATATATCTATCTTAAAGTAACAAATATCCAGGTTAACATTATGTAATCATTTCCAAAGATTCACATCTTCTAATATGAGCAGTGTCTTACTCATTCTCAATGCAAGTTTAACATTTTTTCTCATCCTCATTATAAAAATAGCCATTTAAACAATATGCACATTCAAAATAAGATGTTTCATCTTCATTAAATTTTGTATTACAATCCATACAATTAGGAAATAAATCTTAACATCTATTACACTTAGTTTTATCTTCATTTACAATAGAATAATAATTGCAAACCTCGCATTCACTAGAATTTAAGCAAGAATCACAATCTTTAATACATGGAATACATGAATTAGTATTATCTTAATAATACCCTCTTTAACATTCTTAACATACATCTTTTTGACAAGTCTAACACCCAATTACACTACATGGTTTGCACACAAGGTTTTACTATAAATTAACCAAATAATAGCCATCCTAACATTTATTGCAAAATGCTAAATTAGAACAATTTTCACATCCTTATCCACATGGTCGACAAATAAATTCAAAATCAACATAATATCCTTAATCACATTCTATACATCTCCCATGCATTGATATCATAGCACATCTACCCATAAATACACATACACCATTTATGTTTCTGTATCCAGATTGACATAGTGTACAAACATATTATGTTAATAGAGGGTTCTTGCAACAATTCTAACAACCTTTTGGACATGGCTTACAGTTTGTGTCTTCCTTGTCATAATAATAATTTTCAATGCAAGAAGTACATCCGCCTTGACTTTAACATTAACAATTAGGTGACTTGCATCTCAAACATTATTATCCATTCCAAAAGTATCCTGTTTATCTTGATTAACAACTTTACCTAAGTCTTATAGTCTAAGTCTCTATAATTGCACAATCTATACATTTTAATAACAAAATCAAAAATAACATAAAAAAACTATTATATTTTCAAATACTCTTTTAATTGACTTCTTCTCCTATTTCATAATGTTTTTTCTTATTTTTATTATGCCAAACAATAGTGATAACTAATGATAACAATAAAAATATTGAAATTCCATAAATTAGATATTTTACTTTAGAGTTTTCATTTGAATTTGAATTCAATTATGATAACTCGTTTGGTAAAAATTTAATTGAATTTTTTGCCTTATATTGAATAATCAATTAAGATCTATCTTAAATTAGTACTCTCCTTTAAGTAATCAAATCAGATGATAAAACCAAATCAATTTATTCTTCAAAATTTATATTGGTTTTCTTGATTTTGAATTTATAAGTAATCTATTTATCTTTTACAAATGAAACGATAAAATCTAGATTATCATACTACTATCCATTTTATACTAGATAAGCCTCCTTTAATATAACATTATCTATTTTTAAATCATCATTATAGATAGTTTAAGTGATTGTTAATTAATCCTTATTAACATATCCTTTTGTTATTTCATTACTAACTTATAATTAGATATTTCCATCATCTGGAATAGTAACAATTTGTGTTGAAGAAATTGATGAAGATGTTTCTAAATTAGTAGTGATTTCTCCAAAAAGTAATAGATTATATTGAGTTATTTGGGCTGTAGTTAATGCAATACTTAGAGTACATTGATGAATAATCTTTTATTTATTTTGAACTAATATTTTACAATACTAGTTAATTTAATCTAGAGACATATAAAATGACAATTATTTCTCATTTTTAAGTGAAATTTAATTGGATGCTAAAACATATCCTATTTTATTAGATTTTATTTCATTTATAATGTAAATCTTTGGAATTAAACATTAACCTAATTGGACATCAAAATCAACTGTCACTTAATACATTCCTTATTTATCTATCAAAGAATTTGCACTTAAAGCACTCTATGTAGTTAAATTACTTAAAGTATCAAAACATGAATCTGGTATGCATTAATAGTTTATCATTGAAAAATTATCAATACAGGTTTTGCATTCAAAATTTGCATCACATTCTTTACAATTTAGATAACAATCAGTTGTTAAAGCAAACTTTTATAATTAAGAATTTGTTCCTAAAATTTTAATATTAATTTTTGATTGATCTAATACAGTATTTATCACTATTTAATTATTTGAATATGATTTTTGCTCTTACTTTATATCATTAATTAAAATTTATGGAATTTTAGAATTTAAATTTTAAAAGGTGAATATAAGATTATATGATGATTACTTCGATATTTTTAATTTATCCTTCAAACATAACCCTGATTCTGGTATTTAATAGCATTCAGTCCAATTTTTATCATTATTTTCACAATTTTTTGGCACTATTAATTATTCAGTATTGCAATCCATCCATATTTACTCTTCCCATTATACTTTTTATGATCCAAGATTTGGATAAACTGTAATTGCTTAAGAAATAGTTAGAATAGCAAATAATAACTAGAACAAGTAGTTCATTAATTAAATTAATTAGAATATAACTTTAAAAATGAAATTTGAAGTGAAAATAATCAAATAGAATAATAATTATTCTATTTCATAAAATGTTCTCTCAGCCTATTTTTCTATATTCTTAGTAATCATGTACTATTATAAAAACTATATCTCTAAAGACTTGACTAAAATTATTATTGGAAATTTCTACTTTGATATTTGGATAATCTGAATAAAAAACAATATCAATGGAATCTTTTGCCAAAATCCTTGAATTTAAGTATTCTCTATTTCTAAGATATTGGTCTTATGAATAAGACAATCGATAAAATCTTTACAAAATTCAGGATTTTTAAATTCTACAGAATATAGGATCTGTATAAGTTAATAAAAATTTCATCTTATATGTTTTAATCTATTCTCCATATTTGCACCTCTAACATTATAATTATAAAAGGAATCCAGTTTGAATTTCAATATCTCAATTAGATTTAACACAACTTTATTTAGTCATCCTAAGAGTTTTTAATATCAATTATATATATGCTATATTCCAATTGACATTCAGAATTGTAATTTGAAGGTAAAGTTAGATCTCTCATTTAATAAGAGATGATTGATAACATTGTAAGAGTGTTAAGAATATTTGAGAATAATTATAATAATCAATAATATTTTGGTTTCTCCAATATAAATATAATTTGTTCCCATTATTATTAAAGAAGATGGGATGTAATAAATCTGTTTCGATTGTAAAACCTCTTGATTTCCAAGAAATAAAGGAAATCACTTAGAAAATGATTCAAGCTGAAAATGAGATTATAACAATACTTTTTCCTGTAACTGAGAGATCTTAAAAACGAAAAAGTACAGTGACAGTATTTTTATCTCCTCGAAAATCTTAAAGTCGTCTAGATTTGTATTAGTCACCTGTTCGAATTTCTGCTAGATCGAATTCAAGAATTTTCAAAGAAGATAAGATAACAGAAAATATCTTGACTTTCACTGATAGATCTACATAAATCCAGTCAATTAGTCTTGTTTCTGAGTCTCCAACAAGAAGAGATAGAGATAGAGGTAGTAGTGTCCATAAACCAACATCCTCATTTCATTCTAATTTTGAAGCCTAGAAAATTGACAAAGAACCTGATCTTCAACCAATCGTATAATAGCAAATACAAAAGCATGGATCATACAAATTTTTGTAGGATCAAAATTACCCAGACTGCATTAAGTTACAGCCCCATAAATTCTCTAATGGAGATGTCTATTCGGGTTGTTGGAAAAATAATCTTAAGCATGGTAGAGGTAAATTATTCCTAGCTTCTGGTTCTTATTTTGAAGGATATTTTAAAGAAGGACAAATGATGGTTGGCAAATATTTTTTTAAGAATGGTAATATATATGAAGGGGAATTTTTTGAGGGAAAATTTAATGGTAAGGGTTTATATCTTTGGACTGATGGTGAATATTATAATGGATAATGGAAATTAGATTAAAGAGAAGGTTAAGGTGCATATTAATGTGCAGATGGCAGAAGATATGTTGGAGAATGGAAGAATGATAAAAAGAATGGTTAAGGAGAATATATATGTCCAGATGGAAATAAATATGAAGGTTCATGGAAAGATAATAAAAGGAATGGATTTGGAACCGCCTATTTACCAGATGGATCTAGTTTTAAAGGTTAATGGTTGAATGATAAGAAAACAGGTAAAGGAGAATATCGTTATTCAAATGGTGATATCTATTATGGAGATTGGTATGAAAATTTAAAGCATGGAAAAGGTAAACTTACATAAAAGGATGGTTGTTCTTATGATGGTTAATTCTTTAATGGTTATATGGAAGGAGAAGGCACCTATATATGGAGTGACGGTAAAAAATATGTTGGATCTTGGAGTCGGAACACTAGAAAAGGTTTTGGTATTATGACACTTCAGGATGGAAAATATTATAAAGGAGAATGGGATAATGATGAGAGGTATGGACAAGGAGAATTTCATTGGGGACCAGACTAATATTATATAGGTTAATGGGTTGAAAATGTAAGGGAAGGTACAGGAGAATATGTTGAAGAGGGTACTAAGTACATAGGTAATTGGGTAAGTGATAAAAAACATGGATAAGGAAAATAAATTTATCCTCTCTACACTTATGAGGGGTCTTGGATTGCTAATTCTAGAGAAGGTTAAGGAACTGCTGTATTCAATAATGGATTGAAATATACAGGATAATGGATGAATGATTGTATCCATGGACAAGGAATAGTTGAATACAAGGATTATAAGTATAGTGGAGATTGGTCAAGAAATAGAATGGATGGCAATGGTGTTTTTACTCATGATTTCTGTACATATACTGGATAATATAGGAGTGGAGTCAGAGTTGGGGTTGGAACTTTTAAAGATGGAGCTGGCAATCTTATTAAATAGGAGTTTAGAAATGGAGATTTAGTTGATAATTCTGAATGACTTTATATTATTATTAATTAAATATATTAAATACTTTCAAATAGTCAATAATAACTAAGTAAGTTCTTATTGCAATTATAATGATAATTTTGATTAATCTATAATTATTTTTTTATTTATTTATAAAATGATATTTCAGCTTCAAAGTAATTATAAATATATATATATAATAATCAAAAAGCAAATTTTATTAACTTAAATTTATTTAGTATTAATTCTTTATTAATATAATACAAAATATATTATATTCAAAATCATATCAATGAATTAATAAATCTTTGAAACTCATTTGAATATTCCAAAGATTAAAGACAGTTTAAGAATTATGAATGTCTAAATTATAGTATAATCCAAAATAAGTTATTTCTTTTAGCAAATTCAATCATTTTGATAAAAATCTCAAAAAATATTGAATTTATTGCTGAATAATTTTATATTAGTATAGGAGTTGCCATCTCTTCTAGAAATCTTGATTTGGCCAAATTTATAATGTAGTTTTCATCATCTTCAATTTATTTCTTGAGGTTCTTTAATTCATATTGAATTTTTTATTAAAATTCTGAACTAGAATTTTAGTTCAAAATAATTTGTTCATTTAAATTATCACCATAATTATAATACTTTTTCCTTGCTTCTTTTAATTAGTCTTCAATTTTGGATTTTCTTATTTGCTATTGGAAATTGAATCTCATCTATTGTAACATTTCAATTAAATATATCACAAACTTTATGANACACTAGAAAAGGTTTTGGTATTATGACACTTCAGGATGGAAAATATTATAAAGGAGAATGGGATAATGATGAGAGGTATGGACAAGGAGAATTTCATTGGGGACCAGACTAATATTATATAGGTTAATGGGTTGAAAATGTAAGGGAAGGTACAGGAGAATATGTTGAAGAGGGTACTAAGTACATAGGTAATTGGGTAAGTGATAAAAAACATGGATAAGGAAAATAAATTTATCCTCTCTACACTTATGAGGGGTCTTGGATTGCTAATTCTAGAGAAGGTTAAGGAACTGCTGTATTCAATAATGGATTGAAATATACAGGATAATGGATGAATGATTGTATCCATGGACAAGGAATAGTTGAATACAAGGATTATAAGTATAGTGGAGATTGGTCAAGAAATAGAATGGATGGCAATGGTGTTTTTACTCATGATTTCTGTACATATACTGGATAATATAGGAGTGGAGTCAGAGTTGGGGTTGGAACTTTTAAAGATGGAGCTGGCAATCTTATTAAATAGGAGTTTAGAAATGGAGATTTAGTTGATAATTCTGAATGACTTTATATTATTATTAATTAAATATATTAAATACTTTCAAATAGTCAATAATAACTAAGTAAGTTCTTATTGCAATTATAATGATAATTTTGATTAATCTATAATTATTTTTTTATTTATTTATAAAATGATATTTCAGCTTCAAAGTAATTATAAATATATATATATAATAATCAAAAAGCAAATTTTATTAACTTAAATTTATTTAGTATTAATTCTTTATTAATATAATACAAAATATATTATATTCAAAATCATATCAATGAATTAATAAATCTTTGAAACTCATTTGAATATTCCAAAGATTAAAGACAGTTTAAGAATTATGAATGTCTAAATTATAGTATAATCCAAAATAAGTTATTTCTTTTAGCAAATTCAATCATTTTGATAAAAATCTCAAAAAATATTGAATTTATTGCTGAATAATTTTATATTAGTATAGGAGTTGCCATCTCTTCTAGAAATCTTGATTTGGCCAAATTTATAATGTAGTTTTCATCATCTTCAATTTATTTCTTGAGGTTCTTTAATTCATATTGAATTTTTTATTAAAATTCTGAACTAGAATTTTAGTTCAAAATAATTTGTTCATTTAAATTATCACCATAATTATAATACTTTTTCCTTGCTTCTTTTAATTAGTCTTCAATTTTGGATTTTCTTATTTGCTATTGGAAATTGAATCTCATCTATTGTAACATTTCAATTAAATATATCACAAACTTTATGATATAAAATAAAAATAAATAATATTAACTTTAATTTCACTTTAAAATGATGATTAATTTGATATTAACTACATTTAACTTAATAATCTACTAAATATCAAATAAGTCATTTGCTGTTTGATAATAAAATATATATCAACATTGAATATAGAATTTTTTAAAGATTCATTTGTTTTATCTATTATATATAAGACATTAAATATAACAATAAAAGTATATGTAGTGATTATTAAATATATTTTCAATTAAGTTTAGGTTTCTTTTTAACTTGTATTGATTTATTGTATAACTCATATATTTATCTTACTGAAAGCATTAAATCATTTGATTTGATGATTGTTCCTAAATCCTAAAATAATTTATTAAATTACTTCCTCTATATTGTCTAAATAATCCTTATACTCTAATTAATTAACATGTTAGACAAATTTTTAGAATTCAGGAATTTCTTTGCCTATTTTCATAGTTTCCTCCATTTACTTTAATTCTAAAATCATTTCTTATTTGATTATATTCAAATCATTAAAGCAATTATAAAAATTTTAAAAACACAACTCCAAGACAGAATTAGATTTTTCTGATTTAAAATATAAAGCTATTTTAGGAATGGTTTGTTCAAATATTTCATTGAAATAATGATTTAATTAATCTTAAGAATTTTATGGTTTTCCAAAGAATAATTACATTTGAGTATTTCTTAATACTTATTAACCAGATTCTTATAATTGTTTATACTCTTATAACTATTAATTTAGACCAGCTATCTTATGATTTATTATAAAAACTACTTTATTTTCTAGAAGATCAACATACATTTTTTTTCTTTTTCTACTCTTTCTTGCTGATTCTCTATTTTTTACAAGTTTCATTCTTTCTCTTAAAATGATTTCTTAATCAGTCAATGCTAAAATTAATGATTTGATAAGCTACTTCTTTGTCCTTTCTTTTTTGGTTTATAATCTAATGAATGATCAAGAAAGTCATAATAATCATTATCCATATTTTAATTTAATTTTCTTTTCAATTATAGTCTTCTAATTGACGAATATATATTTCATGATGTTACGTATTATTTTTACATTATATTTCTATTTCATGATGATAATTTGGCAATGTTGCTTTTGTAAATTTATTATAATTGTATTAATTTATACTTTATGAGTTATTAACAAAATAAAAAATCATATTATAGGTTACTTTTCACCTGCAGCAGAAAAGATAATTTTTACATCTTCTTCTTAAATAGAGAAGGGTGAAGCACTTTTATAAATTGGCAATTCAATATTTGATAAATTTTAACTTTCATTAGTATGATGATGTTTTTTGTTTTCATAATTACCATTAATAATAGTAGCTTCTTCAAATGAGGCTTCAAACATATCTGGTTCCATAAGATGATTTACATTATTCTTATTGCTAATTTAATAATAATGGGGAATGCTTACTTCTATTATAGTTCACTATCCATAGATATAGCATCATCAGAAAATTAGTTCTATTTGATTGCTAGCTTTTTAATAAGGATCTTACTGTACGATTCCCAAGTTTTAAAGAGAATCAAAACAGTAAGATAATCATGAAGAATATTGAAATTTGCCTTTAATTACAGTGCTGAACTAATATTCGATCTTTCAATCTGCCTATTTTTTCTGTAATACATTAAACGCAGTTGCATTTCTTTGTTGAATTATTTAATTTATTTGATAGAATCAGGAGTACCCTCCTTAAAAACCTCTGAATGGAATTTCACCCTAAACAACTCATAAATCAATTGGTTATATTGAATGTAACCATAATGATCACTATAAATCTATTTAAATAAGTACCATTTTAATTTAAATGAGGAGGCAATTTTAGCAACATCCCAAAGATTCTCTTCCTCGCCTCCTCCTAAAGGTTTGCCAATATCTAAGAGAAATTTGCATAAAAATTTATAATGCATAGTTTGTCCTTTAGTTTCAGAAGAGTATTTGCACCAAATTGTTTTGATTTTATCAATATTTTCTACATAAGATTAAATTGGTGAGTCTTATAATTGGAAAAAAGATTCAAATTATTCTACCAAACTTAATAAAAAGAGTGTTAGAAGAACATAAGTGGAAAAGAACATGAATAAGAAAAAGTATATTTAACTTGCAAATGATCCACAATATTTAGGATCTTCCCAACATAAAGGATTATAATGCATTGTATCTGTCATAATAGTTCTCCAATCATCTCCTGAAGCACATTTAAATAGTGTCATCATTGCGCTACCAGCTGTCATAAAATTAAGTTAGTCATCTAAAACTTATCCTGCATCTATTGTACCAAATAATTAACAACCAAATAGAGCAAATACTAACATTGTAATGATCAAAATAGAAAAGATTTTGCCCAAATATGGCAAAGCAAATAGGATTACATTTATTAATCTCTATAAATTGATAAACCCCTAAAATATTAATATTATTCGTAGACTTCTTAATGAGAAGAATAAACGTAATAATTAGAATCCATTATCATTTGGAGTTGATTTATAATATATCATAATCCAATCTACTGAATAATCTGCTATGAAATCAATTACTGCAATCACTATTAAAAAGAAATAAAATCTTCTCCAATAATTATCAAAAAATCTATTCATTCCTAATGCAAGAAACAATAAAATAACCCAAACAAAATAAATTGCACTTAATGCATTATGAACATCATTAATAGCTCTGAAGTATTCATCACTCATATCTGATGTGAACATTAATAAAATAATGAAATCTACCCATAAAAGTAGGAATAAACATTTTTAAATTGTAACACTGCTTGTAATATCAGAAGATATCTTTCTTATTCCATTTGTGGGTGGAGTAGAAAATTATGGGAAATCATTTATTAACATTGATGAAATTTCTTTAAATTCTTTTTGTGATTAAGTAACTTCTGTATTTTCAATTTCTTTTTGATTTTTCTTTAAATTTGTATATAGTACTCCTGTGAAAAGACTTAAGAAAAACATTGATCCAATAAAAACAAAAAGTAAGAAAAATATATAAGTGACTACATAGGAATTAAAACCTTAAGGACCTATAGAAGCCACTTAACTATTTTCAGCAACTTAATAAATTTCTCCCCATCCATCCAAAGTGGCTGTCACAAATAATGTAGGAATGGCTATTGTAATATTATCAAAATTATGTTTATAATTAACCCATATTTTACCTTCACTTAAACATGTCTCTTTATTAACTTCAAATACCATTTTATCTTCACAAAATCCAAATTATTATTCATAAAGTATAATACCATACACTCCAAACATTATCCAAACTGATAATAAAGTAATTATAACATTGAATATATCAAACAATGATCTACCAATAGCTTCTCTTAAATTTGTAAGCCAACTCAATCTATACATTAATTTCATTGGTCTAAAGTAACCTAAATAAAGTAGAATTTTTAGGATAGGCTTAAAATCTTCTGGATTACTCCCAAAAGCTATTATATTTGAAACTTAATAGATAAAATCAAAAACTTAGAATGTGGATACTAAATATGATCCTTAATCCATATATAAGCCTTTCGCAATAATATTAAATATTGTATCAGCCAATTAAATTATATTACATGAGAATTGAAGTGTGTCTGGATATGTTTCACTATCTGACTCATAATCATTATAAGTTTTAAGGATAAAAGCTATGATAGATAGATAAGTAATTATATCCATTATGTAGATATAAATCATTGATGTTGTAAGATGAGTCAAGGCTATGCGAAATAAATTATCTTTCTCAAACAAAAACAATGATGATTCACAATCTATCCCCTCATATAATTTAGGTGTTCTTGATAATAATTTTCTATTAATTTATTCTATAATTGTATATCATTTAATATTTACTTATTGACTTAATTAGATTGTATATTAAATTGGGTTTAGATTTATTGATCTCATCATTTGATATATTTTTATTAGAAATAACTGGTTCTTAATTAGTTTCTACTAATTGCATTTGTATTTCATCTGAATTCTAAGTAATATGTTATAATTATTCATTAATATTCTTTTGAATTTCATTTTGAATTTCTTCAATTGGTTAATTTAAGTATTTTCCAAATCCATCTAATAAAACTGCCATAACTAAACCATAAGTTAGATAATTTAAAATTAGTACCATAGAAAATGAATAGATAATTGAGAAGGTAAAATTAATATCACTTCCAATTACATAAACTCCATACCAATCATCATTTGTCATAATATTGAAGATTGTCATAAATGATTTAAAAATATTTTCATAGGAATGTAATTATCCAAGTGCATCATTCTAGTCAAATTTTCCTACAAACATTTCCATTCCTGTTAGAGCATACATAAATATTACTAAAAACATAAGAAAAGCTAAATAAATATATTAATCGAAAGTCATAGAAGCAATATGACCAATTGTAATAGCCATTTTATTGTATTTAAGGCATCTATAAAACAATAAACATTTAGTTCCTCTTATTAATCTTAAATTTTATTCATTCAAATAGGTTGTCATATAATCACTAATTGTTAATTCAAAAAAGTTTATGATTACAATAATAGATTATAAAATTAAATCAGGAGATCTTAAAAGATCTTTGAATTTAAAACCCATGAATCTCATCATCAATTCAAAACATAAAAATATTGTAGAAATATCTTCAACTGTTGATATGATATTAATATCCACAATTCCTTATAGAGATAAAAATGTAAAATTGTTAAGAATTACTAAATCAAAAAAGAATTGACTAAATCTACTAGTCACAATTAAATATGCATATTTTTATGACATTATGTAAAGTCCTCTTACTCCTTTAATCCAAATAATAATATCAATTTTATTAAGCATTAATAAAATTACATGAAAATACTTTAATCTTCTTTTATTAATTTCAAGTACATCTTTTCCTGACCAATTATGTTTTGTAATAGTTTTATGATTTTGATATTCTTTCATTCTCATACCTTAATATTTGAATTTATTGGAGACTTAATCATGAATAATTAATGGGATTTTTTGATTAATTTTTTCACTGACTCCTTCAAAATTTGTATAATATCCTTAAACATATATATATGGTTATCCGTTTCTAAAAATTGAGAAATTTTTATATTTAGTTTCTAAAATTTAGGATGCTTTCATATTATTAAATGTTTTAACATTTGTTTACTCAAAATTAATAATAGAATCTGTGCTCTACTCAACTTTCTTTTAGTATATACTCATAAATGGAGATTATGCTTTGCTTTTTGTAGGGAAACTTGACTTTGCAAATTAAGTTTTGCCATATAATTTTTCTTTTTCTATTTTCATTTCATGATAAATCATTTAGAATTTAGTGGATCTTATTTTTTCTAGATTGAAGTTCTTTTCTTTTTAAATTTAATCTTATTGATCACTAAATATAAATAGAATTAGTATTACATCAACTTAAGTAAAACATCATTTGAAGAAGTATAATTTTACTTTACATCCAAATTTACTTAGGGTTATAATCTGGAAAATTTAATGGTTTTCAATTTTTCTATGACCTTCATATTGAATTCATCTTCAGTATAATTTTTTATTTTTATTTTTTTGATTAAAGCATCTAAAATATCAAACTTTGGTAATAAAAATCTTTTCCAAGTGAAACTTGTAACTTATTCAATAAATGGTAATTTAATGATTCCACTTTCCATTTATTTTTATTTAGCTGATAATGTTCTTGTCGTTTAATATGATTTCTTAAAATTAGTAGGATCTTCAATAGCATATTTTTTAAATGATGCTTCATTTAAATTAGTTCTGTATTTTTTGATTACTTTATAGATACCTATTTCTCTTAAATGTGCAACATCTAGTATTTCTAATAAATTCCTTTCTGAATATTCTTATTCTTCTTTCAATCTTTTTTATATTTCTTTTTCTTCTTCTCTTTTCTTATTTTCTTCTGTTGCCTCTGAATAATGAACTTTCAACACTGCAATAACTATATTAAATCCAAAGAAACCTCCAATAAAAATAATTAATAAATAATATAACCAAATCCAAGGATGAAATATTCTCATTGTATAAAACATAACCCAACTCCAATCATCCATAGTAATTGTTCTTAAAATTTAACCTAAAGAACCTATTAAATTATTAAAAGATGTTGGCATTTTAGGTGTATAATCACTATACATACAATGCATATCAGATGGACATTAATCTTAATTACATTATATCCAACCATCTGTTTCATCACCATTTTCATATTAACATCTATAATTAAATAAACCTTGAAATAGAAATATACCCATTGATGCAAAGATCAATGAGAATAATATCACTATCATTAATGCTTCAATTAAAAATTTAAATGATTATTTTAAAGCAGTCATCATTACATTCAATCCCTGAAATATATTTGTCAAATACATTAATAATGTTACTAATCTTAGAGGAGAAATATCAATAATAATTATTTCAGGATAATAAAGATTCATAGCAGTAAAAAATATGAGTACAAAATCATAAATATTTTCCATATTTCTAAAAAAAGCATAATCATTAAAAAACACTCCACTAGCTATAATTCTTAATCCAATTTCAGAAATAAATAGTATCATAACTACTTCTTCAATATGATCAGTATCTGTTCTTCCGTTTGTTTTTACTACAATATACAATACAACATTAAATAAGATTAGAAATGTCATCAATATTTTAAATATAAAATTATTTACTATTTTTCTTGCCATTATAGGAATGCTATATATCACATAAATAAAGTATTTTCTTAACTTTAATAAAGCCAAATTATCATCATATTTCTATATAAATACAATATTTTACTTGCAATTCATAATTTAATCTTTAAAATTCTGATAATTTTACTAATCTAACATAATAAGGATCTTTCATTGTATTTCTTTCTATTAATTTTTTATGTCGACGTATAATTTTATCATATTCAATATCATTAAAGTATTCAGGTTATATTTCTTAATGCTAATTAAATGCATTTAAGAGATTCATAGCAATTCCTGGTTTTTCAGGGTCTGGTTCTGATTTTTGTTGCATATTCAGTTAATGAGAAGCAGAAGAGATAAATTTGTTATAGACATGAATTGATTTATGAAGAGTATGTCTATAAACTCTATCTTCAATCATATCTTCTCTTTCAATACTTTATAGTGAATATTCAGACATTTTTGAATTATCCAAATTTCTTTAATAGTTGCTGTCTTATGGGAAGGATTCCCTATAAAATAAATCAATTATTATACTCGTGAAATTGAATTCGATTAAATTGATCAACAGAACTCTGGCGCTTTTTCTAAATTCTGTCAACGCTCTAAACTTTTGCTTTTTCCGGAGTTTCAGATGCATTAGAATGTTTTCTAAAATATTTAAAACAAATAAAAACTTATCATTTAAGACATGAGTACCAGAATTCTAAGTTACTTCTTTATTGATGATATTTCTATCAATATATTTGATCGACTCTACTTTTTTCATATCAAAAATATTATAAATAATGTGATTAAAATATATTGTCTTATCATTTACAGAATGTAATTTAAATCATACCATATTTAAATCCACTTTAAATTCAATTTATTCAATCTTCTGTTACTTGTATTCTTATTCAAACATCTTTAAACCAAATCAAGTTTATTACTTATTTCAAATATAATTTGATATTAGAAATATTACTAATATCATAAATAGTTTATAAGAATTTGATCAAAATTTTAACTCATTTCTTTTGCTTGCTATTAAATTACTATTTGTTGTATTATTATATTTATATAAAAATTTTATTTGTTTCATAAGTGTATTAAAGTGAAATATCATTTTATCTTTATTCATTCAATAAACCAATATTTACATTCATATATATTACTATTACCCTAGTAATCCTAGTAATTGAGTAATAATTGATATAAATATTAATAAAAATGGCAACTAAATATTAATAAATTTTAGATGGCAAATATGGTATTGTGAAAGTGATAGGAAAGGGAGAGTTTGGAGAAGTCTATCTGGCTGAAAACATCTAAACTGTAATTCTTAAATAAATGACTCTAGAAATCACAAGTAGCAATTAAGTAAGCATTAAAATCAGAATTGGAAAAAGTCAAAAAAAGATAAGAATTATTCTAAACTGAAAAAAGAATTATGCAAACAATAAAGAATGAAAATGTGATTAGCTTAATAGATCATATAGAAACAAAAGATAAACATTATTTAGTTATGGAATATTGTAATGGAGGAGATCTGGATTCCTATATTAAATTACTTAGAGAGAAGAATAAATAACCACTTTCTGAAAGATAAGCAAAGGAGTTTTTAAAATAATTACTTAATGGTTTTAAAGGCTTATAAGATATGTTTGTTATACATCGTGATCTCAAACTAAAAAACATATTAGTTCATGATGAAACCATTAAGATTGCAGACTTTGGACTTAGTAAAGTTGGTGAAGTAGGTTTTACTTAAGTAGGTACACCATATACTAAAGCTCCTGAAGTATTTAAAGGCAGAGGCAAAATAAGATATGATAATAAGGCAGATATTTGGTCATTGGGAATTATTTTTTATTAGATGTTATTTGATTTATAATATCCATTTGTGGGATAGAATGAGAAAGATTTATTTGATAATATAGAAAAGGCTAAGGACTTAAATTTCACTCCAGCTAAAACAAATGTTAGGATTAGTGAAGATGCTAAGAGATTACTAAGAAGGATGTTAACAAAGGATCCAAATTTAAGAATTACTTGGGAACAATTATATTAAGATCCTTATTTAGAATTTGGATAATAAAAGGATTTAGGAACTTTTGATTAATTTTATTAGAATATAATGAGTAAATTTTAAATGATTAGAGAATTATAATTAAAAATTTAAGAAACTTTGGGTAATAGTGAGAGTTTGAGAAAAGATTATAAAGTGATTAAGAATTTAAATTAATATTATGTTTAATTTATGCTTGCAAAGAGGATAATTATATTATCAAGGAAGTTGGAATAATTGATATAAGAATTAAAAAATTAATAAAAATAATAAAGTAAATCATTATAAGAAATAGGCAAAGAAGTATTTATATATTAATTTATAATAGACAGAAGAAAATTATTATGTTTATTAATTATATTATGAAAATACTAAATTCAATTTAGAATCTTTTATTAATAGAAGAAAAAAAGAATATAAAGAATATGATGAAAAAGTACTTAATGAAATTTAGAATGCTAAATGTATTAATTACATATATATATAATATAGAAATGGATTGGTCATATTATACAAATATTGTATTGAATTATTTTTATTGTTTATCCAATTAAGCTGAAATAATGGAAGGTTAAAATGAAACTAAAGCACTTTAATTTTATGATCATATGATTGATGTTTTAAAGTGTTTAGAAAATGATGCAGCTTTTGAGGGAGATAAATTAAAATTCAAATCACAATCAGTATAATTTTATATATTCTAAATATAGAATGATGAATTTGAATCTAAATAGAATAATGGGCCTATGATGGGAGAATTTACTAAAGAGTAATATATTTAAATTTAGAAAATGAATGTAAAAGAATTATTTCAAATCATGTTATCTGATATATGATATATTATATTTAATTTTATAATGGACAAACAAAAATTGAGAATTACTTGGTAATCAAGTGATTGGAGTTTCACTAAACAAAAGAAATTACAAGAATTATAACACACTTAATCAACATTAAGATTTCAATAATAATAACGAATAAAAACAGAACCTAAAGAAACATTAAAGAAAATTACAAATCCTCTCAATTTTCATGAATATGTATAATTAATCGAAAAATAATATCGAATACAGAATTAGAGTAAAACAAAAAGAAAAATAGGTAATGGTAGAAGTCTAGTCTAAATTTGTTCCACAAAATCTCTTGTTCTATATGAATCATTACCTAATCTTCCATAAATCAATTGACAAACACATTTGAATATAATATAATATATAAACAATTTAAATGTAAACTATCGAAGATCAGATCAACTCTTGTATGTCTATGGCAAATCTAACTAAAGACATAAGTCTAGAATTACAAACAGAAGAATAATCAATTGAAATACAATCAATTGAAATACAATAATAATTGAATAGAGAACCAGTTTAAGTTAAATATAGTGAAAACTAATTATAGGAAGAAGATATAATGAAATCATAATGGTAAGTAATTAATAAAGTTTGGAATTGTACTATTTTTAATTAAGCAGTCATTTCTAAAGAATCATATCAAAATCTTTGTGAAACCTACTATCTATTAAACAAACTTCATTAAAAGGCAATTGAATTAACAAAAATGTATAATGAAGTGGCTGATTTTCTACCTCGTTTTTTCTAAGCCATAAAAATAACATTTATTGGTATTTTACAACTTGAATAAATTGGATTAATTACTAATGATAAGGATATTATGAGTAAATCAATAAATGAAGAATACAATATAAATTTGAATACAAAGAAATTAAATTAGAAAGCAATTTGCATATTATTAGAATTTGTTATTGCTCATGTACTTTCACATATATCAGTATTNTTTATCCAATTAAGCTGAAATAATGGAAGGTTAAAATGAAACTAAAGCACTTTAATTTTATGATCATATGATTGATGTTTTAAAGTGTTTAGAAAATGATGCAGCTTTTGAGGGAGATAAATTAAAATTCAAATCACAATCAGTATAATTTTATATATTCTAAATATAGAATGATGAATTTGAATCTAAATAGAATAATGGGCCTATGATGGGAGAATTTACTAAAGAGTAATATATTTAAATTTAGAAAATGAATGTAAAAGAATTATTTCAAATCATGTTATCTGATATATGATATATTATATTTAATTTTATAATGGACAAACAAAAATTGAGAATTACTTGGTAATCAAGTGATTGGAGTTTCACTAAACAAAAGAAATTACAAGAATTATAACACACTTAATCAACATTAAGATTTCAATAATAATAACGAATAAAAACAGAACCTAAAGAAACATTAAAGAAAATTACAAATCCTCTCAATTTTCATGAATATGTATAATTAATCGAAAAATAATATCGAATACAGAATTAGAGTAAAACAAAAAGAAAAATAGGTAATGGTAGAAGTCTAGTCTAAATTTGTTCCACAAAATCTCTTGTTCTATATGAATCATTACCTAATCTTCCATAAATCAATTGACAAACACATTTGAATATAATATAATATATAAACAATTTAAATGTAAACTATCGAAGATCAGATCAACTCTTGTATGTCTATGGCAAATCTAACTAAAGACATAAGTCTAGAATTACAAACAGAAGAATAATCAATTGAAATACAATCAATTGAAATACAATAATAATTGAATAGAGAACCAGTTTAAGTTAAATATAGTGAAAACTAATTATAGGAAGAAGATATAATGAAATCATAATGGTAAGTAATTAATAAAGTTTGGAATTGTACTATTTTTAATTAAGCAGTCATTTCTAAAGAATCATATCAAAATCTTTGTGAAACCTACTATCTATTAAACAAACTTCATTAAAAGGCAATTGAATTAACAAAAATGTATAATGAAGTGGCTGATTTTCTACCTCGTTTTTTCTAAGCCATAAAAATAACATTTATTGGTATTTTACAACTTGAATAAATTGGATTAATTACTAATGATAAGGATATTATGAGTAAATCAATAAATGAAGAATACAATATAAATTTGAATACAAAGAAATTAAATTAGAAAGCAATTTGCATATTATTAGAATTTGTTATTGCTCATGTACTTTCACATATATCAGTATTGTTTGAAACAATATAAGTAAGAAGAGAAAAATAAGAATTAAGATCTTTAGTAATTTACTTATCGAAATTACAAACATGTTTAGAACAATTACCTGGAGCTGCAAAATTAGATAATGATGATATATTTTGTTATGATAGAACAGATCCCAGATGGTAAGGTCTTAATAGCATTATAAAAGAAGTTGTTTTGGGTACTAGAGAATAGATATCAAATTCATATGGAAAAGTGGCTGAAGGAATATTGTTAGCTAATGCCATGATTTCTAAGGGATCTGAATTTAATAATGAAACTGCTAAAAATGTAATGCAAGGATTTGGAGCATTATATTATTTGGTAGCCAAAAAAGATGCTAAATTAAAGGCTGATCATTTCATGGCAGAACCTAATAAGAATCTAGTATTTAAAGCCTGGAATTTAGGAGAAAGTGGTTTTCTTAGTAAATTATTACCTCTTCTATTTCCTATGATTACTTATAACAAAAAGATATATATTCCATAACTTTTTAAACGTTTAGTTTAAGACAACATACTTCGACAATATAAAGAAGATAAAATTAATCGTATATAAAATGATTGTGGAGAATGTATAAACAATAATTTACCCTCATGCCCAGAATTATTTACTAAAAATAAAGAAAAAATACCTGTAAGAGTTTTATGCCATTATAATCTATAAGAGATATAAACTGATAGTTTTATGTAGCAGTCTCTAAAATTGCTACAAGGTCAAAAAGTATTTGATAAAATAGTTATACATATACATGGAGGAGGATTTGTAAGTATGTCATCTAGATCACATTAAACCTATACTAGAAAATGGGCTAAAAATTTATAAGTGCCAATATTTTCTATTGACTATAGAAAAGCTCCAGAAGATCCTTACCCTTTTGGTTTAGATGATTGTTGGTAGGCTTATATGTTTATAATGAACTACATTGATAAGTATTTTAATATCAAACCAAAAAAAGTTGTATTAGTAGGAGATAGTGCTGGTGGTAATTTAGTAGCTGCATTAACTATTTAAATTATTAAATCTGGGGCAAGAATACCTGATGGTATTTTAATGGCTTATCCTGCATTGTGTTTAGATATCAAACAGTTTACTCCAAGTTTATTAATTTCTTTAAATGATCCATTATTACATCATACTGTATTGAAATTATGTATTTCATCATATGTTCCAGAACAATTTGATGCTAAATTGGATCCATTAATGTCACCATCAATTGCTAGTGACGAAATTCTTGTTAGATTTCCTCCAACTAGAATTGTTTTAGGTACTAATGATCCATTACATGATGAAAGTTTTAGATTAGCTAATAAATTATTGAAATTAGGAAAAGATGTTAAAATAATTGAATATAAATGGATGCCACATGGATTTTTATCATTTGATGTTATTTAAGGAATGAAAGAAGCTGAATAAACAGTGCTTGATGCTTAACATATAATTCAAAATCTCCTTACATGTTGAAACTGAAATTAAAGCAATAAATATTTTTTATATAAATAAATATTTAGTTTTATTAAATCAAATTGAATTCAAAAATATTATATGAATAATACTTATTTTTAAATAATTTTAAGTCTTCTATTTAGATGCTTATTATGATGATGTTGTAATTTAACTCTATTAGCAGTTTGATCAATTTTATTCATTTTATTATAGTATAATAAAATAATATTCTTGTTAAGTTACATAATCTATTTTATAATTATTTAAAAATAATGAAAAATTATTTAATTCAATTTGAAATTGATATTCATATAAAGATATTAGAAGTATTTTTGAGATAAACTTCAAGTCAAGTCTATATACTAATAACAATCTTTTTAATAAAATTACTTTATTGTTCTTTAGACTGCCAATAATCTAATATTAAATTCAATTCCAGATTGATTGTTTTACATATGATATTTTAATAATATTATTAGATAATATTTATATATAAATTTTAATGATAATCAAAGTTTTACGACCTAAAATTTAATTTCATATTTACATCATATAGCTATTATAGATCTTTAATCTAATTGGTTTCAAATTTTAAATCTGGTAACTTGATTATTCTTTGGAATATATTGATAGGAATATCTATTCTTAAATCATTATTATTGATATTAAATAATGTTGAATAAGCTTATATTCTGATTAAATAATCCACTTTAATTAATTATCCAGTTGTTGAAAGTTCCATCTTGTTGTGAAAATCAAAGAGTAATATTGATTTTTTAATTGTTTAAACAATGCCTTAGACAACTCCAGGTAAACTCAATTTAGAAATTTATTCTATGATAACTTTTGGTTCTTTAGCAATAATTGTGGTTCTCTTATTCAATGAAATTACTATTTCTTAAATGTATTGCTTGCTTTCTCTTAAATCAACAATCATTTCTAAATGGATTGAATCACCAAACGAAAACTCTTCTCCACTATATTTACATTCTAATTTAGAAATCTAAAGTTATTTTTAATTATACTCCTTAATGCTTATTCAAATATCCACGAATGATATGGCTATTTGAAATGCTTTTAATAATATTTTGTCTAACTGCATATTAGTTAATGATAATAGGTAATTTTTTAAGTGTGATTCTATCAAGTTTTAGAGTTTCAGCAATTAAGGACATATTATAATCAATCCTTAATTTAAAGTCCTTTTCTCTTTTCATTGAACCAGGAATATTTTCAGGTAATTAATAAGTGAATGGAATTGCAATCGTTTTTTAGATTTTCAATTTCTAATCCTCTGGGTTTCTTTCATCATTAATATCAAGAAGCAACTTGAATTGAGAATAGAATATATTAAAATTGTTTGATTCAATGCATGCAAACCCTTTTTCCCAAGTTTCTTCACCTTATAAATGAATATACAATTTGGATATTTCCTTCAAAGTATATTCGCAATCCTCAATAATAACCATTCCTCTTATAGATTTATGATATACCTTATATTGCTTAATTCGGAAAATAGAATTTAGAATTGATCTAGATTTGGATTTTATTTCCCATTAATATGAATACTGAAATATCAAGAGCAGAACTATTATAATGGGTTAATGACACCTTAAAATTGTCTCTATAAAAGATTGAATAATTGGGAACTGGGGCAGTCTATTGTTAATTAGTTGATGCAGTTCATCCTGGTAAAGGTAAGTATTTTTATAGTTATCAATCTTAGTTGCCTTAAATAAGATAAATTGGAAAGCAAAACAAGAATATGAATTTGTTAATAATTTCAAAGTTCTCTAATAAGCTTTTTCTAAACTGGGAATACAAAAACCAATAGAAATAGAAAAGCTAACGAAATGCAAATATTAAGATAATCTGGAGTTTTTATAATGGTTAAAGAAATATATGGATTAACATGTTGTACCTAAAGACTATGATCCTTAATCCAAAAGAGGGAATGCAGAATTAGATGATTAACCAGCAATTATTCCAAAAAGAAATCCAGAGAGATCTAGAACCAGCATAAGGAGAGACACTTTCAATAGTCCTAATCAGTTATAATCTTCCTCAAGTATCCCAAAAACAAACTCTTTTGCTCATATGGAACCATACTAAAAGAAACAACCATCAATGTAGGATTTACTTATACAAATAGAAACACTAAAATAAGAAAGAGATTATTATTTCTAAAAATTTAAAGACTTAGATTTTTTTATTGAAGGTGCTTCTTAATTGACATAAGAATAAATGTATAAGGGAATTAAGGATATCTTATATTACACTGCTGATAAATCAGTAATAGTTTTACCTAATGGTGAACTAGAAGTTTAAGGATTACCTCCTTCATCAGAAGAATAATCCTCATCATAAGATGTTATGTAATAAGAAATAGATTTGTGAATTAATATTTATATCAGTTTTCAGGTACAATTACATTGGCATTTATATGCAAAATTTATTAAGAACTTTTTGTATAGCCTCTTTTAACAATTGGTAGGAGGAATGCATTTTATCTCATTATCTATCTTTTTTTATAGGCTTTAAATAGAGCCTTAGCCTTTTATTATCCAATAGATTCAAAAGTTTCATTTGGTTTATTTACATCATGATATTTTTTGAAGTAAATGTTTGGATATGAAAGATATTTAATAAGACTCTCCTATAAGATAGATTTCCTCTCATCTTAACTTAACATTAATATTTATGTACTGTTATACATATCAACTCTAAATTATTTATTTTTCAATTATTCTAGATAGAGATCTGATCTTTTTATTATTTATGATAAATTATTTTGAACATTATAAATTAGATATTCCTTTTAGATTTCGAAAGGCTTTGATAAAGTATATTCTGAATATTGTATCAAATTACATTTCATTCTAAGGAAATATAAATCTTCATATTCAAATTTATTTAAATATTCTTTTAATTAAGGATTATTGAAATAGTTTTCTACTATTTCTTTTATATTTTTATTAAATTTTTGATTTGCTTCTATTTAATTAGTTTTTGTAAATATTTTTGAATAATGTTACATTTTTATTACTTTTTTGATAATTCTTTAAAATTTTAATTTTACTCCTTAGTTTTTTATTCGAATACTTTGTCTTGTATAATTTTTACGAATTATTTTATTCTATGGATCTAATTAAATAAGATATTATACAAAAATTTGAATGATCATTTACTTTAGGTGGACTTATTACTGTTTAAGTATTTGATTCTACATTTTACAATGAACCTCTTTCATTTATAAATAAAGAATCTTTAGATTGTAAATTATGCTTTTTAGATTGAGAAGGTTCTGAATGATCAATCTATTATATATTATAAAATTGAATTATAGGTAAATCCTCTTAATTCTTCATCATTTATGCAATTTCTTACAAAAACCATTAATCAAATATAGCATTGAATTGATTCCTTATTCTAGCTCGATTACGTAAACCTGGAACTCTCTCTTATTGAGTATAAAATTAATGAGACTTTATAACTCTTTCCTTATCAATTACAAAGTGAACAATTGGACAATTTTAAATATCATGACCATAACAATTACAAGATTTACATTTTTTATTGGAATCCCTTAAATGCATCATTATTTCATCTTTCATTTTACAAAATGATTCAAAATCTTTTGGGTTATCTTTTAAAGTATTGATAAAATCACTTCTTGTTAAAACTAGTAATTTTACAAAAGATTAAGATTACAATTATAATTTAGATTATTAACCTGTTAATAATTCATCTAATCCAAAATATTAACCTTAACAAAATTAAATTATATCAGATCTATCTGTAAAATTAGTACAAATACTTAATGTACCATAATCAATAAAACATAAACATGGTTCATTATAATGAGGTAATTCACATGTAATTATTTATTCAGGAGTTATAAGGACAGTCTTGAATAGTTTAATTAATTTTTATTTAGTCTCTAAACTAAATGTTTAGTTGAATAAGTCACATTTTTCAATAATAGAGAAATTTGCTTCATTTATCAATTTATTTCTTAAATTTTCAGATAATGATGTTATTAGTTTTTCTTCTTCTTCATTTTCCTATTACATTTATTAACTCCAATATATTTTAATATATTCTCTAATTCTAATTTTATTAATTAATTTATACTAATATTGCAATTCAAAACTTATATGCTTTCTACTCATATATTTATTAATTATTCGTATTTTTTCAGTAGTGTTCTCTGCAGATAAACTTATTGAATTTAATATTTCTCCTACTGTATTCACGCTAAATGATAACTATACACATGTTGTAAACATAAATAATATTGTACAAATCTTCTCCAAAGAATCTAATAATATATAATGAAGTTTCTATACTTAATGGAACTATGTCTCCATATCCAACACTAATCATAGTAACAGTCGAAAAATAAAATGCCTCCAAATATTTAATTTCATAAGAAGCTTCTGATAAATTTCTACTGTCCAACCAATTAACCATTCCTATATCATTTGCATATGAACCTATAAAATACCAAAGACAACTATATATGTGTAGAAAATATAGAATTGTAAATAACAATTTAGCTAAATTCATAATTGATGATTGAATTTTGCTTAAATGAATTGATTCTTCTACATTCCTTATGATTTTAGCAAAATAATGATATTATGTAATGAAAGTGATTAATGATAAGTTTAACCATCTACTTTAAAAGAAATAATCATTAAAATATCCACATAAGAGTACTAACAAAGAGATACCATCTATTATCAAACCTTTTTTGAGATAATTGTTAAAAATTAAATAACGATCTACAATTGGTTATCCATATTCATAATATACAGTATTCATTTTCATAAGGTAGTCTAATATTAAAAATAGATAAAATGGTGTAGTCAACCAAATGGATTAAGTATACATTAATGATGTATTAAATGCTAATTCAAGAGGAATCATTATGAAAAAATATATTAGTACAAAGCATAAACATAAGTCCCAAATTATTTTAGATATTGATTGAGGATATATGATTGGCATTATTCTTAATAGTTCTGTTATTGGATTATAACATTTAAAACTCTATTAGCCTTTCTTCTTTTTCTTAACTGAAAATGAATTTGACACTAAATTCTCAACTTCTCCACTTGCTTTATCTCCTACAATTTAGAAATGTACACTTTTGAAGAAGAGCTTATGTCTTCTACTTACTGATAATTTTGTTAAGAACCTCTTTACAAAATAGTATACTCTAATTGTAAATTTCCTATTTTCTTTTTAGGTAATTGCTTTTTTAATTTAAAGCTCTTGATGAGGAGGGAATATAGGGAATTCTTGAATTTATGTTAACATGTTTTAACTTAAACTTTCAGGAAGACTTAATCTTTAAGGTTTCTATTCATAAAAATCATTTTTGATTTAAGCAACATCATCAACACTTTCATCTAGATTAGGATCTTTGTAATCATCTAAGTTATCATCCGAAGACAACATTAATTATGGTTTTAATTACATTAATAGAAGTTGTGATAATTAATTAAAAAAGTATTATTAAATATATTTTTCAACATTTTCATGTTGAGAACAATTTAAAATTATTATCTAAAAATCTAAAAAGTTCATACATTATTAATAAAAAATTAACTTTATTTTTACAAAATTTATTTTTTATAATCAAAACTTTAATTACAAATAGTTCTAATTTTAATATTTGTAGTTTTATATTTTTATTTATATTTAGCATTTACTCTTATACATTTATTGGATAAAATAATTTAGAAATTCTTATAAAATTGATATTGATATTGAAAATATTTATTTTAAATTACTTTATTGAATTATGAATATTTATACTTTGATAGATTGAAATAATAAGATAAATGAAAATTAGAAAAGATATATATATATATTTAGATATTTTAATAAATATAAGAGACATTTAATAATGATGCTTTATTTATATTGAAATATTTTCATTATTTGAAAAATCTCAATAATGTGCATTAATTAGTGAAGTTTTTATTCAAACTTTTAGCTTCTCCAAAAAGAGTTTTATGTGTTTTATTAACACTTGAATCATCATCAGTTTCTGTAAATTATGATTTTAATAAAGTTGTATTAAATGTTGATGGTACCTTTTATTAATCAATTATTTTCTAAGTTGAAAGTGATCTCATTTCAGAAGAGACTGCACAACTTTGATCAGGCATACTTTAATTATTTTTTTTATGTTTTTTGCTTGTTTTTGTAATTAAAGAACTAAAATTTTTCATTATATTTTCTTTGTTATTATCAGAACTTCTTTCTTAAGATACTTTTTTTTATTTTAATTAACAATGTATATTAGGTTATGATGCTGTATGAGTTTAAATAACATTCTTAGCCTTACTATTAATTAATAGATTATTAATTTTTTCATCTATATTTGATGAATTTATTTAGGTTATTGAAGATGATCTTGTTTAAGTTTTTTATGTTATTGAAGAAAAGTAGAAATTAGAGAAAAAAGGTGTAAAGACATTTTCATTTTCAGAATTCAATGATTTTTAAAGATCTCTCTAAAAATTATTCTCTCCTCTAATTATTTCATTTTAATCAAAATTCATTTTCATAAGATCTGGTTTAAATGGTGGTTCATAATTTCTATTAAGAATTTTATATAATTATTTATCCTATAACCAAGGATGTTTTAGAATTTCATATATTCCAAATTCTTTCCCTAATCTATTAAATACATCTTTTTATAATAATTTCTACATAAGATCTCTAGATTCAACACTACAATTTTTAGTTGGTAATGTTAATTCATGTTAAAGAATGTTTTTATAAATTTATTCAGGTGTATTTGAATAATATGGAGGTAAACCTGTTAATAATTCATAAAGTAAAGCTCCTAAACAATAATGATCTATTTAATAATTATGACCTGACTTTAATAACATTTCAGGTGCCATATATTCTGGAGATCCACAAAATGAAAAAGCCAATAAATCATCTTTCATATTAGGTCTAGCTAAACCAAAATCAGCCAATTTTATATTACCATCTTAATCTATTAAAATATTCTCTGGTTTTATATCTCTATAAATAATTCCATTCTCATGTAAATGATGAATAGCTAAACAAACTTAACTAAAATAAAATTTTGCTTATTATTCATCCATCCTTTTTACTCTTTTTAATTATTAAAATAATTCTCCTCCAGGACAATATTCTAATGCAAAACAAACCCAACTCTTAGTTTCAAATACACTTAATAATTTACATAGAAAAGGATGTGAATCACTTTATTCTGCTAAAGCAACCATTATATTTCTTTCATTTTATATTATTTAAAATTTATCATGTTCTTAAATGAATTATTTTGATATCATTTTCAATGCCATAAATTAACCATTTGATTTACATCTCACTAAATAAACTCTTGAAAAACCACCAACACCTATACATTGCAAAAAATAAAATGAATCTAAAGTTATTAGAGCTTACTATATTGCATGTAAGGGTTTTAATTAAATTGTCTAATTTGTAAGAAATCCTAAATCTTAATTCTAAGTTAAATAGAAATCCAAAGGTATGTTTTAATCTATTGTTTAAAATCCAACTACTAAAGGTGAATTTAACAAATTTTTTAAATGATTCACTAAATTTTATGTAGTTTGATTTAAAGTTGGAAATTAGATTGAATGTTATAATTAATTGTTTAAGTAAATTTTTACATTCACAACTCCTGATCTATTGATTTCTTTCTTTACATAATTGTTCATTAATGATTGAACCTTTTATTTTTGATCCATTCTAATATTTGTCTGTTAATTAAATAATTTACTTATATTCACAATATTTAAAAATACAAACAAATATTATAAAATGTATTAAATTATAAATTATAGATTCAAAAGGTTCGCAAAAAATTTAAATCCTTATCATATTCTTTATATAAATAATCTAATTCTATTTCTATTCAATAACAATAAGAAATTAAAATTACAATAATGGTAATTGAAAAAATTGCAAAAAAAGAAAAATATCATAATAAATTGAATCAAATAAAAAAGATTAGTATAAAAATGATTGATGACAAAATTCATAATCAATTCTATATTAGTTTAATTTATTTAGACTTCATTTTCTAAAAAATATTTAATATTATTTTTTACAGCCAATTCTAATTCAAATTCTTTACTCATTTTTTCTTTTAATTTATCAGCTTCTAATCTTAATAGTTATTTCTCTTTTTATTATTATTCTTTTAATTTTTAAAGCTTTTCAACTTTATTCAATTTTTCTTCAAATTATAATGCTTTCAATTCTCTTGACTATTAAAGTTTCTCTTAATGTTTTTGAACCAATTACTAATATGTTTCAATTTTCAATTTTTCACTTTTTTTTCTTTCACTATTTTATTTAGAAAGATTTGATAAGACCTAAATTAATCTAAAAATTAATACATCTTCTGATTTTTTGAATCGAAGTTCAAGAGATTGATTTACTTTATTAATCTTACTTTCTAATATTACTTCACTTTATTATTTTACACATTCAACCTAATGAGAATGATTTGAAAGTTTTCTGTGTAAAGATGATAGAAAATCTTTATGGTATCCATTTTCATATTTTTCTAAAGAATCAAGAGTTTTAGCTATTTTTTTTTTATACCCCTAAATAATCTAGAATTTCAATTATACATTTAACTTTTCTTTCTCTATTTATTAACTTTAAAATAAAGTTTTATCTAAATGATTTTTTCTTAATTCTGCTTTGAGTCTTGCTATTTCCTTTTATCTTTCCTATTTCTGTTGAATATTGTTAAATTTCTCAAATTTTTATTTTAACTTCATCTCATTCTATAATTCTTTTTCCTTTTGAATTCTTTCATACTCTTGCAAATGTTATTTATCTTTTTCTAATTTCATTTTGTACCTTGTTAATGGATCCATATTATTAATTAATATAAAAAATGCAATGTAATTAAAAATGTTTAGCTTAACCAGGCCAAACCTTAATAGACATTGCTATTCTCAATAATTGTAATGTGTGGAAATTGAAAAAAGTGAATAAATTAGAACATTGTCATTTGATTCCTGGTTAAGAAGTGTTATTGTAATATGATAATAAGCGCATTATATAACGCGATTTACTAAAATCCATAAATATATCAATACCTATCCTATATATGTGGGATAGAGATCATATACATGGAAATTTGTAAATCTGTTATGATTATTTGATTTTTACAGTTAATTCAAAAAAATTAAGTAAGGAATAAAAAGGTAAGGAAGATCATTTAAACTTTTCTATATATGTAAATGAGATTTACAAAATAATATTCAATCCAATAGCTGAATTAATGTAAATTATTATATGGGGTATTTGTGGTAACAGAGTACCTGAAAATCAAAAGAAACTTTTAATTGAATTAAAAGCTATAAAAGGAGAAACAAAAGCAGTGAAGACATTTGTTAGAGAATTGTGGTAAATGAAAGGAAAGAGCAAAAGAATGATAACTATGGAAGCATTTACATATTTAATACAATAACTTTAATATGAACATGAATAATATATTGGAGACTCTTTCAATATAAGAGTGAAAAAAGGGGAAACAAATTTAGAATGTTTAAGTAGTGTTTATAATTTCAATTATGTTGAAATAAATGAAAAGAATGGATCAATGGAAGTTTGTAAGGCTAGACAATAATAATAACCAAAAGAATAAGCTAAGGTTAGTTTGAGTGAAGAGAGTAGAATAATTTCTATGAAATAAGTATTAGAAATAGCAGGTGGTATGCCATCTTATTTATAAACTAAACCATGGTTCTTATTATTTTCTATAAATAGACATGGTAAATGAATGTTAATATGTAGGTAGTTCTTATTAAGAATTTTTGAGGAGAACAGAATATGCTGGCCCTCATGTAATTCTCATTAAGGATTAAGGTAAGAAAGTATTTGGAGGATTCTTATTGAGTTCTTGGAGATTATCTAAGAATGAATTTTTTGGTTAAGGAGAATCATTTTTGTTTATTTGTCTATATAATCATACAAGAATATTCAAAGGAACTCAAAAAAATAGATGTTATTAGATGGCTGATGAGACTGGATTTAGTATTGGAGCAGGAGATAAGTAAGATAAATTTATAATAATAACATAGATATGGTTTATTTGTAAGTAGTTCATTTAGTAAAGGGGAATCTAATCCAAGTGAAACATTTGATAATGAAGTGTTGTCTAGTGAAGTTTAGTTCTAAATCTAAGAATTTGAGGTTTGGGGATTGGATGAGGAAGCAGTGCATTAATTAAAATTTTAAGATTAGAAAAGATCATTATTTACAAAATGAATATTATTAAGTTAAATGAATAAATAATAATGTTGTTAATAGTGTGAAAGCAATGAAAATGTTTTGATTTGTGTTAAATGTTCATAAGGCTTATGTGATGAATGTTTCTAATAGTTTGGTGGAAAGGATTTTGAAGCATTATGTCCAGTTTGCTAAATGCTTAGTGTTTTTAGGTAATCATAGGTGGAAATCTGTGAGGCTTGTGCAGACATTCATGAGAGTGAATAAGAGGAAATGGAATGTCTATTTAAATCAATGAACTTAATGAAGGATAAGATGAATCAACTATTTTTAGTTGGATAATAAAGGATTAAGAGAATAGAATAATTGAAATAATAAATATAAATAAATGAAAATGAAATTAATATGTTGAAAGCATAGGCCTAGATTTTATGATAAATAGACATCATTTTGTCATTATATATATTTATAATTAATATTAAAACAAATAAAACAGATATTAATATGGGTGTTTGCTGCACACACTCACATGAAAAATTCGAAAATTTTATCCCTCCTGAACTTATTAAAGAAGATAATAAAGCATATGATCTATTTGCTCTTAAAATTTAAAAGCATTACAAAGGATATAAAGCTAGAAAATTATATCATAAAATGAAAATTAAAACAGAAGAATCTCCAGTTGTTCATCATCCAAAACCAGAAATTGCTTAAAAACTAAGTTAAACACCTACAGATTATGCTTTAACTGTTTAAAAAGCCTTATATAAACTTGGTCCATTTCGTTATAATGATTTCATTAATTCAGATGATCCAAATAAAAGATCTACTAATTTTCAATTTACAGATGAAGATAAAAAACTACCATTCTTAGAACCACATAGATTAATTGATGGAGCTATCTATATAGGTTAATGGAAAAATGGTATGAAATGGGGTAAAGGCAAGTAAATTTGGCCAGATGGTTCAGTTTATGAGGGATTCTGGTAATAAAATAAAGCATGTGGTATAGGTAGATTAATACATTAAAATGGAGATGTTTATATAGGAGATTGGTTAGATGATAAATGTCATGGTTTTGGAGTGTATACACATAATGATGGTACAATATATAAAGGAAATTGGATAGAAGATAAATAAGAGGGAGATGGTAGTGAAGAATATCCAGATGGTACAATATATAAAGGTTAATTTCTTAATTCGATGAAACATGGAGAAGGAGAATGTTTTTATTCAAATAAAAATTAGTATTTTTTTTTATTTATTATTTAGTTATAAAGGGGAATTTTAGTATAATTTTTTACATGGTTAAGGGAAGTTTGTATGGAGTGATGGAAAAGAATATGAAGGAGCTTGGGAAAATAATTAAATGCATGGGTATGGAGAATTTAAATGGCCAGATGGTAGATCATATAAAGGATAATATAAAAATGATTTAAAGGATGGTGAGGGAGAGTTTATTATTGATGAAAATACTAGATATAAGGGAAGTTGGAAGAATGGTAAATAACATGGGGATGGAGTTCTTGTAGTTAATGATATTATAAGACCAGGAGTTTGGTGTGAAGGGATTAGAATCTAATGGAAAGATAAATTCTGATTTTTCTTAATAATTTTTTAACTATTTTTATATATGTTTATTTAATGTATGAATCTAAAGAATAGTTTTCTATGATTGTATGAAGAGAATAATAATAATTCAATTTTATTTTAATAATTAAATACAACCTAAAATGTCAGAAGAAATTCAATAATCAAATTCTGGTTAAAAGCTAATTACAAATTATTTTAATCAGAATCCTGAAAATTCTATGGATAGATAAAAATAAATGAAAAAAAGAAAAATTGAAAATGAAATTTCCAAAAAAAAATTGAATACAAAATCAAAAAGTGATGAAGAATCATCTAATGATAATTTTCCTCAAGTTCCTGCAAATTTACCAAATTGCTAAAAGATCTATAAGTATTTAAAAAATACAAAAGAGATTTGTAATGAAGCGGGTAATGGAGGAAAGACTTAGATATAAAAAAACTTAGAGGAAAGCAAATAAAAAATGAATACAAATGATATAACCAATTATATGAAATCAAAAGAAGTAAAAATAGTTTAGTAACCCATTTAAAAACCATAAGATGAAGAATCTAGCAAGTTGTAATAGAAATTATTAGAAAAAGAACAAATTGAGAAACAATTAAGATAAGAGAAATAATAATTAGAAAGTGAACGTTAAGAATTAATTTTATAACATAATGCTTTTAAAAAGCGTACTCAAGATGTATTTGCAGAAGCATTAAAATAAGTGGAGGAATTAAAGCGGGAAAAAATGAGAGAATATTTAGAGAGGGAAAGATATAGATTAGGAGAGTTTGTAAGTTCTAGAAACAATGTAAGATTTGTGGAAGAATGGTAAGATGGTTATGAAATAAAATAAGTTAAAGAAACATTATAAAAGTTAGAAAATGAAAGAAGTTCATTAGAGAAATAGAAAAATGAAATAAAAGATAAATTTTAAACAAAAAATCAAAAGGATAAATAGAATAAATTATTTGAATTAGATTTTATAAATGGTGATTTAGATGCAAATTAAAAGAAATTAAGAATTTAATTTTAATTAAGTATATTAAAAAAGGAGGAAGAAGAATTGAAATTAAAATTAACTAAATTAGAAGAAGAGAAATAATAATTAGCATATAAAACAAGAAGATTTATGGAAGAATAAAAGTAATTTTGATTGAAACTTTAGTTGTCGATATTATAGAGCAGATCCAAGATGGCCATTAATAGCATAAAGATATTAAACATTAGGATTATTGGGAAAAGGAGGATTTTCTGAAGTTTATAAAGCTTTTGATTTATAAGAATATAGATTATGTGCATGTAAAATACATTATTTAAATCCTTAATGGAATGAAAATGCTAAAAATAATTACATCAAGCATGCTTTGAGAGAAAATGATATTCATAAGAGATTGAAACATGTCAATATTGTATCATTATATGATACTTAAGAAATAGATTAAGACTCTTTTTGGTACATTTATGTATAATAAGAAAAAGCACTGTACTTGAATACTGTGATGGAACTGATTTAAATCAACATTTGAAGAAATATAAAATGATTGCAGAAAAGGAAGCTAAATTGATTTTGAGACAAGTTTTAGCAGCCTTACATCATATGAGTTGCAGTCCAACTAAAATTATTCATTATGATTTAAAACCATAAAATATTTTATTTCATAAAGGAGAAGTTAAACTTACAGATTTTGGATTATGTAAAGTTTTGGATTAAGATACAACAAGATAAGAATTAACATCTCAAGGTTTAGGAACTTATTGGTATTTACCTCCAGAATGTTTTATGGAATAACCAAACATATAAATAAGTACAAAAGTAGATGTGTGGTCAATAGGAGTGATACTATTTGAAATGGTATTTGGAAGAAAACCTTTTGGTGAAGGTATGTCTTAAGAAAGAATTGCTCAAGTAATAATAACATAGTATCTTCTTTAGGAAAGAGTTATCTTAAATTCTTTTTAAGTAAAATTCCCATAAAAGCCAACAGTATCTCAAGATTGCAAAGATTTTATTCTTAAATGTCTAACATACAATATGGAGGCAAGATGGAATATAACTGAAGCTTTTTACTGCAATTACATATAAAGTTGAAAAAGCAACTAATTATTATATACAATCTATTTATATAATTATTTAATTATTTAATCATCAATAATAGTTGAAATATAACAATATAAACTCAAATAATTAATTGTATTTATTTTTATGATAAATATTAAATAAACTAATACTATGGATATATTATTAATCTTAAGAATTTAATATTCTATACTAATACAGTCAAAAGTTTATAATGTCTAACATAAATAATTAGTCTACATATTGTATTTGTATCAAAAACTGATTATATTAAGAATTAATATTTTCTAAATTTCTTGATCACAAACAAATTATAATTTGAATAAAGAAACTATGCCAATGATATTTTGATTATTTAATTAGTACACCTTTGTAATAGATTAGGCTAATGTACTCTTTAATATACTCAATTGATGAAAATTTTTATATCATTAATTAATGTAAAGAATGTTTAGAATATTCTTTCGTATAAAGATTATTAACTTATTAATTGGCAATTTGACTTTAGCTAATTTTTCAAAACTTTTCCATATATATATAACTGAACGTTTGCTCTATATACTTCTTTATCATTCACCATCCATAAAAACTTATAATATTCTAAAACTAACAAATTAAGGATGATTAAAAAATTAGATTAATTCTAATCAGTTAATTATTCATACCTAATAAGAAATATAATAAACTATTATGGTGTACTATAGTATTTGTAAGTTGTTTAAATATTGAGCTTTGTCTAATTGGATCGTGAATATTTTACAATTTATAAATGGATGTAATTATTAAAAATTCTCTATTAAATTTAGAAAATGTTTAACGATTAAACATACAATTATATGATGAGACATCTAATTCACAATTATGTAGATGGATCCATGTATTTTAATATTATTTTGAAATAAATTTATACAAAACAAGACTTTGTATGTCTAAATATATATTTAGAATTTTTTATGAAAGGACTTTGAATTGAATTTAGCTTAAATATTGATTTGAATTATGAATAACAATATAGTTAGCATCATGAACTAAGGAAATTCACTCATCATTTTCGAATGGCTCCAAATTATCATCATCTAGAAAGTCTGGTGGAGCAATAACATCAAATATTACACCTTCTACTTCCACATTATACTAATATTCAAGACCTATATGAATAAAAACTAATATCTACTATTTGGATTGTAAGGCATAATTGTTCGTTCTTATGGTTACTGTATGTATTTATTAACCCATGACATTCTATGAAAAGGTTAATCCAAAGTGATTTAGCTTTAATTAGTTGTAGAATAGTATGTTTGAAATTTTTTTGAGGAACAAGATCCCATTGTATTTGTTAATTTAATTAAAATGTTATTTAAAAAAAAAAAGTCACACAGCATTTATGCTCCCTATATCTTAATGATAAAACATTTAATTAAAATTAATAAGAATTGAATCCTATAAGTTTTTATGATGATAATGAGCTGCTCATAGAATCGTATTATTTACATTCATAATCTTGGCAATTATTTCTTAAAACATGACTGGCTAATTTTGTTAGTTATTATATTTTATTTAGGTTTTGCTGTAAAAATTAAATATATTTGGCATCTTAAGACTAATACTGTTTGAATAACAGATGTTGTTTATTTCTAATGGTTTGTTCCTCATGCTTTATCTACTAAGATCTTTATTCCTGGAGCGAATCATTAAACTTATTAAGTAAATCAGATTCATTCTGTTAGAAATAATCTGATTTTTAGTAATACTAAAAAGGAGAAACAATTCTTTTTATAAATCCTATATTAAAATCTTTGAATAAGCTTTCCTTTATAAGGAAATTAGACTTTTCATTCAATATTTATGAACATTTAGTAATAAAATTCTATATACTACATCTATTGTTAATTAATTTCATCATCAGCTAAGTCAGTCACAAACTAAATTTGAAAAGATCTTTAAACCATTATTCTGATTTGTATGATGATAAAAATAGATATATAATTAAAAATTACAATTACAATTAAAATTTCTGTATATTTAATGATGTGAATTTTATTTTATATAATATCATTTATATAGAAAAGCAAATATTCTTCTTTCAGTCTATTTACTATTTTTTAAATATGAAAAGTATTATATAATAATAGATGTACATAGTTTATCCCTATTAATTGAAAATTGATAAAATATCCAACTAAATAAAATGAGATTACTATAAACCAAAGAGGGAATGACATTGTATAATTCAAACTAATTGATTGCAAATGCTGATTCAAATTCTAAATAGATAATAATTAATATAGATATAAATAATGAATTAAGAAATAAATGATTTTTTTAAAGAAAAAAATATATTAAATAAGAAGATGAATATAATAAATCACACTAATCTTAAAGATATAAAGAGCTTAAAATGAAAAATCAAAAAGAGTTTATATTAAGTGAAAAATATTAAATAGAGATATCTTCAAACTTTTTGGTTAAAAATAAAAGAGATTGGTAATCGCATAATATTTTAGATGATCATCAATAAAATTGATAAATTCTTGAAGAATGAACTTTAGTAGTAATGTTTTAGAATTTTAGAGTAATTAAAAAAGTATATTTCAACTGAAACTTATTTAATATAGCTTAGAGTCGCAGAAACATTACAAATTCGTTAAAATGGATTAATCATTGTTTAGAATTATTTAGATGATTATTCATTATTTTAATAAAGGAAGAAACTATTGAATTGTTGTTATCCTACAGATACAAATTGAATCAAATTGTAAAGAGAACCTCTTTGTGAAAGATTAAAGTAACCAATCTTTTGATGAATACTCTTTTTTTCCCAGAAATTCTCCTATGACACAAAAGAAAGGGAATTTTAATATGAAGAACTAATAAAAATAACTAGATAAAATCTTTTAATGACCTTAATTCATTCTTAATTTATTATTCAATATATTAATAATTAATTATTGAATAATAGATTTTAATATTCGGAACTCAGATATTATAAATGTGTAAGTTTATAATTACTAGGTATTAGACTGCTTAAAATTGATTTATATATTAGATAGTGATATTAAGATATATATTTAGAGAATCTAACACAGAAATTGATTTATAAAGGAATCAAAAAAGAAATAAAAATCACTTATTTTATTTATGTATGATATTCAAAAATAAGAGAAAAGGGCACATAACTAAAATAATAAGATTCTATATATGATTACTTTTATTTTAGTTATTTATTAAATATTTATCAAATAAGGACATTTGTTAGATATTCAAAAAATTAAAAATATTAATTTCATAAATTAGTATGTAAGAAATTATAGTTTAAATAGAAGTAACAAGTATTTGAAGAGAAAAAGAATTAAAAAGAATAAAGATTAATATATATAAAAATATATAATAAAATATAAATGCAAAAAATTCTGAATTTTAGAGAATATTTTTTGAATCCAAAAGGAATTAAGATTGCAACTACTTCTAATTTCAAGAGAGCTACACCAATTGAAACATTATTTGATCAATCTGTTGTATTACATAGAGCAGAAAAACAATTAGAGAAAAATGTTGTAGCATTCAAATTATAACCATATAAATATTCATTGAATAAACCTGAAATAAAGCAATACTTTACTAAATGTAATTTAAAATATTTAAAATAAAGTATATGGATTGAATGTTGATAAAGTTAATACTATTAATTATATGGGAGCAATAAAGAGATCACCAAAAGGAGGTCGTTATAGAGAGAAGGATTTTAAGAAAGTGTATTTATAATTAAATGAGGAAATTGAGCCATTCTTTTAGAAAATTGAGAAATGATTTTTAACATACATTAAATGTATAATACATGAACATTTAATAATTTGCATAATAAAATTATTTAGGTTTTATAACCATCCAATTCTAAAATACTTTAAGAGAATCTTACCAAGGATCAAGTTCTTACAATTAAATAGTATATCTCAGCAACCATAAAAAAATCAACAGGTAAAAGTTGCTATTTTAGCTCTTAAAATTGTATATAAATAATTATTTTTGGACTATCTTTTGAGATCTTCTTTTCTACTTTTCCTACTACATCTGCTTCTACATCAGTTATTAGATTTAAATATTTATCATCAATTTAATGGTATCTTTAAACATAATGATTTTATCTAGAATTTATATACAATAACATGACATAATGCAATCTATTTATTAATAATAAATTACAATAAATTTAATATACTAAAACAATGTAATTTACCTTAATACAATAAAAAATGATCAATGCATAACCAGTTATGAAATAATAGACTATAATTAATTAATATAAATATTTTTATTTAATTGNTTAGATAGTGATATTAAGATATATATTTAGAGAATCTAACACAGAAATTGATTTATAAAGGAATCAAAAAAGAAATAAAAATCACTTATTTTATTTATGTATGATATTCAAAAATAAGAGAAAAGGGCACATAACTAAAATAATAAGATTCTATATATGATTACTTTTATTTTAGTTATTTATTAAATATTTATCAAATAAGGACATTTGTTAGATATTCAAAAAATTAAAAATATTAATTTCATAAATTAGTATGTAAGAAATTATAGTTTAAATAGAAGTAACAAGTATTTGAAGAGAAAAAGAATTAAAAAGAATAAAGATTAATATATATAAAAATATATAATAAAATATAAATGCAAAAAATTCTGAATTTTAGAGAATATTTTTTGAATCCAAAAGGAATTAAGATTGCAACTACTTCTAATTTCAAGAGAGCTACACCAATTGAAACATTATTTGATCAATCTGTTGTATTACATAGAGCAGAAAAACAATTAGAGAAAAATGTTGTAGCATTCAAATTATAACCATATAAATATTCATTGAATAAACCTGAAATAAAGCAATACTTTACTAAATGTAATTTAAAATATTTAAAATAAAGTATATGGATTGAATGTTGATAAAGTTAATACTATTAATTATATGGGAGCAATAAAGAGATCACCAAAAGGAGGTCGTTATAGAGAGAAGGATTTTAAGAAAGTGTATTTATAATTAAATGAGGAAATTGAGCCATTCTTTTAGAAAATTGAGAAATGATTTTTAACATACATTAAATGTATAATACATGAACATTTAATAATTTGCATAATAAAATTATTTAGGTTTTATAACCATCCAATTCTAAAATACTTTAAGAGAATCTTACCAAGGATCAAGTTCTTACAATTAAATAGTATATCTCAGCAACCATAAAAAAATCAACAGGTAAAAGTTGCTATTTTAGCTCTTAAAATTGTATATAAATAATTATTTTTGGACTATCTTTTGAGATCTTCTTTTCTACTTTTCCTACTACATCTGCTTCTACATCAGTTATTAGATTTAAATATTTATCATCAATTTAATGGTATCTTTAAACATAATGATTTTATCTAGAATTTATATACAATAACATGACATAATGCAATCTATTTATTAATAATAAATTACAATAAATTTAATATACTAAAACAATGTAATTTACCTTAATACAATAAAAAATGATCAATGCATAACCAGTTATGAAATAATAGACTATAATTAATTAATATAAATATTTTTATTTAATTGATATACATCTGATGAAGAAAACTGAATAAGATCATGACGAATATAAAAGACCACCAAACTTATTGAAAGCCAAAAAACATGGAATTGCTAAAAGATTTGCAGCTCCAATGCCTTTTACTGATTTTGATAAAGGAAGTGTCTGTCCATGTTGTGGATATCCATACAAAAACTAAATCCTTCCAATATGCGTTTCTATATCAGAATTCAGTTTCATAGGATCAGGAATAGTTCTGTACTTTGATTTTGTGATTTACTCACAAATAATTTTACTTATCTACATGTTAGTGTAATAAATTATATAGATCAATAGTAGGAGTGTATACCTTTTATGATAATAGTTAAGGATTCAGATGCTAGATTGAGAATAGAGAAACACATTCTGGATGTGAAGAAGATATCTACAATAAGTTTTCAAGATCTAATGTATATAAGTAATGAGCATCTAAATAATTAAGAGAGTTAGATGTGGTAGCTAGTTACTTAAATTTTGCAACTTTGATTATGTTGATGATCTCTACTTTGATCTATCGTAGACATATTAATAAAATTTGTTTAGAAATTGATGATGCAGAAATAGAAGCATCTGATTATTCTATTATGATTTATAATGCTCCAAAAAATTGTAAAAAAGAAGATATTAGATCTTACTTTTTGTAAGAGGAAGGTATGGAAGAATTGGAATTGAGAAAGATTTGTATGGCTTATGAAGTGAAACCATTTTTATAATTAAAAATAGAATTAGAGGAATAATAATCAGAATTATCACATGTTTTGGATCTGGAAAGATAAAAAAAGAAGTCTTCTAAATCAAAAACAGAAATTCTATTGAAAATTAAAGAAATTCATGAAAAATTAGATTATGTTGATAAATATAAGGATGTTATTTTCAGATTTACAGGTGTTATCTTTTTATCATTCAATTATGAAAAACACGCTGATATAGTTTGTGATTAATTTAAATAGACTAAATTCTAATTATTATTAGAATAACTTAATATAAAGAAATATTAAAATAGAAAGTTTCTTGGAAATTCAATAATAGTTAGAAAAGCACCTTTACCTGGTGATATATTATGGGAAAATTTAGGTATAGAAATAAAAGAATAATATAAAAGAATAGTGACTACAAATGTTGTAACAGCAGCTCTATTAGCTATAGGGTTAGCCATGATATTTGGATTATCTTATATGTAAGAATACATAAATGCATAAGTGGATTATGATCCTACTACAACTGCTGTAATTATCAATTTTCTAGGTTTTTTAGCCTCACTAATTATTTCCTTTATAAACAGTATTTTATCATCTACAATTATCAAATTAATTATAAGAGAATAGCATTCTACTAAAACTGAATATGATATAAGTATAGCAAAGAAGATAGGTTTGGCTGAGTTTATTAATGTAGCAATATTAACTCTTTTAGTTAATATATTAATTAAAGGTTAAAATGAAACAACTCTAAATACAATGTATCAAAAAGGAGGTTTGAATTCAGATGTGATGTGGATATTTATGACAGATTCCTTTATGCCTTGGTTCATGTTTATTGTTGATTTTGAACATCTAAAGAAATTATTTATACGTAGACAGATCAAATAATTGGGATCAAATTGTAAATTAACACAAAAATAAGCTAATGAGTACATTCATCCTCTTAAACAAGAGCATTTGAGGGTCCAATGATTAATTTGGCAGAAAAGTATCCAGCAATAGCTAAGACTTTATTGATGGCTCTTTTCTATGCTCCATTGTTGCCAGCTTGTTCTTTTTTTGCACTTGTGAGTATTATGGGAATTTATTGGATTGAAAAGATTTTATTATTAAGACGAGATTCAAAACCCTTACCTACAGGCAGTGATATGGCTTAAGCTATGGTTGAATTCTATGTAGATCTTTTGATACTGATTTACAGTGTAATAATTCATTATTATATATTCAGCTAGGCAATTGCATATGGGAATATACAATATTTAAGACTATGCATTGGTCAACATGGATTTCTTTCATTATTTGTTCCATCTTTTATTTGCTTCCAAAAGAAAGAGTCTTAGAATTTATTTTAAAGATAGGAATAGACAATGCTACTGAAGATTCATATGATTCCAGAAGTCCTACCTTCTTGGATGATTATGATAGAAGAAATCCAGTTACTGCAGAAGAAGCAAAAAAAATTTGGATAGAAAATTAGTAATAACAAAATTCTGATATGCATCAAATTAATCAAATGTATTATTAATATATATATTTTAGTATGTCTGCAAAGTAACTTGACATTTCTATCTATCGTTATCATTATAATATAATGCAATAATAATCTAGATAGTAGATTTTGATGACTAATCATAAGTCATTTTCAAAGGTTCATCCAGAATTCAAAACAGAAAATAATTATAATATGAAAAAGCTATAATATTGATTAAATTAATGAATACTATAATATTTAAAAGAAAATTATGTACTTTATATGAGATCATCAGAGAATAGAAATAATAGACATACTTAAATCCTGACTTTGTTTGGCTCATGTACACAGGAATAAGATTTAGTCTCATATTGAGATTTGATCAATTTAATGAGAAGGAGTATTAAGTATTTAATACAAATTAAATTTAGGACCAAGAATTGATCCTTGTTAAAAATTTTATTAATTGGTTTCATTTATTAACCCCAATAAGTTAAATTTAACAATCAACTATTAAAAGTGTACTTGTTATTATTATAGCGGTTTTTCATATACTTTCTATCTTGATAATTGTATTTGAGATTAAAAAATGGAATTTCTTTAAACACTACTAAAATATATATTACACATATTTTCAAATTTTGATACTTTATCCTTCATTCATATATATCTATCAAATATAAAACTAGAATCCTAAGAATATTTTAGTTTGGTGTTGTACAATACCTATATTTATAAATTATATGATATTTTCATATTTTTAACGAAATTACTTATTGCCAATATAAAATCCATTTACAAAAAGATATAGAATACAAAATTATTTACAGAATTTTATTGAAATTGTCATTTTAATAAGCATACCATATTTTGTAGAAATTATTCAAACAATGATAATGATGCTCTTATTTTTAATGTAATTGATAGATTCTATATTTAACTAACCTTATTCAATGTAAATAAATTTGAATTATTGTTTATGTTCTTCTATTTTACTATTTGGTTCAGTTATTAAATGTTTATCCATCAATATGAATTAGAAAGAATATCTATTTTATAGTTTTATGCTTGTTCCTCTTTTAAGTTTATTAATGAAAAGAGTTTTGATCCTAACATACTCAATAAATTTAGAATAAAATTAACTTTCGAAAAGTTTATTATTTCAAATTGCAGATGAATACTATTCTAATAATCCCATAAAATAAAGTAAGATATTATTTATACTTAAAAATAAATACAAAATATTGCCAAATAAGTAGATAATAGAATCATAATAAAATTATTATATATTAATGCTAATTTTAAGATTATATGACTCATATTCTTAATAAAAGAAATTTAGAGAAGAGGAATTATAATTATATAAAATATTTTTCATATTTTAGACACAAGAAAAATTGAATTTGGCTTATATCCAACTAAAATAACATTAAATTTAATCATCTTATTAATCTTTATATTTTTAAATAATAAAATTATATTGTTCAAAATTAATAACAAATAAAATAGATTAAGATTTAAAATCTATTTAGGGAAGATTAGATATATAATAAATTAAATAAAGTCATTTATTAATTGAGACATGTATACCTTCAATAATATAAATTCTTGATTTAAAAAATAAATTTTTAGAATCATTATTAATTGGATATGATAGAATAGAATAATTAGCTTAGTAATGTATAGGTTTAAGTGATAAGATATAAGAATTAAAAAATCTTGTATTTACAGAAATGGAATTAGATATACTTATTATTTCAAAGTAAATAATAAAATTAAATATTCTTGATTTACGCTTATTATCTTTACTTTTTGGACCTGTATTAAATGATTATCATATAACATTTCAAATTGAATAAAGGATAGATGATTTACTTAATTTAGAACGTAATGTATTATCTAGAAACATTCAGAATACTTCTTTATTGAATGATGATGTTATAATTATTTAGATAAGCATGATGAAAAATCATGGATAGATTTTAAATAAAGACAAGAGTAAAATTTTAAAATATTTTAAATTTCCAAATGATGAATCCTTTAAATCAATATCTTAATTAAATTAATTATTACCAGAATATCTTGTAATCAAACATGATAAATTCTTAAATTAATTTCTTAATACAGGAGAGTCAATTTTATTTAATACTAGTCATGATGTATTTCCATCATATTATTGTGGTTTTTCATTTCTTGTTACATTATAATTAATACCCTCATATGATGAAATGGATGATTATGTCTTATCAGCAATACTTAAGAAGAGTTATGAACATAGTGATTTTATAATATTTGATGCATCTGGAAAAATATTGGGATTGTCAGAATAAGTCCTTTAATTGTTAATTTAAAATGATTCTGATTTTAATAAAAATATATTAAATTCTTATATCTATTTTTGGTTCAAAGATTTACTTATAATTATAAATTAACAAATGGAATCTATATTGGATTATACATAATAATTTACATTATTTACTTAGGCAACATTAATTCAACCAATTAAAAATTTATAAGAATTAATATAATCTCATGATTCATATTAAAAATAGCATTTCTTTATAGAAAATATTTAATAATTTGAATAAACATAATCAATTAAGCCATCATGTTATGAGATTGATTATGTTATTTAGATGTTTGATTTCATAAATTAAAATATCTTATAATATACTTAAAATTAAATTGGATTTTAAGTCACATTTAATTTACAATTCTAAAAAATGTAAGGATATCATCCTCTTTTTATTTTATAAATTACTGAATATTTTGAAAAATAATTAAAATTTATTAATCCAAAAAGCATTGGAACAATAAGTCCATATAGTTCAATTAGTAAAATAAAATCACATTAAAAATAAAGTAATATAAGTTCTTTAAGTGATGATGACATGGATGAATTACATCAAGAATTAATTATCAATTAAACAATAATCAATAAATTATTATTAAGATAAGAAAAAGATGATGTAAGAGTTTTCAATCAAAATATCTAAAATTGTGAACATTCAATGATTGATAAAGAAAATAAAGAAAGTAACTTAATATCTCCAAGATCCAATAGAGAAATCTTAATGCAAAAAGGATTGATGGAAGATGACTCAGAAGATATTAAAGGAAATGAATCTAATATTATTAAGAGTAGTTCATAAAGAGAGAATATAGAGTTAGGAGAATTTGGAAATAAATAAATTGAAATCTAAATAGAAAATTAATCAAGATCTAGTGCAACATCAGATAAAACATAAAATTCAATCTATCATTTAATAAGAAATCTATAATACAAAATTGTATATTAAAATGGTATAGTAAAAGCTATTTATAATACTTTATGTCTTTCATTATTTCTTATAATTTTGGTTAGTGTAGAATTATCTGTTGAAAGGAACAATGTAGATGAATTAAAATTTAGTATCCCTTTAGTAAGATTGCCTTAAAGATTTAATCGATTATATTGTACATTTATAGCTATTAGTTAATTATAGTTATAAGATAAATTATTAAATTTATCATATGGAGAATATTATGAATATAGAATTAGAAATGAAAGTGCTTAAAAAAGAAATGAAATATAAAATTTAATGTTAGAACTTAAGAATTAGTTCTCTCATATTTAATTACCTTCTTTAACAATCAGAATAATTAATGAATACATTTATTAATTAGAAAATACTACAATGTTGTAATTTGATATTTTGGTTAATGAACATACTTCTCAGATTAACGAATATTTATAAATTCAAAATTAAACTTAATAGGATATTTTCAAAATTGAGGCATTATTAGAATTTCTTAAAGGAAATTTAATAGCTTAATTAGATATTACTATTAATATTGTAAATGAAATTGAACAAGATTTTTTTAATTTTATTGATTATTCATAAATAGAATAACTAGTCTTTTTAACTGTAATGTTATGGATCATAATAATTTTCCTAATTATTCAATTAAATTAATGGTAACAACCTTATAAATACATATAAATTATATTATTATTGATCAGTAAGATATCTGATAAAGACATTGAAATAACAATATAAAAGACTTTATATTTACTTAACAGAATAATCAGTAATCCTCATCAAATCAAAAATATCAACTATTTTAGAGATTGTTTTTGGTATACAAAAAAATCTTACAGTTTTTAGAGTCTAAGAATATCATCCGATTTATCAAAAAGTAATTAAAATGGAAAGATGATACAATAAAAACAGAAAAAATCATCTAGAATTTAAGATACATCATTATCCATTTTAAACATTAAAATACTTTTAATTTTCTTTTGGTTATTCTTATCAGGATTTGTTTTAATTGCATATATTATTATGAATTAAAATATGAGTGATAATTTACCAGAATTAAGATTAACTATGGAGTTTGTGAAATTCAAATAAAATCTTGATGGAATTATGATAATATGTTTTTTACTTAAAAATTAATAGAGTTTAATTGAAGAAACCTTATAAGTTTTTGCATTAAATTCAGAATTAAATACTAGAGATAAATATTTTTAAACTTAATATCAAGAATTATTATAAGAATTTAATCCTTTACTTATAGAGATGGATGATATTTATTCAAATATTTATAATGATATTGTTGCATCATCCAAAATTAATGATGAAAATAAGAATCTTTTATTGAATCTTTATGAAAAAGATCTATGTCAAATTATTCCAAATATTCTTCCATTTTGTGCATATGATAATGGTACTTTTTCATATTTTCCAACCTATCCTTCAGCTACATCATTATTGAATAATTAATAAACATACAAGTATGGTATTAATGGAATCTATTAATAGTAACATATTAAAATATCTTTAGAATTATTTCCATTCTTAATACATATTACACTTTAGAAATAAATGGAATCAAAGACACTAATTTAACAAATGCTAATCTTTTTTTAGAAAATCCTGAATTTATCCAAATTATTCTTCCATATTTCTTTGATTTAAGCTATGCAATACTTGAGTTCTATTATACTATAATTAACTCAACTTTGGATATTTTAGAAAGTGATTATGAAATGATTTTATAATATTATGTTGGTGCAGGAATTGGCTGTCTAATAATCTTATATTCTTTCACTTTAATAAGAGCTATAACACTTCAGAGAAAGGTTAGATTAATATTATAGTCAATTATTCTTATACCATATGAATCTTTAATGGATTAATCAATAATTATGACTATTAGAAAAATTGATAGAAATTTATGACTTTTATTTAATTTATACAATACAATACTTAATTTTATTAAATAGATATTTATATTATAAAAAATATATATATGATAAAAGATATATTATCATTATTATTTTTTAAATAATTATGAGTATCTAATAGGACTTTTAAATTAAATTGAATTTAATTTTCTTTTTAAATTAGCCAATTCCACTAAAGATGTAGCATTTTTTGATGATTATCCTTTAGTACTAAGATATTAAGTTGATCCTGCTAAATCTTTTATAACATCTCTAAGTGAAGTGCTTTATAAATTTATATTAGGTTTAACTTATGTTGATACAGAGATTGGTCTTCTCTTTCTTAGCTAATTTTAAGCAGTTTCCTGTTCTTTTTGATTTTCATCCATGAAAACTTTAATTGCCTATAAAAATTTAGTATAAAATATAATTACATTTAAATTAGTTTAGATCATTTTTCTAATTATTTATTCTTGTTTTGGTTGTTCTTTTTCTTCTTCTTTCTTATCACTTATTTATTAATACATTTTCATTAAAATAGATTCTTCTTCTAAATGTTATAATTTTTTCTTGATTTATTTTAATCCTAAAGTATTACTATGTTTTATTAAGATTTTTCTAAAAGGACTTTATTTTTTTTATTTAGGTTATTGAGATTATTCAAATAATTTTTATTTTTATTTCTTTCTTTTTAATTATTCTTATGCTTCCAAATAACCTGAAATTAATTAAAATTCTGTTTTAATTTAATTATTTAATTATTTTAAAGAATCAATTTCTTTAGGTTCAGTAATAACATTTTTACTAAATTACTTTTTAAACATAAGAACTGCTTTTCCTAATTCATAATCCTATTATTATCTTTAATTTTCATAAATTTCATCTTAACAAGTCTTTTAGATATCAGATAACATATAAAATGGTTTCTCTTATTTTAATTATTTAACAATTACACCAGCTAATTCTTAATCAAGTTTAGGATAATCTGATTATTCAGTTTTACAATATTAAGAAAAATCTGTAGGTCTTGTTTTTCTAGAAAATGAAGATAAAGAATTTTATTTCAATAATTTAGTATCACTTTCAACATTTATAAATTTTCTTGATTATTATTCAATACCATCTTAAGTTGTAAATGATTAATATTATTTAGAAATTTATTATAGAGTATTTTCTCTTTCTGTTCTACTACCTTTTGGTACAGAATAAAGTAAATATGGTTAAGGAGATTAATTAGTTTTCTAATTTAATTTATAAAATTATTATCTATTAAGTTTTTGTTATTGAAATTTTAAAAAAAACCTTTCATTTAATAATTACATATAATCTTCTTTAATTTAAGCAGATATAGCTTTCATTTCAGTATTATTATTATCACAAAAAGATGAAAATATAATATGTCTTATTTCACATTCAGCTAAAATGACTTCAAAATATTTTTATATATCTTATGCTCTACTATAAATCAATATATGTAATTGATGTTCATCCTCAAGTCTCAATACTTCACTACATAACCATTATGATAAATGTATGCATTCTTTCATTTATGAATATTCAGACAAATATTCATAACATAAAGATTCTATATACAGAATAACAATAATTTTCATTATATATTATTCAACTGGTTTTAAATCATTATCATCAATTACATTTGGAATATTATTCTTTTTAAGAATTGTAAATATCAAATCTTATAAAAATTATAAAGCAAGATCGTATTATTACAAAGATAATTTGAATTCACATAATTAAAGATATAATTAACCTGAATTTTAATAATGTTCCACTTAAACTTTAATCATCTCTATATTTTTTCGTTTATGAAATTCTTTTATAGATAAAAATGAATCAATCTTAGATATCATTCTCAAACTATTTTGAATCTCATTTGTAGATTTAAATATTTTTGCATATATTATCAATTATTTTAATAATAAAACCCAACATTCATTGATATAAAACTTAACTATTAATATTAATTATTCTTAAATACTTTTATCTTTTTCTTTTAATCTATTCAAATGAGTAGCTTTAATCAAATTGCCAGGTACACATATAGTTTATCTAATCCTTTATCTCAATCTATTTAGTCCAATCTTTTATTCAATCTAAGCTGTGTTTAACTCTTCATATTACTCTATTCCTTTCTCATTTTTCAATTTTTTTTAAATATTGATATATAAAACAGCAATATATAAGTTGCTTCTATCAAGCAATAAATCAACTTTAGATAAGTTATCTCTTTGTATATATTCTATTAATAAATTTTGTGCTGCCTTTAAAAGTCTTCTACTGATCTAAATATTTAATGATGCAACATCATTTTAAGAATAACTCATAAAATGCTTATCTAACAATAAAATAACTTTTCTATTCCCATTCTTTTATGTTAATTTTAAAATACCTTTTTCAACATGGATGTTGCATCATTTAATATATTTTCAATTGGGTATCTCTTTTAAGCAGGACTAGCAAAATCCATTTATATTTATATATAATTTATAATAATCAACGTTGTAATTTGTTTCTGTTAATATATATTGGTTTTGTCCACACTTTTGTACTTTTCTCATACAAACATAATCTATCAAATATCTTTTTTTATTTAATAAATTATAGAGTTCTATAAATGTTATAGATATAATTATTGCCTCTAAAATATTCATCGCATCAAACACTTATATTTTAGTATTATGGACATTTAGAAATATCTTCTAACCAAAAATCTTAGGAATTATTAACAATTCTTAATAGAGTTTTTATAAATATTTATGTAATTTTATATAATAAAAGAGATTGATTTACTCTATGATATGAGAGTATTTCTTAGTAAAATAAAAATCATTTTATTGATGAATATTAATTTAAAATCAATACAGAGTATTTTCAGATAACAAAACATAATTTTACTTTTTTATAATTTAGTATTATAAATTACCCTGTCAGATATATTACTCTTTATTTATATTGGATTAATATTGTTTTCATACCATAGATGTATAAAATAATAAGAAATTTAATGTATGATTGAGATTCAAATTTGATATGAAATGATAGATTTTACCTTAAATATCTAATATAACTTTATCAATTTACAAAATAAAATAGTAAATATCAAAGGTTTATCGTTAGAATTTATATTCAAAAATAATAAGAAACTATGTATAGAATATAAATTATAATTTTTTAAAGAATTTTAAGATAAGTTGATAATTTAGTTATTAATCTTTATAAAGCTGCATATATTTACAAAAATATTGTTAACTTAGTCCATTTATTTATAGTTGTAAAAGCTATTAAATAGGTTACAACCAAATAGATTCTAAACACATATATAGACAATAATGATGATTTTTAATCTAAAATTAAGCTTTTAATTATTTTTGATTATCTAATCAATCATTTAAAAAATTATGATTATTCAATTATCCCTTCTGATAAATGGTGTGAATTCAAATTATCAACTTGGCTTAAATATTTTAAAAGGCTCAAAAATTAAAACATATAAAAAAATTCAATTTTTTTTATACTATGATATTTGAGGATTCTAAATTTATCACTTATTCAAGTAATATTTTTTAAAATATCTATCTAATATGTTTATAAAAATAGCTATTTAGAATATATAGAAATTCTTCTTGCCTAATGCATGAATTGTTTTATTATTTCTCGTTTTTCTAAATGGATGATATAAATTGAAAGAATGTATATGTATTGCATTCTAAATAGATGCATATTTGAGCCTTAATCTATTTTGACTTCTCAGATAAATAAATTTAATTGACATTCTGTTATCCATAATAATTTAAAAATGACTGAAGAATCAACTGTGAACTTTTAAATATTAATGAGTTTAGATTTATTAGATATCTTGAAATTCTATAGTAATTTATCCAATATTCTGTTGAATAACTAAATTAAAACAACGAATAATTCTAAAATATATTTCATCATTAATTTTGATTTCTTAATCATGATATTGTATATGATCAATAAAATTCATTAAATTGTATAAGATTTATTGATGAATGTTTTTTTGCTTATTTAAGCTGTTGTTATCGTTGAACTTGATAATTCATATTAATCATGTTTTAATAAATTTTTATATTCATAATATATTCTTAATAGTATCATAAAAATTTCTTACCGAATTTAAATTAGATTATTAAAGAATTCCTTTTTTAGAATTTGCATAAATACAACAAGTCAAAATTTCAAGTTTTCTAAATTTTAAATTAATTTGTTTATTTAAACCCTAGTATCGTTCACAGCAGTAATATCATAAAATATAATGAACATTAGTTTAAACAATTTATTCATAATTTAGTTATAAAGTTGGTTTATTTGACATTTAACTAACCTTACATATTGTAAAGATAACACTTAATTATTATGTAATATGAGTAAAAGATGAATAAAAAAAAAACTTAGTTGATAAATGAAACTATAATGAAAGTTAATACAAAAAAATTTTCATTCTATAATCATAGTAGAAGTATTATTGATCATCCTTGCTTCAAAAGAAGATTAGGACATTCTATGATGAAGTAACTTCGATGCATACCCATTCATTGTTAGAGATTATGTTGACTCAGTTAAACATAAAATTGATAACATTTTTTGTTAAGTTTCTAATTTTTTCCTTTTCCAATACTCTTATTCTTTCTAAAGAGGATCTGTTTTAGTTTAGATTCCCATATTATTTAGGTATTTTATGATTTCTATTTCTGTCTTCTTTTCTTCAGTATTAAAATATATTTCAATAGAGTCATTCAATTCTCTAAAATTCATTGGACTATCATAATTGGGATTGGAAAGCTGTAAAATATCAAAAATTTAATCAGTTTTAAGAATTTTTGATTTCATCAAAACAATATCAAAGGCAATCTAAAAAATAAATATTTATGAATTATATAAAATTTCTTCCCCTAAATACTAAATTTAATTTAATATATTCTCAATAATATACTAGAATATTCTGACTAACCAATTAATTCATGAAATACTCATTCAGTATTATCTAAGTTGTTTGAGTCTATATCATATTTTGTTATCAAGGATAGATATGATTGAATTTAAATTAACTTTTGGTTTTACTAATACATATATAAAAGATAATCTTAAATGATTAACAAGAATATATAAATCAAATGCATCTTGATTGATACATAAAAAAATGATCTTTAAATGAAGGAACCAAATTATTTTATTAATTTAACTTTTCTATTTTGTCATTCAACAAATTCTCATCCTCATCATTTGAATCTACAAAAGTTTCTGAATTGATATTTTAATGTTACTTTATTTGTACAAAAAGAGAATTTGGATCTTATTCTTATTTTACAAATGAACTATTTTCATCAGAAAAATTATTCATAGTTTTTTTAATATCACATTCACTATCTTTTATTTCAATAATTGTTCTTAAACTAGGAAATGCTATTTAATTAGGTATTAATTTCTAAATTTTCTTTTCTTTATTGTTTATTAACCAAACATGTTTTAATGCATCATTTATATTTATTCTAAGATTAGGATTTGGTTAAATCATTCGTTTTATTAAATCTAATTAACTAATACTAAATAATTATGGATAATCATATGACTCTTTTTATTTTAATATTAATTTTTCTTATTCTATAATTAATTACATTAAACAAGATGATTACTATTAAAAATAATTTTAATTGAATGTTTAAGAAAAATTGTAAAATGTCAACAAGCCTAAAATCATTCCTAATTAATAAATATCTGTTTAAATTGATGGAGTTATTCCTTATTTTATTTCAGGTGCAATCAAATAAGCTGGAGTAGATTAAATGTACTTAAAAAGTGTATTTTAGTCATAAAACTAAAATGATAATTTAATTTACTTTATAATGTGAATTAATCAAATAGGTTCCAAATTAAGTTTTAAAATTACTATAACAAATAATATTTTCAAAAGAAATTTTACCATGAAACAATTCTTCTTCTGATAGAGATTTTAGGGCATGTAGAATTGATATACAAATAGTAGCTATTTATTATTAAATCAAATATTAATTTTTTGATTAATTATAAAATTAATCAAGAGAATTTCCTTTAAAATATTTACAAACTATGAATAACATATATTTTTCTTCAAAAACACCAATTGTTTCTATATAATTACTTATAGAAGAATTTCTTAAAATTTTTAAATAATTGTCAAGTAATTCTGCTTAGTCATAATTTTGAATGCTAGCTAAATTAATCACCTGTGAAGAAAATAATGATTTTTGTTTTTTATGTTAAATTTGATAAAAATTTTAACATATCAATTCTACTACTTTAAATTTTTTATTAAAATTATTTCTTTTGCAAAATTTCTTAATACAACTATTCCATTATTTTAGTGATAATGGATGAGAAAATATTAATATTAATTATCCTGTTTGATTAATTAGCTTTAAAAAATATGCTCTATAATGAGATGATTAATATCTTTTCTTCTCTATAAAACAATCATTTAAAACAAGGCAAAATTGATTGTCATAAATCAATAAGCCTCTAAATTATGAAATCTTTTTTTGGCCAAACCATTTATCTCCCCATATTGTTGCCACTCCTTCATGTTCTGGTACATGAATATTAATTGACAAGGAATCCTTAGAAATCATTTTGATATTTGATTTCAGTTCTAACATTTAAGAGTTTTTCATAATCCATTCAAGGCTTGTTTGATTTTCTAAAGCAGCCAACTTATCAAGTCTTTCACTTGAAGCTCTTGGTCTGATATTATTTTTAATCATTTAATAAATAATCAAATTTTCTTATCTAACATTTGATATGTTTAAATAATAAACGATTAAATAAGCACTAAATAATTAAAATAAGAAATGAGTAATTTATAATAACAGCTAATTTTAATTTAAGCATCATACATGAAATTTTTTAAGTAAATTTTTAAAATATATAAATCATATATATATATATATTTTTGAACTATTAAAATCAGATTAAATTTTTCATTTGATATTAGGACAATTATCTAATCCCATACTCTTTATAATGAATTATGAAAATAAGAAAAACAAAATAAACAAAAAAAGAGCTATTATTATTATCATTAGCTACTATATACTATTCAACTCTCTTATCACATTTTACTTTATATTCAGTTTTACAGATATCTTGTAAATTATTCTTATTACATTTATGTACTTGATAAATTCAATTTAATTTTAATTAATGTAGAATTTAAGTTCTTTAGAAATAAGATAAAATCATGTTTTTATTATAATTTGATTTAATGAATTGACAATATTAAAATTAATTTATTTTTATTATTGCTCAAAAATTAATTTTAATCATTTAATTTTTCAATATATTTATCAATTTATTTTGTTTACAGATATAGAAGATGATTGTATATAATCTTAATACTTTTGTTATAAGAAAAAAAGATTCTTTATATTTAATCCCATAAATGCATTTTATACTTTTCATTTTTGAATTCTTTTAATTTATGATTAACTGAATTTTTTAATATAATCATTAAATTAATTGCTATTTACCAATTTATAAAAATTATATTAAAACAACATATTAATTTATCTATTTTATCAATCTTTATTCATAAAATTTTTTGTATTAAAGTTATTATAGATAATTATAATTCTAATAAAATTTAACAACAAAGACAATAGTTAAAAAAGAAAGAAATATTTTAAAAAATATTATTTATTTATATTTAAAAAAAAAAAGTTAAATTATATATTATCTAGAATAACTAATAATATATTAATTATTTTTATTTCTTTAAATAAGTAAGAAATAGAAATATTATAAATTATTATTAATCATTAATTTCTACTAAAATAAAATAATACTATTTATATATGTGCATATAAATTATCAATACTTCTCCTCCTCAGAATTCAAACGAACTCTAAGTTAATCCTATTAAAGTAATTTAAATTTTGAAATGAACTCTGATGGATAAAGTAAATAACTCATATACTTTTAAATTAAAATTTTTAATGATGGATTCTCTGGTTTGTTTGCTTTACTAATTTACCTATTAAAATTAAATTAAGGATAATAATCATGATAACATTTGATTGTTTCAAATTCCATTAAGCCTTTTTTCTAATATTTCTGTTTGTTAATTTATTTCATATAAAGTAATTCAATTGCTTCTTTATCATCAAGACTCATATTTTTAATTTAATTTAAATTTTCATATCTTAGTTTTAATTCATCATCAAAATTAATATCATAATTGTTACTAATTAATTCTTGCAAATAACTTTATTTATAAGCATTATTATTTAAACTCAATTAATATATATTCATCATATTTACTGCTTATGATTATCTTCTAGATGTTAAACTATTTTGTCTTTAGAGTCCTAAACTATCTAATTAAATATCTAATTATTATTATTTTTTATTTGATTAATTAATTCCAATTTTTTTATTATTATTTATACTTCTTTTAATTTAATCTATATTATTACCAGGTATATAAGAAATTGCTAAAACTGAATCTCTCTTTGTAGGTTATTTAGCATTTAAAAATGTTGAAACTTTTAAATTTTCTATTTTTATCTCTGGTTATTCAATTACATCATCATAATTCATATTTTAAATAATTTAATCATTTATCTTATTATTATTAACATTAAGTATTTGAGGTATATAATATTTTTTTAAATACTATTATTTTGTTTCATTAAATTCTTAATTATCTAATTCAGAAAGCATAATTCTAGATAATTTATAATATCTTCTTGAAAATTCTTGTCTCTATTAATATTAAGGATATTGTTATCTTTTAATTAAAAAATCTTTTTAAGGTACATAATGAAGCATTGAACAATTGATAATTTCATGTCCTGTTTAAAAACAAGAATCGCATTATTTTTATATATATGAGGATTTAAAGTTAAATAATAAATCATCTTTTATAGAACAGAATTTTTCATAATCATTAGGAAAATCCTTTAAATCTTATAAGAAATCTTGTCTTGATAAGATTTATAATTTAGTAAATCCAATACTTTTAAGTCTTTAATTTTTATTTTGAAATCCTAAAAATAAGTTATCCAAACCAATAACATCATCTTTTTTTGCTTTTTAAACAACCAATCCAGATTCAATTAATACATTTATTTCCCCTTCATCAACAAAGTAACATGAGATTTTATTATCTAATTCAATTATTTATTCTGGTTACAATTAAACAGATTATACCTTTTTTAATAAATTTTATTGTAATTAATTACTAAAATTTTATTTTAATAAAGAAACTTTAGCAAATATTCTACTATTAGCTTAAATAATAAGTTATTCTCTTAAATTTTCAGATAATTGAGATATTATTACTTTCTCTTCTTCTGTGTCTTATCCTTATAATGATTCCCAATAATGATTTAAATATTATCTAATTTAGTTTTGTATATTATAAGGAACTCTCTTTTTATTCATATAACTATTTATTGTTCTTAATTTATTTTTTGTTTCTTCTCCATAATCTGATATTTTTTCAATTATGGAACCAACAGTATTAATTGAATAAGGTAATTATATACTTGATATTAAAATCAGAAATATACAGATTGATTTCTCTAATCCACTTTTAGGAGTGATATCACCATATCCAACTGTAAACATAGTAACACAAACATAATAAAATGATTATAAATATTCATCTGTCCAATCTATTATTGAAAGATCTTTAAGAGTGTCTAACCATGTAAATTCATAATTTTCTTTACTATAATATCCAACCTTAATAAATACTATAAAATTTGTACCCAAAACCATAAACAAGAGAATAAGTGTATAACATAAAATAATAATAGTAAGAATTTTAGTAATTCTAAACAACTTGATACTTTCTTAGATAAATTTAATGCTAATTCATATTGGCTTGTTTTGTAATGAACATTAATTTAATGAGAGAGAACACTTAATAAAATTAAATACACAGGATTTTCAGTCACATTTATCATAGTATCTGTTTTTTTACAAATTATAAATAATATTATCAAAATTATAGTAGATATCCATTCTAATCCAAATGATTTTGTGAATTAATGTTTTAAGATTTATATTCGATTAGTAATTAAGGATCCTGCATTATAATAAGCTGTATTAAGACCAACAATAAAATCTATAAATAATATTATGAGCATTATTATAGTTGATGAATAGTATCTATTATAAAGTAATGATCTATCTGTCCATGCTAATTCTAAAGGGATTAGATATAAAAAGTATAATTTAGATGAAATTGCAAGTATATCCCATAATACAATTTTTGTACTTTCTGGATATAATAAAGGTAATGCTTTAATATGTTAAATTAAATTATCCACAAATGGCTTAAAGATTCTTAAAAGTTTCTTAGTTAGCAACCTATCAATAAATATCTTAAAGGATGTTTATCTTTAAACAAAACTAATATTTCCAATGGCTTTATCATTTAAAAAACTCAAATGAAAATTAGTGAGATTTTTTAGATTGTTTTTACGAGCAAGCAATATTTCAAAAATTTTTTTAGCTTTATTATTTTCTGCTTAAAGACTCTTAAGTACTAGTCGTTCTTAATAATCGACAGAAATTTATTTTCCTACAAAATTAAGCAATCTTTATCCTAAACTTTTTGTTCGAGAAGGTAAAAAACTGCTTTTCCTTATAGTTGATATTCTTAAATGTTAATCCATTTCTCTTTAAGTTTCTAAACGTTCATTATTTAAGGTTGGCAATTTCTAAATTACTTAATGATTACTCATGATAATTTTAATAAATAGAATGATAAAACAAATTAAAAAAGTCAAGAATGATTTTATTAATTCTTATAATTATTTAAATATAGTTATTGATGTTATTTAGCTACCTTTCTAATCAATTATTAAATGCTTTGCTATTATTAATTATTATGAATATTATTTTAAAATGAGCCTTATTAAATATTATTATAACCAGTTTTCATTAAATTATTATAATCTAAAATGTTATTTTTGAATAGCTATTCAACATTGTGTCTTCTTTCTGTTAAGCAATTGAATTCTTAAATTTAATCTTTTTAAAATAAGGCTCGATTATCTGAAACCTATTTTCGATGTGTTGAAGATTAATATGGTTATATTTCTTTAAATACATTATTTGTAAATTAAGTTCTTGGTTAATCATTTTGAAGAGTGATAATTCTTTCTTGATTGGAACCTTAACGAATATGCATATTTTGGGATGCAGTCTTTCTAGAAATTTCTTTATTTCTATTAGTTGGTAAACTTTTAAGAGTATGAAATTAAGGTGGTTGATGATGTGTTTTAGTTTTAAGTATTTTACAATTATCTAATTTCATTTTTTAAATTTATGGACTATAATTAAAATGATTAGTTATTCCAGTTGTTGGACGATGTGTTTAAGCTCCATTTTTCCATTTGAAATCTGATTCAATTATTTGATCTTCAATAAGTAATTTAGATATGAAATTGTTACAGTTAATTTTCATTTAAAATTGTTATGTTTTGAGTATTTATTAAGTATTATTTGAATTGAAATTTAATTAATTAGAAGGTGAGTTTGATTTAAGAGATTCTTTATTAACTCTTAATTTAGATCTATTTTTTAATTATTCATTAAGTTTGGATTCAATTTTAATTATGTTTTCTTCAGTATATAAATTAGTTTTAGATTATCTTTAATCAATAGTTGATTGAGTAGAAGGATAATCAAAATTTTATGTTTTTAGAAATGATTAAATTTCAGTTGATTTTTGTTTATTTGGTAATCTTTATTTTATAATAGAATGTATGAGTTTTTCTTAAGGTTGACTTAGTTTAGTTTATTGTTTCTGTTATGGTAATTATTATTTTGATTATTAATTAATGAAGTTTAAGAAATGATTTAATTTGATTTCTTCATTCTTGTTGTTTGTGGAAATAAAGAGAGATGATTGATCAGGACAATTAGCAATTTATTTACAGATTTCATTAAGTGTTTAAGAGACATCAAATTTTATTTTAGTAGGTTTATCAATTTACTTAGAATATGAAAATGAAAATTACTTGTTGTAATTAATCTAGGCAACTTAGTTCTTTTAGTATTTGTATATTTTTGATATTATATTCAGCTAAATCTTATTCTTAATTGGGTTAACTTAATTATGAATTAAGAGGAGAGGGCTTTTCTCCTATAATTCCTTTAGGTGGTCTGTGAGGATTGTTTTTGTTTTCCTGATCAATAATTTTGGCAATTCTATAATATTCAATCTTACGTTTTTTGTCATAATATTTATTTAAGATAGTTGAGACTGGTTCTTGAAATATTCTTGCAATATCATGATGAAACTATATGAATGATACAATTGTACTTTATAATATTCAGAAAGAAGTTATATCTTAACAGGATATTCAGATAAATGATAAACACGTTTTAGATATTCATCCTTTTTAATTATGAGAGTAATACTTGTTCATCATAACAATTCCAATCTTTGAATCTGACAGTTGACTTTGTAGTGGCTTCATTAAGAATTTCATTGATGTCTCTTGTGAAATAATAGTTCTAAGATTGACAGTATTTGTTGAACAGTTTAGAATTGATGATTGATTTTGTTTGATTAAGGATGTTCATTATGAATAATAAATTATATCATAAAATTAAGTGAAGAAATTATTAATCAATTTAGAAAAATAGCAATAGTACAAACTGTAATCATTAACATAGTTGGCCATAATATGTAAAAAAACATATATATCAACTTAAAGAAGTGGCAATATTTTTATGGATCTATTAATGTAATATTGTTTCGATTGTAATTTGATATATACAAGTAATGATAGGGTTTATGAGTTGATAACTATCCTACTACTTTTGCTAACTAAAATCCAGTTGATATCATAAAAAGTAGAATAATTAGATATTAATTAATGAAAAAAAGCAGATACTCATATAACATAATTATGAAAAGAGAAAATCTCAAAAGAATGCTAACATTGATATTTATATCATTTGATTATGAGATATTAAGATATACAAGTTTTTATGAAGAAGAGATTCATATAGGTAATCATGTTAATCATTTTCTCATTGATATTACTTTATAAACTATTCTAATAATAAAGAATGCCTTCATTTATTTATAAAATAGTTAATTTGATCATTAACAATAATAATATAGAGAGATTATAAAAACTTAATTTTAAGAACTAATATAAATGATTGAAATTAACTTCCAAGTTGCTTCTAATTTACAAGTTATTTTATGGATATAACAATTTCATTAAGTATTCAATTATTATTGAATTTGATAATTGCAATACTTTCATGCAACTTCAAGAAATTATTAAAAATAAAAAAATAAATAGTATTTTAAAAGATAAGTTGCTTTTGTGGTCTAAATAGAAAATATCTAGGCTTTGTGTTATGTTCATAATTTAATTTAAAAATAAATGAAATGTAAAAAATATTTATTAAACCTTTAGATAGATTTAAATCATTTATTTGAATATTTTAGTAGAAGATAGAGTTTATATTTAACACATAATATAAAAATATGAAATATATATAATACCTTAATTAATTCAAAAGAGTTAAAAAAATCTATTTTAAATAGGGATACTTAACTATAATTAAATATTTTATTTATCAAAATTACTAATAGGGAAGAAGCATTAATTTTCAATTAAGAAATCCTTTCATAGTTGCAACATTAAATATGTCTATAGAAAAATTAAAAACAATCAAACGAATAAAAAATAAAGAAGAAATTTTCTTTTGGGAATAATTGAAGTCAAATAATTACGAATTTATATGAATTTTCTTTAGTTATTTGTTTTAAAAAGAAAATTTGTAAATTAAGATTTGAATAGTATAATAATATATTAGGTTTTTTAATTCCATAGTAATGATAATTATAATGTTCTTTCTCATAGGTCAAAAACTTGGAGTATTTTTGTAGAAATATAACATATGATATAAATTAAACTTTTATTTGTATAATATGTAAATTTAATAATTAGATGCTATTTCAAATCAGATTAATAACATCTGTCAAAATTCTTAGTGATATGAAAGTATCAAGATCAATATTCTTTAGAATTTTGATGATATAATTATAGGTCTAATTTAAAATTAATGATATTGATAAAATAATTAATAATATAATGTACTGCTTAATTCTCATTGAATATTTCAAAGAGAGATCAAGAGACTTTATTGAATTTATGAATGAGAGTTAAACAGAAATAAATAGCACCATAATTATGATCATCTTTTCATTTCAGAGGATAAGTTTATTATTCGATTTTGATAAATTTGCCGATAAACCATACATTGATTTTAAATTGCAAATTCTATAACAATTATTTAATTGGTTTACACTTTAAACTCCAATCTAAATAATTGATAGTTAAAACCTAAACTAAATTATATCATACATAATTTGTATTTATTTATGGTTGATCATCATAATAATATTTACAAAGTTAAAATTAAAATATACATTAAAAAGCTTCTTTACTTATTACTAATTATTAGTACTCATGCCAATTATTAAACATTTAAACAATCAAATATAAAAAGAGGAAGATCTCATTATTAGTATAATTAATTTTATCGGCATATTTATATGCTACATTCTCTATTTTTTGGTGAATAGAAACTACTATTTACCTTAAAGAAATGAATATCTAAAGAGATATTCATATTTCAATGTTGTGTTGATAGTTAGTGATATTGGTTTAATGATAATGAAATCAATGGTTAGTGAACTTATTTACTCAGTTTTATTAGTGCTTTTGTTTTTACTATTTATTATTGACTCTTTTATAATTCAGCCTTATAGTAATGAAATCAATTTTAAATATGTAAGTGCAACTTCATTAATGTTTTTTGTCTCTCTTGTAAAAATAGTATCATTTGAAATTGCTTAAACTGAAGTATTTTATTTTATTTTGTTACTTTCATCATCATCAGTTATAATAATCATATAAGTGTATAAATAATAAATTAGCAAATAAATATATAATTCAACCATGACTCTAGAAAAGATGTTAGCTATAATTGATATTTTAAGTTAAACTAATACAAATTCAATTTATTTGTATTCAATATTATGTCATATTAAATATAAATATGGTATTTGGGTTGAAAATGACAATTTTTCTTTAAAAATCCAATAAACTGTATTGAATATAATGAATTTAGCAATTGAATAAATAAAAACAAAGGATTGGATTATAATAGAAAATTTGCAACTTTATAAAATAATGTATATCATTAATGCATGCAAGAAAACACAATTAGGTTATATAGAACTGAAATAATATATGACTAATTCATAAAAGTAATCTTTTTATTTCTTAGTTATTTCTAATATTATGTAAGAAAAAATGTCAGAAAAAAAGAAGTAACTTTAGAATGGAGATTAAGAGAAGAAATTATAATTATCTGACATTCGTAAAGCTGAATTGTTATATGAAGATAATTTGAATTTAATGATTTAAATATTAGACACAAAAATTAAATTTTGGATTGATTTAGATAAAGGATATTAGAGAATTGAAGATTTTGCTATATGTACTTATAATTTAAGTGAGAAGATTTGGAAATTAAGAGATATATTTTTTAATTGGTTTGCCATTTAGCCTATGAAATTATAAACAAGATTAGTACATTTCAATATATTAGAATTAAAATTATTATCTATTTTATATTCAGCTGTTTTAAATGATTATCATGCTACTTTGGATATAGAATAAAGAATAGATGAAATTATGTAATTTGAAAGAAATATACAAACTGATAATGTGAATAATTTAACATTATTTAATGATGATTTAGTTATGATTGCTACAAGTTTTGCAAAATAAAAGAGTTTAATCTTAAATAAAAATAGAGGATAATTGGCTTAGTTTTTTGGATATAAGGATGAAAAGGATTTCTAAAATATATTATATATAGAATAATTGATGCCAACATATATTTAATAAATTCATGATAAAATTATATTTAGATATATGAAAAAAGGATATTCATTATTGATTGAACATTCTAAAGAAGTTTATGTTAAAATGAAAAATAATTTCATAAAAGCAGCAAATATTAGTCTATTACATATGTTTGAAAAAGATTCTGATTATATTATTACAGGTGCATTATAAAAAGTTAAATAGAGTTATGATTTCCTTATTTTTGATCGTCGTGGTAAGATCTTAGGTATAAGTGAATAACTCTTTAGCATTTTAGGTCAAGGATTCACTTTGGAACAGTTATTAAATAGAGGATTTGTATATTTTTGGTTTTAGAGTATATTTCAATAAATTAATGATGATAAGGAATTATTATTGTAATAAACTGAATTTTAAGCAAGAGGAACACCTAAATCTTTTATAGTATCTCCTATAAATAATTTCAATTAATTATGTTAAGATCATGATTTTAGCAGAGCCAATAGTACTGTTAAAAATCATGAATCATAAAATTATTTTACTGAAAATAATGACACAGAACAATAAAATTATTTAACTTATGGTAATATAAATTCTATTCATTTTTTAAAAGATTAAAATATATCATTTATTAATGATTTTTTATAAAAGTTTAATTAATCTAGATATATTGATTAAGATACTCAATATTCAATCAAATATTAGTTGTAATTCTCTGTTTTAGGTGGTGATATCCTTCCTTAATTTGTATTGTAAATTAATGATATTGAAAAACTAAATAAGAAAAAGTCTGTCAATCATCCATCTACTAGTTATTATAGTACAATTAAAAAAACACTTCCAAGTGATCCCTTTAATGAATCTGAATTCTAATTAGAACATGATGTAAATGATAATGTTATAAGTTTCAACCCTCCAATTATAAATAAAATCAATCAAGCACACAATCAAGATATAGATGAAACTCAGAAAAAATAATCATATTTAAATGAAAGTCAATAATAACAATAATTGGTTTCTCCTAGAGGAAATAAAGAAATCCTAATCAATGTAGACTATGAAGAAGAAGAAGAAGATGATCAAAAATAAGTGTATGAAAATGCTAAGAGTAGCTCTTAATAAAATTAAAATAAATAAAATGTTGAAGAGGTAATATAATAATATAAAGAAATGGAATTAGAATTTAAAGACAATGCTAAATAGTCTTAATCTAGTGCCACATCTGATAGAACATAAATGTCTGTATTTAATATTCTTAGAAATTTACAATATACTTAACGATATTAAACAACTCTTATTAAAGTGTTTATCAATACAATGTTCCTTTTTCTTATTTTACTATTTTTAGTAATTCTTGAATTAATTATTGCAAGAAGTAATACAAATAATCTATAATATTAAATTCCTCTTGTCAGATTACCAGATAAATTTAATAGATTATATTGTACATTTACTGTATTAGGATAAATAGATTTAGAAATGAGATTACTTAGTTTTAAATATGGAGATTATTATGTCTATAGAATTCAAAAAGAAAGCAAACAATTAAGAGTAGAATTATTAGATTTAATTGTTGAAATAGAATAAGAATTCTCTATTCTAGATTAACAAGGAAAGTTGAACAAGGCAGAAATTAAAATAGTTAATTAATTTGTATATTAAGTTTAAAATATTTCCTTTTTGTAATTTAATTAAATGGTCAATGAATATACTGATGCATTAGATACATTACTTGATGAGACTGATGATTTATCTGTAACTAATTAATAAATAAGACTATTATTCTTAAAGGCAAATCTAAATAATTTAATTGATTTTGTAAGCAATGTAGTAGAAAATATTGTGAGTGATTTTTTTGCAAATATTGATAATTATGAGTTTTTATATCTTGTTTTTTTATTTGTTTAACTATTGATTATCATTGTAGCTGTATTACTTTAATTTAAATTATGGACAGAACCTTATGTCTATAAATAGAACATACTTTTAATGATTTGTAGAGTACAAGAGAAAGATGTAGAATTATTATTATTGAAATATAAATCATTTAAGGATGTATTAATTAATGATATTAGTAAATGGAAATAGATTAATTATTTTAAAGAATTTTTCACTTGTAGAATATCTCAAATAAGAAGAATCTAAAAAATTGCTCATTAACATCAAGGTGAAAAAAAATAATAAAAGTTATAATAAAGAGCTAAATTAAATTAAAGAATTTAGGAAACTCAATATTCTATCTTACATATCTATTTAATGTTATTCTTTTTATGGTTTATATTAACATCATATGTTTTATCATCCTATTTATTTTAAGATATCAATATAACAGATTCATTCCCTGAATTAAATTTATGTATGTAATTTGTTAGATTTAAATAAAGATTTGATAGTTGTTTAATCATTAGTTAATTAATTAAAAATTAGTTCTTATTAGGTGAATATTAAAAAAAGAGTGGTATTTATTAAAAAAATCCAGAATATCATAAAACAAATGGATTTTTTTAAGAGAATAATAAAATTTTATTAGCTCAATTTAAGAATAGCTTAGATTTATAGAAAGAATAATATAATTCAATTTATGATAATATAGTTGCATCAAAGAAAATTAGTGATTATAATAAAAATCTATTGTTAGGTCTTTTTTAAGATGATCTTTGTGATTATATAGGAGATTAATTACCTTTTTGTTTTTATGAGAATGGTAAATTTCAATACTTTTAAGATTTTCCTAAGCCATTGGAGATAAATAACAATAGAGAACATCTCAAATAAGGATTTAATGGATTATATTAAGAGTAAAATTAAATATAAATATTGTAGAATTTAAGCACTTTTTTCAAGTAAATTTGTAAAAGAATTAAATGGGGAATTAGAAACTGATGCTGATGAAATTATTCATTTTTTGGAAACTAGTGAAAATATATAAATATTGATGCCATATTTTTTTGATTTAAATAAAGCAATAGTAGAATTTTATTCAACCATAATAACGACATCTGTTGATATTTTAGAAACAGATTATTAAAATTATTTAATCTATTATATAATTTTTGGGATAACAGTTTCAGGTATTTTATTTTCTGTAGTGATATTTGCAACTAGAAAATTATAAAGATAAATTAGAGCAATTAGATAAGCATTAGTATTGTTACCACATGAAAGTTTATTAGATGTATAAGTGTATAATGCAATAAAGAGATTTGAGTAAAAGATGTGACAAATATAATTTTGAAATTAAAACAAATATTATGAACTAGAATATTCAAATTTTATATTAGTAAAATGCTTCAAGTTCTTTTTGAATTTCTTCAAATTTATTCATATGATAAATTTCTTCATCTTCAAAATCATTTTCATCAAGTTAATAAGGATATATTTGATCATCTTATAAAATTGGAGGATTCACAGCCATTTATCTTTTTTTTTTAAATAATTTTTCATTTCTATCTTTTTACATTTTCTTATGAAAGTCTTAAACTTTCTAAAGGGTAAAGGAAATAGCATACCAATTAGAGTAATTATTTAGTATCTTCTTAATATTTCTTTTCAGTTTGAAATTCTTCAATTAAATTATTTGAGTTTAGAGTTAATAATTACATAAATTAAATATTATTAAACAGAAATAAGATAAGTATCACATATAATTCCTTAAAATCATTAATCATATTTGGATAATAAACGAAAACTTAAATAAAATTATAGAATTACTTTTTGTGTTACTAATTGAGTTTACTATATTTTTAGCATAAACATTTATCTCCTAGATATTCATTAAGTTAATAACTTATTAAATCTGTTTCAAAGTCAACATTATTATCTGAATATTTTCTAGAAGATGAATAAAATGGATTTACAGAAAGACATTGTTAACTACCTAATAAAAAATAATATTTAATTTAACAACCTTAAAAAGATGCCAATGTAGGTTTTTTATTCTCTTCTCTTCCATTAAGATTATTTCTACTTGAAAATTGTGGAGGTGGAGCCAATAATTGATTAGAACTAAACAATTAGAAAACATAATTTTACTTTTGTTAATTCAAAATACCTGATAATTATTTCTCAATAGATTTCTTCATTTCTGTACTATTATGAGGAACCAAAGAATCATAATGTGTTGAAGATCTAATCTCAGTCCAATCATAGAATCCATCAAGATTTAATTTCAAAGATTCAGCTGCCTTTTTTAGCTCGAATGTAATCATTTTGTAATTTGGTTCACTTTAAAACTGCAATTTACGTATGTAACTAAAATTTCATTGTATATTGAATACTCAAATATCTTTTGAAATTCTTTAGGTTAATCTCTAAATATTTCTTACTGTAAGAGTAATTTCATCTCTCCTACTTTTTTTGTTCTTTCATCATCAGTAACATTTAACATATTTTACCATGGCAGCTATCTTGATATTAATTAAGATTTACCCTCTAATAAAGTATAAGATGATATACATCATAGACTCTAAATCATCCTTTCTACTTAATTCATGACCAAGATGTGCAGCAATAGATGCATACCTTGTAGTTCCCAAAAATGATCTATGTTCTCTAAAAGGACTAACTATCGATTATTACTATTACATATGCTTATTATTGCAATCCCTATAAATTTTACTGATTCCAAAATCAAGCAGATAAATTTTACCATTTTCTTTACCTGAACCTAAAAGTATATTCTCTGGCTTTAGATCTCTATGAATTACACCTTGAAAATGAAGCTTTTCCAACACATCAATCAATTGTATAGCTATCAATAGTGCTGTCTTCAGTGTAAAGCGCTTCAACTGCTTAAAATGATAAGCTAAGTCGTTGCCCAACAGTTACATAACTATAATATTATAACCAAATTCCTCTCCTGACCAAATTAATTTCGGTATGCCATCCATAGAACCCAAATGTTTGAAAATTTATACTTCTCTATCTAATGATCGAACATCTTCATTTTCCTCTCTTTCCACTTTTATAGCAACTTCTTGCTTTGTATTCTAATCTAACCCCAGATATACAATTCCAAAAGAGCCAGCAGATAATTTCCTTTGAACAGTGAATTAATTTTTAAAGATCCTATTCTAAAGTAACATAATATTTTTATAATGATTTATAATCAATCAAAGTTGTTGTAAATTGCCAAATCTATACTTAAAAAGCATTCATTTTCATGAAATAATAATCAAGCTAAACAAAGGTACTAATAAACTAGATTTACTTATCATTTATGTAAACCCATATGCTTATAGAAATTATATAAATTTTATAATAGTATCTAATATGGATTCAGTATCAAGGATTATGTAAGTTAAGAGTTTTAAAAAAGATGGATATTGAAGATTATAGAATGTCATCTCATACAAAGTGTTCATAACTTTTGGAGACAAAAGCTTTGGAAGATGATAATCAAAAAATGTGTCTAAAGTCATGTAGCTTCATAATTCTAAGAAAATTCTATATATTTTTGAAATAATTGGCAACAAACTTTATTAAATAATATAGTAGATATGTATTTGAAGTCATAGTTAAATTCTTTATAAGAGAAACATTAAATTTATTGTTTTGCAAAATATAATTAGAGTCTAGAATCTTTAAAAACTAGAGATCAAAATGGAATTTCTTATAATGGTTTAATATAATAACTTATAACATTATTTTATATGTTTTAAATTGAAAATTTGTAAAAATTTTGTTTTCTGCTACTAAATAAAGAATGATTAAATCATTGATTCATCAAAAATATTATAAATTCATATTTCTATATAAAAAAGAAAAATTCTTATCTTTTATATGATATAATAACTCTATGAATCAAAAAACTATTCTTATCAATAAGTTTATAATGAAAATTGGTGATATTTATGTTGTATTTATAATATTCTAATAGAGATATGAATATTTCATCACTTTAAAAATATATATTAATTCTTTTTCATAACAATATTTTATAAATACTTCTTTCATGAATTGTTTTTAGTGATTTAATAATATAAAATTTAAAAAATGGAATAGTAAATTTAACTTATTTTCATTCAATAAATTATAAATTTCTTTTTGATTATAATAGTTTTATCTCAATATTTAAATAAATAATATATAATAATAATAAATAAAAAAATAGTATGATAAGGGATCAATCTGATATTAATATTTTTTTGTTTTAAATATATAAATAATATTTATAATAATGAATAATCATTAATTAAGTGGTTTTGTTTCATCTTATTGATACATAATATTCTTTGGTTGATTATTAATTGATCCAGTAACATTAGACTTTAAAGGATCATTATTATCAGATTATTATTCAGGAGATAAATTCTTTTGTTTATTATTATTATTATCTCCTTCTATTTTCATAACAATTTATTCAGAGTCAACTTTTTCATTCTGTTCTAAGATAGCTTTTACTTATTATGAAAATTTTGATTCTATTTGTTCTTTATTCATCTAAAATAAACATTTAAATATACTTTAATATATTAATCATTAGGAGTGATTAATTAATATATTTATTCAAGAACTTCTTATTATTTTACTAAATTAACAAATTCCTCAGTATATAGAATGAAATAGCATTCTAATATGTATTAAAAAAAATAAATACTTTTTTCTTTATGATATTTTGCATAAAATTGACCTCCTTCACCTTTTAATTAAATAATTTCTTATGGCTTCTTTTAATTATCTAATATCAATTTCTATATAGCATTTCTATCATTTATCCATTTCTACTAAATTGGAATCCCTATATTGATCAACATATAAAAATATTGTCGAATATAATCAAACATCATAAAGCCTTTAAATATAATTTTTTGATGTGGTCCTGAATCATCATTTTTATGTTTGATAATAATTTTCTCAATTAATTCAAATGCTTTTTATTTATGCTCTGTCTTTTTATCTATTTCTTATGCCAAATCCTTTCTAAATTTCTTTTTTTCTTATGAATGTTAAGTCATAATTTAATCTAAATTTCCATTTTTTTCTATATATTCCTCTTCTGCTTTGTTTAGAATATTTAAAATATCTTATTTTAGCTTCTAATCAAATTCTTCTCGTGTTAGCTATATTTATTATAATAACGTACTTTGATGTAATTGTTAACCTTTTTAATTTATTCAATAACTGTTTGCATAACCTTCTATTATTCCTCTTTTATAGTATTTTTATTACTCAACAATATAAAGTAACACTCTAAAATATATAAATATAATAAACTTGTTTGCTTTTCAAATTAGCAAAGGAAATTTCCATATTCACATTCCATTTCAAATGTGTTTTCTGGCTTTTTTTTCTATTCTTACAACTTTTTTTGTAATTCACCTCTAACTTCACACCACTTTTATGAAGTTTCAAAGTTTCTTCTTACAAATATAGCGAAATATTCTCTTCCATAATCATAAGCTGCAAATCCCCTATAAACCGACATTAAATTAAATATGATATAATAATTATCTTGTTACAGGATTCATTGCATTTAAAATTCAATTATGCTAAATGATTCACAATTACAAATTAACTTATTTATGTTTTTATATGTTATATGATGAAAAATATAAAAAAATACTTAATGTTTTTTGAATTCAAATAGTTTAACAATAGAAATCTAAAATTATTCAACATAAAATAAAATAAAAAGCAAGGTTATTTATATTATTATCATTCAATAATTATTATTAAAAATTTTCATCATTTAAATAACAAAAAATTTGAATTAAAAACTACATCATCACTATAAAGAATTATTAGTTTTAAAATGAAGAAATATTATTTTAGTTTAAAGATTCAAAAAAATATTTAACATATATTATTTCTCAGAATTCATTATTGTATAAACTATAACCATTAATACATTATATGATATATATAATAATATTATAAGAATTAATTATATATAACTATATTAATTTTAAAGTATGTTTAAGAATTTTTTATTAGAATTTGAAATAATTTATAGAGTTTGTGAAATTTGATATTATAAGGATTAATTCAATTTTACATATTAATAAATATATTATGCTAAATAAATCAATAAAAGTAACTAAAAAAGTTATTATCATTAATCAAAAGTATTATATTGTGATATTGATAAGAACTGACACTATAAGTGATAATACAAATCTAATAAATAGAGAACCATTGAAAAATAGTGTAGAAATATAGAAGATCAATTAAAAGAATTCAAATTAAATATAAATGAACAATGAATTAGACTAATGTAAAATATGTATTATAAGGAAAGAGAAGTACGATTCAAGATAGTTACAGGAGATGATAGACATATATTTAAAAAACAATTAGAAAATCAAAGAGATCAAATCGATAGTGGATTCATTAAAAAATAGAACTAACAAATTGGAATAATAAATGAGATAGTAAGAAGGTAGATGTAAAGTAAAGAGAGTCAGAAGAACTTCAACTTAAATAGAAAAGAAATATAAAGTTTAAATTAGTAATTATATTATAAAGTGTTACTCAAAGAATTGTGAGAAGAGCTATGGATCTATGATTTCATTGAATTTACATATGAGAATAAAACATAAAAGATAAAGAAATGTTTAGGAATAATAAAAATGATAAACTTTTCTTACTTTTATATATATATATATATTGATTTTATTGTAACTCAATAGGTTTGGCCATCAGGTGGTTATTATAATTTTTTATTAGCAGCGGAACTCATTTCATTTTTTAATCCTGTTAATATACTTTCTAAAGTATTTTTGGATACCCAATTTTTTAAAATGCTAAATTTATTAATATCAATCTGAGTATTAATTAATGATAAATACCTATCCATTTGCTTGGACACAAGGAAGATTAATTTTAGTAACAAATCTGACTTAGGGAGCAACCTTAGGATATTGTGGACCACAAGTGATTTTAAGTGAATAGATTCTATTCTCAAATGCAGTCTACATTATATAATTTAAATATTACATTATATGGTCCAAGGATTGTTCCATTCCAATTTGTCATCTACATGTCCTCAGCTATTAATTTCATATACTAATTTTACCATCTTCTAATCCATAGCTTACAGTTCCATCTCCAATACCTTTTTCTCCATTTTAGAGTTCTTCAAGTAATCTAAATCTTCTTGGGACTTCTAAAAATAAACTAAAAACGATATCAAATTACCTGGTGCTCCTTACATTAGGATTTGATTTAAATAATTATTATATGATATTAATTATATATATAAAAATCGATAAATAATTTGTAAATCATTAGATATTGTGAATACTTTGTTTGAATTATAATTTCTGACTCATGGATCCTAATTGATTCTATAATCCTTTATTTATTTATACTTTGTTCATATCAATATAAAAGTGAGGATTATTTAGAGCATCTATAATAAATTTATCCCATAAGTCAGATGGAATATTCCTCTAAAGCATTTCCTTATATAAAATAAATAAGGGTATTTTTTAAGATATATGTGTATTAGGTAATTTAGTTTTCTGAGTTAAACATTTTGAATAAAAGATTCTCTATTATTAATTGATTTAGTTTGAATTATTAAGATCAATTTCATTTTGATTAATTTCATTCTCATCAAATTGAGATGTGGAAATTTTAGTAAGAATTTCACTTTTGATTTCATTCAATTGATTCCTATCCTAACTAATTGAAAATTTAGTAATTATTGTAGGTCTACAATTAGAAGGACTCTAAAAATTTAAGAGTAATTAAGAATTTCTACTCTATTCAGGTTATTATTGATATCTAAATGATTAAATACTACTGTAATTATTTTAAGAATTCTAATTACTAAGATTAATTTTTTAAGTATCTACTCTAGATATATGTATTTCTTTTTCCATTTAAGCTTATTTCTGTAACACAAGAGAATGAAGACGTTCAAGATGGAGAGCAATAGCTAGAGAACCTCTATAAGATTCAGTTATTGTCTTCAATTCTTGATTTAGATCGTGCAACTTACGTAGTTCAATTTAATTTGTGTTATGAATCATAAGGATATATTCAGACATTTCATCTGCTCTATTAAGGTATTTAATATTGTCTAAGTTAAACTCTTTTTAATTTAATTGTAAAACAGAATCCCTCAATTTCTAAATCTTAAAATTGATTTCATCCATTATTTTATTAGATTTAAGTAATGTATTAACACTCTTTGAAACACTTAGACATTATATAGTGTGAATATCAATTTCATTAATGGGAATAAGATTTTCACAATTAATACATGGAACTGAATACATAGTTTATGTAGTTATTATTCGACTCCTTGATTATTGAACAAAATGATGATTTTTGGCATATTTATTTGAATAATAATCTTAATGCATAGTATATGATACTATAAATAATATAATAATAGAACTGAAAATTGCATAAAAATTATCATAAAAATTGAGATGAATAGCCTATTTTTATTAATTTAAGTTATCTTTCTAATAATACTTTTGGTTTATATATGAAATACTAGATTTTTGACAGATCTATTAATTATTTTTCAATACTTTAGTATGAATCAATCTTTTTTTGTTTCAGCAAATGTGATATTCTCATAATTAAGTATTTCAAATAAATGAACTAAGAACTACTGTACTAATAATTTTAATAATTCTAATTGACCTTATTTTATGAATGTTAACTTATAAAGGTAAAAAGTAAATATATATTATTTTAAGGAAAAATATAAACACTTAGATTCATATTTGTAGTTATTTAGACCAAACAACTAATTTAATATTTAAATTTTAGTGAAGTGTCTTCATTTTTTAACAAATATGATTGAATTGCTTATAATAATTTTAACAATTATCATATTATTTTATTTATTAGTTTGTTAACATAGTATTATTAATATTACTAATACCAATAGTATTTATTATATAGTTACTAAAGAATTTGAGTAGATGAATAAAGTTAAGTAAACAGAAGATAGCATAGTAAGATAATAAATTGATGCAAATTTATGATTATTATATAATATGTTTCGAAAAAAAAGACCTTCACATTTACAGTTACCTAATTCGATTGACAAAATATCAAGTCCTGCCATATTATCTTAAAGAACACCACTATCACTATAAACTCCAAAATCACCTCCGATAATGCACAGAATGAAGTCATTTCAAATTACTACTCATCGCAAATTACCAGAAAATAGTTTTGCTTTCGATGATCTTGTCAAAACACCATTTGATGAAGAAATCATGAGTAATCTATGTAAAGTAAGACAGGATTCAAACACAGAAGTACTGCCAATCAGCATTTACGATTAGAATCGATCTATAAATTTGTCTATGAAAAGAAACTCCGTGGTACCACTAAATATAATTTGAATCCAAAATCTCATTAATAGGCTTTACCTGTTCCAAATGGTTCAATTAGCATAATGATTAATAAATAAAAAAAAGATTAAGGGTTTAGCATCTCTTAATTTAAAAAGAAGATTCCTCCAAAGTCTAAATTTAAAATGAAATGGAAAACAATATAATGGATATTATTGAATAGAAAGGATGCAATTGATTAAATCTTTTCTAATTATTAGAAAATTATCTAAAAAGCTAAAGACAAAAAGGAAGGTATGAATAAAGAAGAGTTTTCTGAACTTTTAAATTCTGTATAATTAGGAGCAGATAGAAATCTTGCTGAAAAACTATTTTATGTTTTTGATGAAGATTAAAGTGGTACAGTTGATTATAAAGAATTAATTGTTGGTTTAGAAGTATTAAAAGATGATACAATAGAGGAGAAATTAAAAAGTATTTATGATATAAAATTTTAAGTATTCTTTGATTTATGTGATCTTGATGGATCAGGTAAAATAAGTGAGAAAGAAATATTTAATGTTTTAAAATCAAATATAGTTTCTGAAAGTGATAAATACTAATTAAGATAAAGTATTAAGGAAATGATTAAAAATTGTGATTCAAATGGAGATGGAGAATTGGATAAATAGGAAATTTTAGCAGCAGCTAGCAATAATGCAGTATTAAGAAGATTATTAGAATAAACTATTTCAAATGTTAAAAGAATAGATACAATTATATAAAATGATTTAGAAGAACCATTTCATTAATTTGTACCTGCTACTGCTCATTTTGTTTAATAAAAAGAAGGAATTCATTTTCCAACATAATAGAAAATATTAGATATGATTTAAGAAATGGAATCTGTAAAATATTATAATTATAAATAGATCCATGAAACTGCAAGAGAATATATTACACCTAGAAATAAACATAATTCACTTTAAAATAGTTAATTCTATTAGGGATTATAAGAAACTAAAAATTTAGATGATTCTCAAAATTGATTTACTTAATGTATATATAATTCAGCAACAAGTATTTTTTTATTTTTATTTATCTAATTTATTATCTTCAAGTTTCTATATTTCTTTTTATTTTTTTAATTAAATTCCATAATTCTAAATTAAATATTTAAAAATATATACTTCTTTACAAATGTCAATCTCTCCAGAATTTACTTTTTATACAATTTTTTAAGCTAAATATTCAAAAACCTTATTCACATTTAATCCACTTTTAGCTGATGTTTCATAATATTCAAAATTATACTATTTAGCAAATTGCATTCCCTCCTTTTATGAAACTTGACGACTTTCTTAATTAATCAATATATATACTATTCATTAAGATCTGTTTTATTTCCTACTATAATTAATTCAATATCATCACAAGCATAACTTTATATTTTTTCATACCATTGAACCAATCCTTAAAATGATTATCTGCTTGTAACATCAAATACAAGAATGCCTCCAATAGCTCTTAAAATTGATTGCATCATACCCCCTATAGAAAGAACGAGTCAAAGATCGAAATGACTCTTAACCTGCTGTATCCCAAATATGTAGATTAACATTTTAATCCATAATTCTTATTTCTCTAGAACCAAATCCTATACCAATAGTTGTATCATGAGTATTTTTGAATCTTAAATCAGTAAATTACAATAATAAACAACTTTTTCCAACATCTAAAAAATAATACCAGAATATTATACTACTATCTCCTACAATAATGATTTTAAAACAAAGCATTTTATATTTATTATTGATAATGACAAATTAAATACTAAATAATAATATTTTTGATAATCATTTCTGCAATAAGTTGTCCTAAGACATATTGATTTGATCTTAACTAGTTTATTCTATCATTATTGATTATTCTAATCCTTTAGTTTATAATTATTTGGTATCAACTTGTTAAGATAATTTCTGTTCTTAAGGTTTCTATTTTGGTTCTTCTTCAATTTCTTCCTTCTCTTCATAATAATGGATCATCCTAATAAGTTATGAATCAGAAACAGTCTCAAATTGTTATAAGATTATTGTAGGAGTCAAAGAAATACAAGATAGGAAAATAACAATGAAAACACTCTTTACACTATCTAAAATGGATTCTAAATGATGTATATATTATGGAATGCTAGTACTCCATGTTTCAGATGAACATGTAGTAAATAATATCAAGATACAAATTGTAATGTTGAACATGATTACAACTCTATTATAGATATATATATATATATACATTTATTCTTTGGAAAGAGTGCTTAAATAAAGTATTGGTTGCATTTGGGTAGTTAAAAGGATAGTCAAATAGGAAACTAAAGAAATGTAATAAAATCCTTCTATGATACCTTCTGAATTGTTAGCATATTATAAAATCTAATAATATATTATAGTAAATTTACATTAGCAGGTAAATAGAATATGATGAATCCTTGATAGACAGAATCAAAAAATATTAAGAAAAGTTTCTTTTTATTGAAATAATAATCTCTTTGACATTTGATGAATTCACTAGCAAACATTCTAATAACTCGATGATTAACATCAGAATAAAATGAAAATATTAAAAATCCATATAATGGTGTAAAATATGTTTAAAACATAAAGTGGAAACTAGTTGTGAATAATTATGTACTAGAGTATCCATTAAAGAAGGAAAAGAAGAATTCACACATAGTTATGAGGAAACCCTTATAAAGTATAAATAGCAAGAATCCAGCAGTTCTGACATGAGTTTATCTAGCATGAGTTAAAATAAGTTTAGACAATCCATCCAAATTAACCAATTCAATATGACTCATGGCAGAAAATAATGATGGATTTTTAGCACTTTAAGATTGAACACTTGCTCTAATAGTATTAACTTTGCATAAACATAAATCTTCATCATGTAATCCAACAGATACAATTGCTTAATTTTTAGATTAATCTTTTTAAAAAGTGATAAGTTATTCAATTTACACTTTACTAAGATCATGAAATACAACAAAAGATGCAATCATAATAACTTCATAAAATTGTGATCTTATTTCTCCATCTGATAATGCTTAATCTAATACTTCTTAATTAATAATTAAAGTAATGAATTTATCATCAATCTTATATAAATTATCAAACACTTTAAATTCTCTTGTAGATTATTTAAATAATGGAACAGCTTAACTTTTAACACTATTCATTTCATTATGTAAATCATCTTTTGTAAATTCAATACATTCCATATATTATTTCAAATATTATAGAGTTTAATCTCTTTCTACATCTCTAATAAAAAACCATTATCTTATAATAGCTAAATTTAAATCTAATAACAAATGAAAATTATGATGGGCAACAGTCTAAAATTAAAATACTCCACAAGGTTTAATTTAAGTCATCAATTATTCTTCTGCAAAAGGTGGTAATTAAATATATTTTCTTTTAAAAGCAGATGATCCTAATTATTTATACAATCTCTAATATTCTTATTCTTAGAATGTATATTCAAAAACAGCTTTACCTGACATAAATTATGATAATTGTGGATGTTCTTTACATAAAGTACTTTCAATATCTGCTTACAACACCCAAATATATCTTTTACTATTCATTTTCTCAAATAATTCTCTATCTTTCTTTATTCTATCTTATAATTATTATAAATCTGATGCTTCTTCATCATCTGATTCTAAATCCTTCTCTTCTAATAATGGCATCTCATATAAATATGCATCCCATTATTCAGTATTAACAATCAATTTAACTGTATATGTTCTTAATACTTCTTTTGGTAATAATACACTTCTTTAATTATCATCATATGAAAATTGTACACACTCACCCAATTAACAATATTTCTATATAGCTAATTATGTAGGATTCAAAGTCTTATATGGTAATGTCAATAATGCTCTTTCAAATACAAATGTACTACGTTCTTTATCATCACATTATGCATCATATTCTAAATCTATTTATTCAAAAGCAGTTGATTAATTAACTTAAATTTAATCATCCATAATCTCTTTATTAGGTTTTGGTTCATATCCTTATAATTTAACATCATCATTATTCTTTTCATTATCTTTTTTCTCTCCTTATGGTCCTCCTAATAAAGTAGCCTTTCCAACTCTTAATCTTGGTTCATTTAATACTTAACCATAATTAACAAACTTTGTATTTGCTAAATTATCCAATGCAATATAACTATTCAATTTAGTTAATTATCCTGATCTTTAAGGATCCATTCCAATATCACCATTTACCTTTTTTCTTGCCAATAATAAAAATATTGGTCTAAATACTTCTACAAATATTGGTACAATATTGCTAAAGATTATCAATCTATCAATTAATAAAGATATAAAATTATAATTGCTCTATTCTCTTATATAAATATGCATATCTTTATTACTGCTACTCCAAATAGATCCTGCAATAGAAAATGTAATTGATAATACTATGGCAATTCCAATACTAAAAAACTCAGAATTCAAAGGATTTAAATATAATGGTAAATTAAATGATAAAGCTTCTCTTAAATATTTTTAACGAGTAGAAGAATGAAGTAAAACACCTATTAATTAGGATGATTCTACAATTCCATTCTCATCTACTAAATTTTCCTAATTTAATTACACATCAATTGGTTCTACCAAATCCAATCTCAATCTAGCCTTAGTATTTTCTGAGAATATTGGTAATTAATTGAATTCTAATTAACCATCAATATAAGTTAAATCAGGTTCTTATAATTTTGGTGCAGCTACCTTATATGTCTTTACATCATCTCCAAAATTGACCTAAGCATGTTCCTAACCTTCAGCACTTAAAATAATCATAGGTGCAGGCACTCTCTCACCCTTCTTTAATTATACTATGCATCCAGGAAATAATCTAATTATTGTTCTACTACTGAATCGTTTTTATGCAAAATCAAATACAGATACTAATTATCTATCAAATTTGAATTCTAATTCTAATTCCTATTTATAAACCCTATACCATAGTAATGTTGGCAATGTAGCAAGTAATAAGATGTAAATAATAAAGAATTAAAATTACTAGATAAATAATGATAGAAAATTACATTAACTGACGTCATTGTATAATCCAGAATAGTAATAATTATAATAAATGGTAGAATTGGAGTCATAAAAGCACGTTTTAATGACATTTTAAGTGCATTCTAAAACAAACTACCTTTTTGTGTCAACATAGAAATTCCATAAAAGTCTGTTTTTGGATCAGTTGATTAAATGCCTATCTTTAATTATTGACTAAAGATAGTGTCCACCAATTCATCACGATTTTCTTAACTGGCTGGGAATTATTCTGTAGTTCCCTTTCCAATTGGATGAACAGAAAATTCAAGACTGTTTTCTATATTTTTTCCATCATATTTCTGAATCACATCCAAAATACTTTCATCTTTCTTAGGAGTACTTCTTTAGGAACGGTTGGATTTTGATTTAATAAAAACATCTCCTTCTTCTGGAGGCAATGGCTAATCTTCAGGATCTTCTAATTTCAAGACTCCAGGATCTTCATCTTCTTCTTGATTCTCATCAGGATTAAGAAATAGAGATTTTGCCATGGGAGCCACATATGTTGGATCAACTTTTATTCCTTAGGCAGTTCCTGCTTCCTTACTAGTCTTGAATAGCTTAGTAAAATTGATAACAGGGCCATCTTCACTAGCCTCTTATGCTTGTTCATTGCTTATCTCTTGTTATCTGACTTGTTTATGTTTAAATCTGGTGGATATTTTTGGCTGAGCTTTTGGTGGCTAATTGTCATCATCTTCTTCAAAGGCAATTATATCTAATTAAGAAAGTACATACTATCATCTTCTTCGGTCATCTTGATATATTAAATATATTTATTATATTTTAATCTGAATGTTAAGAAGTCTATATTTATATAATGTAATAATATCATAGAACCTTCAAATCAAAGGCTTCTGCTGATAGAAATCTTATTGTACGTTCAACCCTCAAACTTCCTTAAATTAGGTATTATGTTCCAAAACCACAAAAGCATTGGAATGATGAATATTCCCACAAGATCTTCTGAGCATATACGTAGTTCTCGTTTACATACAAAAACTAAGACATTTATTAAACCAAAGGAACGACCATAATTCAAATAATTTCCAACTGAAAAAACTATGCTTACATTAGGATCTCTCAATTCTCCAAGGTCTGAAGATGAAGGAGATTCAACTCATAAAAGTTAGTTTTCTTTTCGTAGAACTGTTATAGATACATTATCATTAAGATAATCTAGAAGAACAAGTGTTGAAAAGGAAAGGTATATAGAGGATAAAAGGATTGAAAATGATAAATCTCCTGACAAATAAGCTTTAGAAGAAGAAATAAAAGATCCTACTCTAGAAGAGCATGAAATTAGACCAAAAAAAGAATCACAATCTATTAGACCTAAAAATGAAAGTGTATCATCCTAATTCACTTAGCTTACAGATGAAATTCATTCTGTTTGGGATAATATGGATTTATACTTAAGAGGTGTTCAATTTGATGATTTTGATCATTAAAATTAATTACAATCCTTTCTATAATTGTATAAAATGAGAAGTGGTGGCTTTCCTGTATTTTATGATAAATATCATATAGGGTGCAAAAGAAAATCTGTAAAATGAAGAAGTAATTAGAAGAGCAGTTGAATATGCAAAAGGTAATAGATAAGTATTTAAGAAATATTTTCCAACTAAATAAGTAGTATTTGAAAATGAGGAAGACTATACATAAAATTATGATGTTAATGCAGATGCAAATTTTTAAAAATTTCAAATTTATCTAAAGAATTATAATTAGTAATCATGATATATCTCATTCTATATATATATATATATTAAGTAATCAATTAAATAATATTTTTTCTATATAATTTATACATTCGTTTCTGCTTAATTATAATTTACTACTTTGTAATAATTATTCTACATTTTATGTATATTCTCCAACATACTTTGCATAATTACATAATAGAAATGTAAATAATTAAATCTTAGGATTTTCATATCCCAAAATTATTTAATATAAATATTCTAAATATAGTAGAATTTATTACATTTAATAAATTACAAACTCAAATGCTTAGCTAAATTACAAAACTATATTGAATATTCAAAGTTATTATTAAATATATCCATGAATTCCAAATCATTCATTATTTAAGTATAATTCTCATTTAAAAGTAATTAACATTCTTAAAAGTTATTAAAACTATCAAAATGTAATTCAAGTATTTATTTTTCTATATTCTTAAAAGTATCACTCTATTTAAATATTTCAAAATCCTTTAATTCTAAATTATTTATATTTCCATCAATTAAACAATTTTTCAACTAAGTTGTTTTCATCATAATATTTTTCAATATGATAAATTATAATTTATATACAGTAGTCTATTAAATGGTGACTTATGAATAATCAAGTAATTAGATCCTAATTTATTTCATTAATAGTAAAAATTCTATTTAATTTTGAATGATTTGTTTATTATTTTACAATTCATCATTTTCACTCCTTTATCTAGAAAATCCTTTCTAATTTTCTCCAAATATCTTATTACCACTATTTCTAGTACTCTATGGTTGATTACCAATACTAATAGTTCTATCTTTCTTTAATGTCTATGGGATCATCATAGTTTTACTATGATTAAATAATTAACGAATTTCTTATTTAGGAGAATCAACTTTTGATAATAATTCTTTTTAGCTAGTTTTCTATTTATTGTAAATTTAAAGAGGAGATTTAGTTTATGGAGGTGAATTTACTGCAACCAATTTTGCATTCATGGTTGAAATATCAGTTTCATTTTTAATTTATGAAGTAGAATGCTAAGATCTTTAAGATTTTTAATCTATATCTTTCATTATGAATTTATTGTCAAACAATGGATGTGTAAACACTTATTCCCATCCTAAACGTTTTTATTCTTCATATTATAAACATCCTAAAATAAATTATTATGATAGAGGTGATATCTTTTTGCCTAGAATTAATAAATAATAAAAGTTACTAAATTTAATATTGGTATTTCTCTGTTTATTAATTAAATCCAATATATCCATAACATTCCATGGAGTTCTGCCTTCAATTAATTCATAATAAATTAAACCCACACTCCATACATCACATTTTGAAGTGTATTATTTCCTTAATAATACTTAAGGAGACATATACAAAGGAGTGCCTGCCAATGAACTCATAAGATCACCTTCTAAATGTTAGAATCGTTTTGCAAACCCGAAATCAGCTATTTTAAATATATTTTCAGATGTAATCAAAATGTTAGCAGGTTTCAAATCACGATGTATGATGCCTCTTTTAAAAGATTATAATATCCCTTTTAAAATCTATGTTATTATGGGTAAAGCTTATTATTCAGTTAAACATCCATGTCTTTTCATGTACTCTCTTAAATCACCTCCTGTACATAATTCACTAATAATGTAGCAATTATTTGGTGTTTGAACTACATCTAATAATTTAACTATATTTGGACAATCCAAATCTTTCATGATATCAATTTCCTTTCTTAGAGATTGTTAATCACATTGTAAAGGTACAACTTTAATAGCAACAACTTAACTTTAATTTAAATTTCAACATACTTTGTATCAATATTCATTCCAACATATACAATCCCATACGACCCACGTCCTATAACAGCTTATTAACTAAAAGTATAATTGAGGATTCTTTTATCTGGTTAAAGCTAAGATAATTATTGAATTCGAGTCTGCATGATCGTTAATTAAATTAAATATCATAATGATTATACATTCAATTCTACTAACTCATTAAAAATTCACAAAATCATTTAAAATTTCAATTCATTCATTCATTACACTCAATTAGTGATAAATATAATGACATAAATTTATTAGAGTGTTAAGTTAATTTAAGAATCATATTGAATAATAATAATTAATATAATCCCATTGTTAATGCCAACTTTTAAAGGGATTTTCAGAAATATATCATTTCAGATACTTATTAGAGATAACAAAAAATATAATGATAAACCAATAAGAACTATCTTCATCTGAAGAATAGAATCAAAATAAATCAAGTCATTTACAATAATAGTCTTCAGAATTGGGTAAACCATAAACTCAAGAAATAACTTAACCTAAAGAAAGCCAACTAGATTTATCTTCATAATCTTAGGATAATTCTCAATCTTTAGATATCACTTAAAATCGATAAATTAGCACTTCATCTCTTTATACTATTAAGTTATTGGATGCAAAATAATTATATAAACCTGTGCCAATTAAAAAGGAATATGAGAATGTATTTAATAAAATAGCCTCAACTACAATTGATTCTTTACCAATGGAACTTTTTCATATAGGAACTTATAGTCATTAAGGCAGTTTCATTAATGGAGATCATTGTGAAAGAGTAGTAGAAGTCAAGACTATTGGCAAAAATATTATATTTCCAAATGATTCTTATGAATTAGCTATATTGGAATGGAAAACAAGGTATTATTTTGAATTCATATTTAAGAGCCAATGGTATTAAACCAAAAAATTCAGGGGAATTATTAAAATATGTTCAGGAATTATATCCAGATTTACTTAAAAAATATTATGATGAAATCAAAAAGGAATGATTATATTAATTTGACCCTATTTAAATTAAGTTGTATGATTCTTCTGAATAATTATGGTAACTATCATTGAGGAAAATTAATTTGAAAAATATTATTATTATATTTATTTAAAATGTCAGAATCACTTGAAAGTAATACTTTAAATCAATAATAGAGTAATAATTCTAAGGACCTTAATCTCTTTTAATGTCGAATTGTGTAGGATTTTAAGAGGGTGATTTTTTATAACCACCCAGTTAAAATTCATACTCTGTTCCTGTTGAACTTTCTCCAAATAATCCAATAAAAAATTAAATAAAAAAGACTTTGATTACTGGAACTGGTAGGTAGAGTGTGTTTGAAGAAGAATCTTCACATCATGGTAAACCTGAATTTCTAAGATTAATTATTGCAAAAAGCTTATAAAATAACTTTATTAATAATCTATGGAATAAGTCATACTTACGTAAATTACATTAATTGACAGAGTATCAAATAAAGACAATAGATGATTTAAGATTTAGTAGTTCAGTTGCTGAGTCTGCTAATGATAGTTTGGATGTATTTACACCATATAGTAAATTTATATTCTTTTGGGATATTTCTTAGATTATTTTATATTTGTTTATATTCTTTTGGTTACCTTTTAAATTATCATTTGGAATGAATTAGATTTGTGAATTTTGGAATGAAAGAGACAATCATTATTTGGAAATAATCATACTTAGTATTTTATCATGTGATGTATTGGTTGGAATGAATATGGCATTTATTCATAAAGGATAAATAATCAAAAATAGACGGAAGATTTTATAAAATTATATTAGATAGTATGCATTTGTCGATTTAGTATTATATTATTTATTATCTTGGTCTCATTAGCAGTATTGACATTCCATTTTTTTCTTCATGATAGTACAAAATAAGCAACCACCTTATTAATAATATTTGCAGTTGTTTTTTATATATTAAGACTGAATAAAATAGAAAAGATACTTGCTTTAATATAAGAGTATAATAATATATATATAATTATTAGATTTTTTAATTTGAATGGCTAATTAAGTGATCTACTTGCATTAGTATAAATGATTACAATAATTATATATATTATTCACATATGTGCATGTGTTTGGCATGGCATAGCTGATATTAATTTACATCCAAATTGGATAGATTCATATGAATTAAGAAACACAGAATTTTATGTTAGATACAATGTAGCCGTATATTGGGCAACAATGACTATGACAACAGTAGGATATGGTGATGTTACTGCTAAAAACAATATTGAAACAGCAGTTAATAATGTTACAATGTTAATTGGTAGTATTGTTTTTGCATATTCTGTAAATAGTATAGGAATATTTGTATCTAATCTATATAAGAGTAGATAAGAATATAATCATACAGTAAATTTAATAAATACATTTATGTCTAAAAACAATATTTAATTTGATCTTTAAACAAGAATTCGAAGTTATTTACAATATATTTGGTAAGAAGAATAATAAATGAATGAAGAAGAAGTAGGTTCAATTGTATCAAAATTAAGTAGTCATTTATAAGATGAATTGAATTTTTAATTAAAGGGAAACATATTAAATCAATGTAAAATAATAACAAAAACATTTTCACTTAAATTTAAATAACATCTATTACTTGTAATGGAAGAACAAAGTTTTTCTCCTGAAGAAAGAATAATAACGGTACTTATAAACTATTTATAATTATAGTTAAATTAATAGGATGATAACTCTTTATATATAATAACAAAAGGAGAAGTTGAGATTATATTTGAAGGTATCAATTAAAATGGTGATGTATAATAAAGAAATAGTTTATAATGGTTGAAGGCTGGAGATTATTTTGGTGAGATATCATTCATAACAGGTAAATTAAGAAGTGCATCTGCAATTGCAAGAGGATTTGTAAGAGTTTTTAAAATAAAAAGAGAATAATTATTAAAGATTTTAACATTATTTCCTAATGAGTATGAGAAGTTTTGTTATTTAAAAGATTAATTGATGATGAAATAATCAGTACCATAAGCTATATCATGTTATAGTTGTAAGAGTGATCAACATCTTATAAATGAATGTCATTTCCATCATTATTGTGCAGACCTAGAATCTTTGATAAAGAAAGAGTATTTTCCTGTAGAATAAAAGAGAAAATCATTTGATAGAAGAAGTTACACTAGTAAATTACATCCTTGGTTAACTCAACATGTCCTTACAAATAAAGCAAAATAATATGCTTTTACTAATACAATAACTGAAAATGATTCTGAAGATAATGAAGATGAAGAAAATGGTATATATTAAACAAGTGAAGATGAAGATGCTTAAATGAGAGATAATTCATAATCTATAAGTGCTACCCAACATTTAAATGATACTGAAGATGAAGATAATAATAAAATTTAAAAATATAAAAGAAATATTGCAATACCTCATGAAACAATAAAGACTGCTGGATTTGGATAACATAAATAAGATAGATAATTATAATAATAAGATTCTCCTAAAACTGAAAGTTTGATTGCAGAATCAAAAAAATTAATCAATACTTATTAAATAAAACCTCATTAAGGAGATAATAGAACTAATCCTAAGACATCCAAAAAGAGAATTACTATTATTAAGGAAGTATAAGAAGAAAGATAAGGATCAGAATAATAATAGAAAACATGTATTATATTTAATATGTATCTTTTATAGTTCGTTAAGCTACTAAGAAGAGAACTAAAACTGCTAGAGGAGTTAAAGATCATAGTTTATTTACAGATGGATATATGAACCAAGAAACTTAGATAGGAACTTATTTTGATAAGATGTAGATATTTAGTTACTACTTTCCAATTAATAATTATGATGTTATTCTAAAACGATATGCCAAAATTTAGAAATAATTTGGTAAGAAAAGATTGTTCCCTGAATCTTCAATTTATAGTTTTTTTATTTTGACAATAAAGAAAGGGTATAAATTGAGAAGACTAGGAGAGGAATTATAAAATCATGCAGGACCCTAGAAATAAATATAGCAATCAAAAAAGACTCATAGAAAATCGAAACCCACTTTATTGTTTGGAAAAGACTTTATAATGAATAATAATATAAATGTGTGATTCTTCTGATAGTTTATTTAGGAATAATTTCTAAGATGGAGAATTCCAAGGACCAACTCCTCATCTTCTAAGCAACAAAGTTGTTTTATAATAAGGAGATATTCAAGGAGGAAGCTGCAATTCATTAACTACACCAGAATAATTGTTAATCTAGAACTCTTAAGCACGAACTCCAAAGAATATGGAAAGAATTAAAACAATGGGAGGTAGAAGATCAGAATATTAATCTGCTTATGATTAAGAGGATGCAGAATCTATAAAAGATAGCAAACCGTAATTTCTAAGGTTAATAATTGCTAAAAGTTTGTAAAACAATTTCATTAATAATTTATGGAATCGATCTTATTTAAGGAAATTACATCAATTGACAAAGTATTAGATAGAGCAATTAGATGATTTATAATTAGAATAAGAATCTTTTACAAGTCTAGGACATTAAAATAGTAAATCTTTTATTTAATCATTGGCCTTTTGGAGATTTATTGATGTGTTTACACCTTATAGTAAATTTATAGTGATTTGGGATGTATTTTAAATAATTACTTACATAATGATATTCTTTTGGTTACCTTATAAAATATCATTTTAAATATATTTCATTAGTTAATTATTTGAAATGGGAAATACTAAGATTATAGAAATGATTTTATTATCAATTTTAGCTTTGGATGTTGTAGTTGGTCTGAATCTGGCTTTTATTTACAAGGGTTAAATTATAAAAGATAGAAAAAGAGTTATAATAAATTATTTCAATTAATATGCATTCGTTGATTTGGTATGAATTACATTTAACTTATGGTTTCCTTATTTACAGTTTCTGCTTAATTTTTCATTCCGAATCTAGATAGTTAAGACAATACTATGTTAATCATCCAGATAGTGTTATGTGCCATATTTTATATTCTAAGAAGTACAAAGATTAATAAAATACTTGCATAAATATAAGAGTATATTATAAATAAATAATAATATAGATTCTTTAATTTAAATGGATCATTAAATGATATGGTTGGATTAATGAAATTGTTAATGGTAATAATATTTATAGCACATATATGTGGTTGTACTTGGCATGGTTTGGCACATTATACAACTAGTTATTCTTGGCTTGATGCATATAATTTAAGAGATAGATCTAATGGAACTAAATATAATTATTCAATTTATTGGGCAACTATGACAATGACAACTGTAGGTTATGGTGATATAACTGCTTAAAATAATAGTGAATTATTGATGAATAATATAACAATGTTTGTTGCTAGTATTGTATTTGCATATTCCGTCAACAGTATAGGAATATTTGTATCAAATATGTATAAAAGTACAATGGAATATAGTAGAACGGTTACTTTGATTAATACTTTTATGTCTAAAAATAAGATATAATTTGATTTATAGACTAGGATTAGAAGTTATTTAGAATATATTTGGTAAGAAGAATAAGAAATGAATGATGATGAAATAGGATCAATAATGAAGAAATTAAGTAAGCATTTATAAGATGAATTATAATATTAATTAAGAGGAAATATTCTCAAAAATTGTAGAGTTATAGTCAAATTATTTTCTGAATAATTTGTGAAAAGCTTATTATAATCAATGGAAGAAATATCATTTTCTCCTGAAGAAAGAATTATAACTTGTAATTAAATTGATGATTGTTCTCTATATATTATTACAAAAGGTGAAGTTGAATTGTTATTTTCTGGTAAAAATTAATTAGGAGATTTAATCAAAAAGAATTCCATTAAATTTCTATCATAATATGAATGTTTTGGTGAAGTAGCATTTTTTACAGGTAAACCAAGAAGTGCTACTGCTATCTCAAAAGGATTTACTAAAGCATTTAAAATTAAAAGAGAAAACTTCTTAGCTATTTTATAATCTTTTCCAAATGATTATGAAAAGTTCTGTGATGTAAGAGATAGATTGGTTTATAATGAATTCTCTACATTATAATTAAATTGTTATAGTTGTAATAGTAACAGACATCTTATCAATACTTGTCATATCTTACATTTTTGTTCTGATCATGAAAAAGTTCTAAAAAAAGAACTCTATCCTGTTGAATAATCTAGAAATACTAGATTTATCAGATAAAAAAATCATAAAGAACCCTCATCGTAATCTATGTAAAAATATCTTTCAGGAAGAGCACATGATTTAATGTAAGATCTTAATTAAGAAGAAAAAGGAGGAATTGATATTGATGATGGTGATTCACATACTCTACCTATTAATGATGCCTATGATGATGAAGAAGGTATTTATATTAAATAATATTAGATTAATATTCATCAATTAATTAATAAAGAAGTTAATCAAGAACATTAAGTAAATTAAGTTAGAGATAAACATAATAATAAGAACCAGATGAAGATGAAATAAATAATAAAGGTTATTCTAGAAGATAGAATTCTTAAAGATAAACTGTTGCAACTGCTGGATTTGGTGGTGATTATTAAAAAAAGAATGAAAGTAATGTTTTATATTAAAATAGTTACTTGGAATGTTGAAGAATTAAGTGATTCTAAAGATTCTTCTGAAGAATAGGATTAGGTGATTATCCCAAAGTAATAGGTAATCCAATAGAAATCAAATGACAATATATAAAAAGGATTAATCAAAAGATAACTTTCAAGAACTGCATCAAATGAGGATCATTCAAAACCAATAATTAAATCATAAATGCAATAAAAACATTAATCTGATTTAGAAGTTAAAATTTCAACTTAGAGAGAACAAGCAAGAAAAATTACAAATAGAACAAGAACACATAATGAAGAATAACCTACATTAATTGGTGAAAATACAACATAGAATAATATTTATATTTCTGCTCCAACTATGTCTATGTTGATTTCAAATTTTGATAAAATGTCTTTATTTTAATATTATCAACCTTTGAATAATTATGATGCTGTTATAAAAAGGTAAATATATTATAATTATTAATATAGATATGCTAGAGCGTAAAAATATTTTGGAAAAAAAAGATTATATCCTGAAACATCTCTATATTCATTTTATTTTATTGCCATAAAGAAAGGATGGAAATTAAGGAAACTTGGAAAAATAGTTCCTAATGACATTACTAATTTTATAGCCAATACTAAAGTATTAAAAAGAGTAGTTAAGAAATTCAAACATGAAAAAAATAACGTTTTAGTTTAAATTCAATGAAATATAACATACTTTCATTTTTCTTAAACTATATTTTTAATTTAATGTAAAATGTTTTTTAACTACATTTATTCATTTGGAATTGTTCTTAAAAATAATATTATGATTTTAAAGTCTGATCTATGATAAATCTATGTTAAATATCCATACAATAAATACATTAAACCAATACTAAAAATATTGAATTATCTTATTACCTAATCCCTACTCCAATCTCATATAATTAAATCATCAAAACATAATTATTAAATTAATCTTATCCAACTTAATATATTTTTTCTATTTCTTTATCTAATATATTTACACTCTCTATAAAATATATTAAAAAAGTATTTATAAAAGATTAACTATTTATATACTCTATTAATTCTTTAGATTCTTTCTAAAATTATTTTGTTGTTAATTCATAATTAAATTCAGTATTCTTAACTTTTTAAATATTATTTGTTAAACTAATAATTCCTCTTTCAATTATTTAATACATTTCATTATATGGATATTATTTATTTTTACAATATTCTATCATATCCTAAAAGTAGAGACATTGATCATTAATTAAAGAATCAAGTAGATTACTTTCTTACAATCTCTCTAAATCATCTATAATATTATTTGTAATATCTATTTAATTATTTATTGATTCATTGAAATTCTCAATTATAGAATTATCTAATGATTTAGTTATCTTAAGAATTTCATATGTTTTTATTAGACTTCCATATATTAAACTATGATCAATCATTATGTTTAATTTCAGAAATTAGTTTTATATAGTTAAATACTCTTTTTAATAATAAATTAATTAAAAGAATAACCCCATAGCTGCAAATAAACACAAAAATAATATAGCTATAATATTAGGATATAAATATTAATGTCCAATATTTCCTTCTAAATCATGATTTTACTTTTTTTATGATTTTTCATGTTAAACTTCTTCTGAAATTATTTATACATAAGAGGTTAATTTCCAATTTTTAGAATTATTACATTCAAATGTATCTTTAATTGTAGAAAGTCTAGCTATTTAATTTTGTATTTTGTTTATATTAGTTTGATGAGCTAATTTAAGTAATTTTATAATAACCTTTTATTTAGCATATAAAAATTTGATTTAATAAACTATTAAAAGAATATATAAAATTATAAAAATGGATGCTGATATATAATCTACTTATTAGTCATCATAATTATCTAATTTATGTATAACAATATCATAAAGATAATTAAAGATGAATTATGTATCATTAGTAAATTAAAAAGTAGAGTTTATAAATGTAATTTATTCTGTATTATAATAACCTTTTCTCATATCATTATCAAATTATTATAACAAAATATTAAATTATTCAGAAGTTACTTATTAATTAGATTCATAAGTATTAATTAATTAATACTATTGATTATAAGTATTATAATCATAAATATTTTAGATTTACTTTTATTACAATTAGAATATAAATTAATTTTTATTAATTATAGAATATTCTCCTAAAAGTTTTGTTATTAATAAACTCAATTTTATAGCACATATTCTATGAAATTTAATTTCGTCTAAAGTTTAGATTATAAAATTATCATTCTCTTACACATGAGTATATGCCTTCAAAGAGTCTATAATAACATTTATCAATAATAGTATTATAACACAAAATGAAAAATATATAAATTTTTAAAGAGAATTTATAGTAAACTTATTACTGCTAATCTTTTCAAGATATTAGAATGTATCTTTTAAAGCAAATAATTATTTTGTAAAAGTTTAATTACTTAATTATTCATTAATAATCTTAGTTTTTTATTTTTAATAACAATCTTTTTGATTTCTATCTCTTTATATATCAAAATTATCATCATCTTATTCTTAATTATTTATCATCTTTCTCTCAAAAACAATTTCATCAAATTCTTTTTCTACTTCTTACATAATATCATCATCATCTTATTATATATTAATACTTTATAATTCTATCCTTGTAGTTAAAAGATGTTTCTTAGGTTATCTATCAGTTTGAATCTTTAATAATCTTGAAGAATTATCAAAATCATATGATTACATTTTTTATTTAGTTACATTAATTGAAGATATTTAATTTTCATTTTAAATTATAGTTCTTTTATCTATTTCTAATTTATTTAAATACAATAAATGATTTTTAAGATTAATTTATTTTATTTAATTATCTAAATCATCATCTATAATAGGTTTTTCAGAATATATATCATCTAAATCACTTGCAGGAAAACTATAACTGGACTTATTTTTTTAACTTGATTCTGTTTTTTTTGTTTAATAGGTTGTTAAATATTGAGATGTTGTTTTCTAAGTGAATTCTTAACGATAATCTTTTAATTCCATTACAAAATATCCTAAAGATCTTTTACCAAATGATATCTTTTTAAAAGATAAAGAATAGATCATTACTAATCTTATTCTATTTGTCTTTTATTTCTCACTAAATTAATCTATCATTTATCTAATAGAATTATGATAACTTTAATTTAAAATTGACCATTCAACTCCATCAATCATCAATTCTTTATTTTATGATCCTGATTCATCAAATTCATAAACTTAAGCTGACTTTTCAGTTTATTTTGATGTTTATAAATAAGTCTTTTAAGACATAAAATTTGAAAAAGATAACATTTAATTCATTGATGAATTATATTATTATTTGATTAATTAATTTGTATTGAAAACACAATTCAAATGATTTTCTGGATATTACCATTAAGATTATACTTCTAAAATTAAATAATTTTAATGTTTTTCAATTGACTATTTTAATAGTTAAATTTATTCTTATATATTTTCAATATAATATTATATTAAAGAACCTTTATCAATTAAATCATTGATTGATAAATTTTTAGTATAAGTATCAAATTACATAGATTATAAAGAAAATTCAAAAAAGTCTTATGTCATACCATAAAGTCTTCCATTCATACCAAATATAATACATTAATTATAATTTAAATCTTTTGTTAATATTGCATTAATAAGATAATCATTCTATCCTTATATTGGTATTAAATGAATATTACAAGGTACAATATAGCCTTATAAATTTTAATAATATGTTTATTATCCTTATTAACATAAACGAGACTATCCTTTTTATATAAAGTTTTCAATTAATTAATCATGTACATTAGATATAAATTAAGGCATCATTTCCATACTAGTTTTAATAAAATTAACTTCTTCTATTTATGCATCAAAAAATAAACTTATTTATTAGTAATTTGGTTAAAGCAATTTATTAGTATTGTATATAAGACTTGTTGTTAGAAGCATGGATCTATCTAATGTTAGCACAATATTTACTCGTTGCTAATTAATTATTATCAATTGTATTAGATTATCTGAATTTGTCACTTCTAAATAAATCATTAATCTTATCTTCCATTTATTATGCCTAAGATTTTAAAATTTTATATACTTTAATAAGATCAACATTGGCAACACAATAATAAATTTATAATAATCTTAAAGTAATAATATCACTAAATTAATTGTTTTTTAATTTACAATTTCTAATATCATATACTTTATCCATTATTTTATTTATTTGATCTATTTTTTTGCCTACTTACTAAACTTATTTATAAAATTATTTAATTCCAAATTAATTCATAATTGTTTAATTCCAAAATTTAATCATAAATGTAATTAAAGACAGCAATTTACTTTTGATACTTTCACATTCTATTTATGATTTGTATGATGTATAAATATAATTAGTAATATCAAATGTAGATTCATTAGTTTTTTAAAATGTTAAAATGGCTGATTAAAAATAGAAATCCTCATTCTATTCTTTTAATAATTCTACTAAGGCTCTTAAAGGCCATTTTTTAGATATAAAATTTGCATAAATTATTTTATCTCTTTCATTCTTACAATTCTTTTTTAATATACATTCAATTATATCATAAAAAGCCTTACATTTTGTACATTTATGATTATTTTTAAAAACTAATAATTAAATTCTTGCTTATTTATCAATTAAACATTTCTTATATACTCTTTCTGCTAATTAACAACTAAGTATTGTATCTGAATTAAACAAAATTTATTATAATTTTCTAAATTGAATCTATTATTGTAATGATAATATTAATATACTAATCAATAAATAATCCATCATTCTATAATCAGCTAATAAAGATAAATTAAATAAAAAGAATTATATACTAAGTTAAACCTTATTTGAAGATATTGCTGTTAATTTGAATAGGTTCAAAAAGATAATGCTAATTAATATAAACTATTCTAGAATAAATGAAATTGTATCATCTAAAAATGATAGATAAATAGTTATAAATTCTGTTAATTTAAGTAAGATTCTAATTATAATAATAGTATTAGTAATATTTTCATTTTATGCTAAGGAATCTCCTCTTTAAAAAAACACTATAAAAAAAGTAATAATGAGTGTAAAAATTATGTTGATTAATGAAATAAAGAAATATAAGATATTTTATGTAAAACATTATTTAATATTTAACCATAGATTTGGAATGAAAAATACATTAGGGTAAACATTTAAGGTAACATTAATAGTAATCATTAATAATATCCAATTTTTTGAATTATGATTAATATTTAACAATACTACAGTAAGTATGCTTATTGCTAAAGATAAATTATAAATGAGTAAAAGAATTTAAATATGAGGAAAATACTTTTCTGGAATTAAATTTAAAATAAATGTGCTTTTCAAAAGTGAATAAATAGTTCTATAAATATAAGACATATTTACACAATTTCTGAGTTCGGTTCAAAATGTTTGCCTAAATTCAAAAGCTATGCTAAATATAAGAAATTTGTGAATAACAAAACAGATTCACTTATATTTGCTTGATCAAAGTGCAAAATATAATGAATGTTTTTAGCTTTTTAAATTGTTTTTTTCATTTAATTATTTACAATATATTAATAACAACATATTATTAAAATACATAGTAATTTATCCTCTCATTGTTAAAAGAACTAATTTAGTTTTTATTTAAAAGGCTAATAATATATTTTAAGAATGATTTGAACTTCAATTTAAACAAAAAAAGAAGGAGAAATCATCATTAAAATAATCAAAAATTTATATATGGAATGTATAATAATGATAACAAAATCAATAAATTTCTATTTCATTCTATTAACTTAGACAAAAAGATTGAAAAATAAATAAGTTATTGAGTATATATGTTTATTTAATAAATATTGTCTTATTGTGGAGAAATTAAAACAAAAATGTTTTTTGCTTTTATGATCTAGGTTGTATTTTGTTGCCAAATTTATGAAAAAGAGAGAAACCTTTTTCCAACAGAACAAGAATATTACAATGTGTTTATGAATGAATTATTTAAAGGAGAAGACTTGATTTATGAATGCAAGAATTGTCCAGAAAATGTCACCTTATGGAATGCAATGAACCTTATAGGAAAACCATATCATACAAGTAAAAATAATATTAACTATAGGATATATATTTAGATCAATAGCAAATAATAAATCTAATTTTGTAGCACTTTCTGATAATAATACTATAAATATTTATAATTGGGAAGATTAATCTCTTAAAATTATGTAAATAATACATATAGATTCAGATTTAAATTGTTTAAACATAATATTTACATTAAATGATGAATTTCTAATAGATTGTTATATCAATAATATATTATAGATGTATAACTTAGAAGGGTCAAATTTAAAACTTGTTTATTAGATTAATTTACCTTTACCATTAAAAACGAATATCTATTCTTTTACATCTTATTCAATTAATTATATAATTTATGCATAGTATTATGCCGAATATTAAATCTTAACACTTTTAAAATAGTATAATAAAACTGAAGATCAATCATTTGTTAATGTGACAACATGGATATCAACGTTTTAAGATGTTGAAATTTCAATTAAGGGAATTGAAGTTAATACATTTTATGTTTTGAATAATCCTGTGATCTTATTGCTCTAAATTACAGAGGATGAGAAATTCTCAGTCTGGAACTTTTTTATAATTAATCCTCCATCTTATTAAATGACCATATATTAATCAATAAATAAATATTCTGAATGTGATTAATTATTTTTAAAAAGTGATTTTTCTATTTATTCCCTTTTAGTATGTGAAGATTAACTTGATTAAGAATTATATTAATAAGGTTTGATATATTACAATATAGTAGAAAATGCAGAAATTATATAATTTTATGTAAATGACTTATTTCTAATTTTATAAACAAATAGTTCATTAATGATAATCTCATTAGAAACAAAGACATTATTAAGATAAACTAGTAAAGAATAGTTTTAAAATTTTACAAATAGTTAAATATATTTCAATCAATAAAGCAATTAATTATTCATATTTAATCAATATACTTTTGTCTATTAAATAGAAATACCTAGATTAAGTGGATATTATTCAATTATTGATTCCAATAAAAAAAAGGATGAAATTTATATATTTGCCATTAATAACTTTGGAATTAATATTTGTTATGTAAAATTAACAATTAAAACATTAAATTTGAATGATTAAGGTATTTATTAATTATATCAGAATTAAATTGAAAATTATTACACATTATAATAGAAAAAATTTGTATAATAAATTAAAAATATTAATGGACCTTTGCTTGAGATTTAAAATAACTAAAATAATTAGAATTTAGGAATTTTCAAAAATATTACATTCTCTAAAATTTATGATTTTAATTAAAAATTTTAGAAGATATAAATAATTAACATTCAAACTACATATATGGTGGGTATATAAAATAAATCTATGACAATATATTCATTTTAATTGGGTGGTTTAATATTCTCTAATTCTACAATAGATTTAGATATTGAAAACTATCATATATTGAGAGATTTACAATTAGCATATTAATTTTAAGGATAATAAGTTGTACTTATTATTGGTATTAATTTTGACTAAAATATATTACTTTTTTACTTTGCTACATAATAAGTGGATAATGTCACTATTTTATAAAATACAACTGTCTAAACTCTACATTTCAATCAATTTTTATTAACTTTTAATTGTTATATTTTAATGCTTGATAATTCAATCTTATTATATTCATTTGATAATGTTAAATAATTTAAAGTAGATTAATAGACAATACAAAATTATCTAGGAGTATATGTTGATTTTAATCCTTCTGGTATGACTCTTAATCAATAATATTAATCTTCAGTTGTATTTGTTATTAATTAATAAAATTTTATAATATTTGTAATAGATTTTACTCTTAAAATGATACCATATGGCATTTATTATGTGGATTATATAATCTAATAAATTAATATAGTAAATTAGAAATTGATATTATCTTATAAATGTAATCAAGGATTATGTTTTGATGTTTGGAATATCTAGAATTTAATGAAACCTTTCTATGAAAAATAATTAATGAGTGTATCTTAATAGAAAGACATTAATTGTTATTCTGACAATTTATTTTATTATGTTCAAATAGATTAAAATTAAACTTTAGTCTATAATCCAATGATGTCATATCATCAATCCTTATTTACATCTATAGCATTTAATGGATCCTATTTTTCTAGTACAGCAGTAGATGGCTTATCAGTTTTAGCTTTTGGTAATGTACTCTATTCACTCTTTCCATTTTTCACATTTGAATTCGTTAGAAATGACGATTACTAAACTTTTGAATATCTTCCTAATACTATCTATAATTTTACAATTAGATCCAAATTAAATGGAGATAATGCATCATACATTACAAATAATTAGAGTCTTTCAATTCTTAATCCTTAATTAAATATATTTATATAAAATATTAGTATAACTATTAAAGATGGATCTGATTTGAAATATATTTATACTTTTAATAATGTATCAACTATTGGTTAAATTTTATATTATGAATTATAACCTGAAGATGATAAACATCAAATATGTATAAAGAATATATAAAGTCCTGTTCAATTATAAAATTCAATTTAGAATAAATAATAATTTACTATTTTAACTGCAGTTAATAATTTATTTGTACTCCAAAATTATGAATAACTTATGGTTTTTAATACAAATGTTGTATTATATTTAAATTAAACTCAAAGCTGCTTTTAATCTTATGCTAATAATGATACACTCTATTCATTTTGTTAAAATACAACTAATTATTACATAATAAGCTTTTAGATTAGTAATAGTTCTATTATTCAAAATGATTAAATTCTATATTTACCTTCTGAAGAAATGTATTTATCAGAAAGTCCTTTTTTAATAATTTCTGATGGGATCTTTTTCTTAACAACTGACTTATAATTATGCTATTATAATTTTTAATCATAACAAACTGTCAATATAACATAATGTAATACAGTTGGTTTTTAATCGATAGTAATTAAAAATGCTTAGCATTATCAGTTGATAGTGGTATTTTATGTTTGTTAAGATAATTTAAATACTTTAAATTATATTATTGGCAATTACAGTAAGATTAACTCAATAATTGAATTTTAGAACAATTTCAGCACCCTGGATATTTTGAATATAGATTTCAAAAATATAAATAATTTGTAAATTGAATATTTCTTAATTATCAAAGTAGAATTCAAAGAAATAATAATGTCAATAACTACTAATGAATAATTAGGTTTTCTTATCTTATTAAATATCAATTATGGTATCCATGATAAATCAAAGATTGAAATCAAATTTTAAGATATAATCTCTACTATTTCTCCTTATAATTCAGCAGATTTTTAAATTGTATCTTCCCCAAAAGTTTAAGGATCTACTTTGGTCATTGCTTTTACAAATAGAAAGGTTGAAAATGAAATTTTATTGTTGGTTTATGATTTAACAGATATATCATAATTTAGTAGATCAACTCCAATTAGAGTATAAGGAGGATACACAATTCCATAAATACAAAGTGATTTCTTAGTGTCTTATTAATTACTTACTGAAAATAGGAGTAAAGGTAATATCTTGGTTCTAACTTCATCCTATATTTATTATCTTAATTTTAGTACTTTTACTTTTTTTTTGGATATGCCTTTATACTCAAATGATAAAAATATTACATTTCGATTAACAGGAGGAAATACATATTTTACTACAATATCTTTAATTGAATTCAAGTATGAAACTTAAAAAGGGTGGTTCTATGGTTTAAGTACAATTATTGCTACAATTTTGATAATTTCATTAATATATTGTTGGTAAAGAAGAAAAGCACAAACTGATTTTGATTTAAATAACGATGAATGGATAGATTTTTGAATAATTTATATATACATTTATTTATACTTATATATTTTATTATTAATAAGATGTTATAATCTATTGAGAAATTATTCAAATTAATTTGCTAAATTATTCACCCTCCAACTTCTTAGAAATAATCAAATGCATTGCATTATTTGTTTACAATACTTAATAAAATTTAAGAATTATACTTGATTGAAGATTCAATCCAAGAAACTGGAATGTTTACAAAGTATCATTTGTTATATTTAGTTCTTTAACTTAAATAATTGATTACTTTTTTGTAATTAATAGTCTTAGTTCCACTTAATTAGGATTTGTAGTTATTCTCTTTTTTGTATTACATTTGATATTTCCACTGTTAATCATCAAATATGCAATTCATCATGATTTAGCAACACAAACAATAATTCATAAATTTCTAATTAATTATCCATTAATACTAACAATACCTATTACATATACTAGCTTTGCCATCTTTTTTAATGAATCCTTTTATAAAATATCAGATTTAAATTCAAACAAAGAATTATGTTACTTTTTCTCAATTATGAATTTATTATTTTTGGCTATTGTGACTGGAATTCATGTTTATTTTGGTCGTTGTGAAACAATTATGGATGACAATAATATTTTAAAATTAGATTAGTCGATTCCCAAGAAAATTTTGGAAAATTTACTTTTAATTTCAATTATAGCTTTAAAATAATCAAATCAATTACAATCCTTAAGAGTCATATTATTACTTCTTAAATATTTTTTGTATATAATATCATCATTAAAATGGATAAATGAGAAACATTTCCTAATAATTGAATGTATTTCTTCAGTTATTACTGTTGGAATTGTACTGAAATTAGCATTTTTTGATATTTTATTGATTAGTTTATTACTAGTATCAATACTTTAATAAGTTTAAGATTATGTATTATCATTCTATATCACTACAAAAGAATAAGACAATTTTGTTACAATTTAAGTATTCTAAAATATTTAATTATATTTAGATAATAGAAGAATGCTTAAACATGGGTACCAATTCAAAACATGCTATCATCCTTAGAACTATAACTAATAATCATAATTGTCCAAGAAAAACAAAAAAAGTTGAAACAATAACAGATTGTTTATTAAGAAAAATGGCAAACACAAAGGATTAATCTAATAAAAATAGAAACATATTAATATATTGTTAATATATAGCTAATAATGCTCCATTAAAGGGATTAATTAAATTAATCACTGTTAAAACTGAAGACATTTATCATTAATCTTCTTATGCAAATTTATGTAATCTATTGAATGATAGAGTTAAATAATTTTAATAAGAAGCTTAATAAATTAATGGAAAGAAGAGTTCTAATGAACATTCCAATAATCTAGATGCAGAATCTGCATTTACTACTACTAATTCAAATGATATTCTTTTTCCAATTCTAAGTAAGGCTTTAAATGCCAAAATCTAATTTTGGAATAAGTTAATTAATGGATATCAAGAAATAGACAATCTATTAGGGGATACACTTTAGACAACTGAAAAGATGTTAAAATGCAAATTATAATTTGAAGAAAGATTCGATATTGAAAACATGAAATTAAAAAATGGGAGATCAACAGATGTTCTTACAATGAGAATTTTATAAATATATTATTCTGGAATTTATACTAATTCCTATCTAGCTTATATGTTAGAAAAATAGATAGAAGACTTATTAAAGAGTGAGCGATTTAAAGAAGAAGAATCATTAGATAATGTACAATTAGTGGAAAGTAAGTATTTTTAATACTAGTATTTTAGATAGAATAATAATATTGAAAACTAGTTTAGTTAGAAAAAGAGGAGAACTAATTGATGTCAATATTAAGTAATTAAGTTAATTCTTAAATGAAAAAGATGAAGCAATTAAGCACATAAAACATTGCACATAATTGATGCCTAAATTTTTAGCTTAGATTCATGACAATTTGATGGACAATTATACTACTAATGGTTATTCAAGACTAATGATTCATGGAGAATCTAGTTTTTATGAATTGTTGTCTGGATACTTGGAACCATGCAATATAAATTTATATAACTTTTATGATAATGAATAGGATTTCATACTAAACATGATTATGACCAAAGTCTAATCCAAGAATGAAACAATTCTATTTGGGGTAGATGGGAGAATTTTAGGATTTACTAAATAATTTTATGAAGAGGCCTTTAAAGATTAAACAATTAGTTCTCGTCAATTACTTTCAGTTTAAGATTTATTGATTAGAATGCCATTAATAGCATATTATATTCCTTAAATTATAAGTTAAACATAAGAATTATAAGCTTAAATAAACTCGTCATCAAATTATTTACTCAATAATTTAAAATCATAATGGATTATACCTGATAATCATATGGAATGTTTATAAACATCAACATTAATATTATCTTAGTTTAAAAAGAAACAAGACAATTCTAATTTTAAATCTCTTAAATCTTAAACTTAATCAAGATATTCTCAATAGTCCTAAAACACACAAATTGAAAATTATGATGATAAAGACTTCTCCAAAGATTTAAAAAATTAAATTATGATTAGTGAAAACCCTATCATATTATTGCATCCTGAATATAATGAATTAATAACACGTTAAATAACGTATAATAATAATTAGAACTCTTCACTTGAAATTCATTATAGTCTCTAATATAAAACTCTTAAATTTAAAAAAGGGGAATTTGGCTTCTTCTAATTATCTATAAAAGAATATAAAAAGTGGTCCACGACATTATCATAAGTAGGAGCACCAACAAATTAAACCACTTTGGATAATTAATAGTCGGTAAATGTGATTAGTGATAATGGAATGAAAAGTAGATCTTAATAAATGAGTAATGTAAATTCAGAAATTTCAGAAAAATTTGAAGAAGGTCTGAAAGATATAAAATAAATTTAATATTTTAACTCAAGTTTATCACATTTTAAAGATAACAATAATAGTGCAAATTAATCTAAATTATAATCAATTTCAAATTCAAGATTAATAGTTTAAAAATTAGGCAATACTGAAAGAGTGTTTGAATCAGAATAATAAACAGTTGGTTATATATCTCTTGCTACTAATACAAAAAGATGCAATTCAAATTTATTTTTACAATCTTAATTTTCTTTATAGCCATAATATGTTTAACCAAAAATTTTTGATAAAAGGATATTAGAAGAAGTGAATGATATAGAAAATGAAATGAATTATATTGAAAATTAGGAGTAGCTTAAAGAATAATTGTAAATTGATAGAAAAAACCAAATCATTTAAGATGAGGAAGATTAGATAGATATCGTGCAATCAAATAGTTAGAGTGAAAAAAAGAAATCCAACATCTTGGAAAAATTTTAAAAATCATAATTAAAAAAATAAAAAGATAATTTTGGAGATTTTTAATCAAATCCATCAAGAACTTCAACAAGTTCAACTTCAAAAGAGGCACTTACAATTGTGCAATAACTTTATGATAATAAAAAATTAATTAACCCTCTTAAGAAAATTTCATTAGTATTAATATTAATCTGTTGTGGTGTTTTGACTATTAATATTATTAATGTTAATGAAATAGAAAATAATTTATTAACTTAAATTGATCAGATCAATAATGTTAGAAAACCTTTAAACATAAATTTTTTTTATTTTGGTGTATTATTTTAGTAATTATGTTAATTACTTCATGATAAGAATATTTTAGAGCTGAGTCCATTTTTAGCCAATAGACTTTAAGAATAACTTTTCATAATGTATGAATATGGGAGAGAAATTATGTTTGATCATATAGTTGATGTTCCCATTTTGGCAAAAACTCTGGATATAACTACATTTCCATGTAAAATAATATAAAATAATGAAAGAGTAACGTTAAACACTACTCTGCATGAATTTTATTCAATATATTTTGAGCTTGCTGAAGATCTATTCAGAAGAAATTTAAAATGCACTAAAGATTGTGATTATTCTGATTTCTATACACATGGCTTTCTGAGACAAAATTTAGTAATTATGATGGAATTTCATGATTAATTAATTGATTAAATTACTCAAGTTACTCTAGAAACATAAAATGAAGTTAAAGGAGATTTCTTATAAATAATGCTAGCTGAAATGTGTGTTATCTTATTTTTGGTTGGAATTTAACTTAAAATCTGGCTATTTGTTGATTAAATAACTAAACATATTTTATTTTTGATATCAAGATTAAATGAAATTTAAGCATTTGATTAGATATAAAAATTATCAACTATTAAATATTACATAGATTTAGAAACCAATAATTAATGGAAGATGACAAATTTTTCTGATCTTATGTTCAAATATTCAGATAAAAAAAAAGTTTAAAAGGCTGTTCTTATAAGTTAAAAGGAAACTGATAAAATTAATACTAATTACAAATCAACCACTGCATTATACTCAAGAATCTAAAAGACTTATTATATAAACAGAGTTAATGTTATTCTTACATTTACCTTAGCCTTGACTTGGCCTTTATATTTAATGACTGGATATTTGATTCATATGTAAAATAACAATGACTTCTAGCCATCTTTAGAGGTTACATTAAGCATGGTATAATTTAGACATAATATGGATGCAGCTGTTATTTTAGCTGGTATAATAAAAACTGAGAATTTGTTACCTAATAATAATCTCAATTTTATTAATTAAACCTATATCATAGAATTATTTTTATTTCTTAAGAATAATTTATCACCTATCATAAATAATATGGCTACTGTTGTATTAGATAACGCTAATTAAAATAACGAAAAAAGTAGATTTGATGATTTATTGAATAATGATCTATGTATATCTAGTAATTCCACTGTTTTACCAATGTGCGAACCTCATTTAATCTAACTATAATATGATGAGTAATCATAAAATTTATTTTATAGCAAAGACGATTATAGCGATATTACTAAAAATGGGGCTTTGGGATTTGTTGCAGGATTCATTAAGTTTATAAATTAGGATTTCAACATTGAATTTACTACTTTATTATATAATCCCAATGTAACAGAAAATCAATAGGAAGTCAATTCTTAGTAATTCAATAATTATTTGATATCATATTCTACTGATATTTTATAAATAATGCGAAAATTTCTGATTTTGCTCTAAGAAGAAAATATATCGATAGCTAATTAAATTATGTCTATTATTTAAGCATATTATTTAGGCTTAGGCATAAGGTATTAAATTTAATTACTTATAGTATATTTTTGATATATTCAATAACTTCTATATTATGGGTTTATTTAGCTTAAAAATAGATGAATTCTTTAAGGTAAATTTTAGTTTTGATCCCAGTTGATTTGATTCTTAGTGCTAATATTAGAAGTTAAGCAAAAGAGATTCATGGTTGGCTATATTCTTGAAATGAATAATTAATATAATAAGCTATTTGAGTTAAATAATTTATTTATTTATTACATTTATTTCTTTCTCTAATATTTACTTAATTTATGTAAAATTAATAGCTAAAATAAATACAGATTTTTTTTGCTTCGTCTAGAATTCCTAGCTATAAAGTTGATTTTGTGAATAAAAAAGAAAAAATTGAATATTTTTATGGAAACATTTAATTTAATTAATTAGTTTATAGAAAAAATATTTAAATTAGATATAAAACATTATGAACTGATCTCTCATAAATGCGATTTTTAGATTAGTTAATATAGAATAATTTTAATAATTTTATGAATATTATCTTAAAAATACTTTTGAATAATTTATAAACTTATTCCTAATTTTATTTAATTTAATATAGTTTTAGAATTACAAATCTATGATTACTATTTTCAGATAATCTTATAAGATGTATGAACTAATAAATATAAAGTAGATTATTTTGGTTATCCACCAAAAAATTTATTGTTAGTTATTATTTTACAATATTATTATATAAAATAACTTTATAATTTCTATTTTTTGAATTTTGTTGGATTAATCGACATATAAATAATTAAATGCATTTTTGATTTTTGTATTTGACATAACTTTACAATAAATAAATACTTAAAATAAGTATTTTGTTTTTTTCATGTGCAATTAATTTATTATTATCATTATAAAAAACTTTAGTATCTTTTATCTAAAACATTAGAATTATTATTCCACACTATTCCTTTAATCAATAGACTAAAAATACTTAAAAATTAAAATGTTATTTTAATTTACAAATAACTATATTCAACTGATAAATCAATAGATACTAAATTTTCTATTTTATTCTATAATATGTATATAATTACTATTGTTGTAATTCTTTTAAATTGAATCAACTTATAAGTTTATAATTATTATTGAACATTTTATTATATAT